ACACCACTGCCACCACAGCCTGGTGTGGCCACACCGAGTGGAAGGCATAGGAGGCTGTCCTACCATTCTTTGTACTTTTTGGTATTCAGGTTTTTTCCTTATGAAAAAATAAAATGACCCATGAGATAGTCTGAAGAAGAGGTGCTCAGAAGGGAGGGAGTGCAGACCTTGGCTCCCTGCACACAGCACCTGCCCCCCCAGAGTGGATGCCCACACCATCCATTCCAGGTGGGCACAGGCAGGAACTGCTTTGGAACAGGAAACCTTGATGCCCGTCTGCGTGGATTTGAATTCTGCTTCCACCATTTGCCAGTTGTGGGATGCCAGAAGAGGTTACACAAGGTGTAACTTTGTGTGCCTCAGTTTACCCATCCGTGAATAGCTGAGGTGACGACAAAGCGAGCTAGAGATGGGAAAGTGCTTGGTATGTGCGTGGTGCAGGGGGCGGTACAGTGGAAGTCAGCAGCCTTACTTGCTTGTGCAGCCCGAGGCCTCTTCTAACGGCTACACTGGCCCCAGGAGCCACGGCTGGCTGTGGGAGGTGGTGGCTACCTGCCAGGCTGGCTTTGCTTGGCCCTGGGCCAGGTGGCATGGAGGTGGCTGGGGGAAGTGGTTGGGCAGAGGCCAGGGCAGGGGCCCTACCCCATGAGCCTTTGTGGTGAAATGGACTTAAGAATTTCAGCCACCACCTGCCTCTCTCAGCCTGGGTCCTCTGCCCACTGGCCTGAAGCTCAGGGTTCCAGAAAACTAGAGCCCGTGATGGGGGAAAATCCACATGTCACTGAGCCCTTCAGTGAGGCTCCTTCTTGTATTCATTCAACAAACCATCCCAAACACATCCTTCCCTGTGTGGTCCCACCTCCACAGTTCTTGTTTGGGTACAGGACCCGCACCGATGGAGCAAGGAGGTCCTTCAGAGCCATGTTTCCATCGATCTCTGGCAGCCTTGAACGTGTGGCTGATGGCATCCCCCCAGCTAGGTGGAGGAAATTGAAACTCAGGGAGGGGAAGGCCCTGCACCAGACAGCCTTTCCGTGCCCTTTGTCCTTGGATGCTCCTGCCTGAGTGCCAGGCCTGGTGCCTTTCCAGTTGTTTGCCAGGGCCACCCGGAAAATCCCAACAGGATGGATTGAGCGGGCCCCACCCAAGGCCCAGCTATGTCAGTCAAACTCTGTGACAAGCGGCAGGAAGCTGACCTTCAGTGGCAGCCAGAGGGGAATCCATATCACATTTTGTAGCAGTCACCTACTGCCATAGTAATGCTGCCTAACAAACTGTCCCCAAAGTCAGTGGTTTTTCACAACTGTCATTTATCAAGTCATGGGCCTGCTGATCAGTTGATCCAGGATGGACAGATTCATTTCAGATCCCTTTTAGGTGTCTCTCCTCCTTGCACCAGCAGCTGCTGAGCTTCCTTATTACAACGTCATTGGCAGAAGCACAAGAAGGGCCAAGGGAAGCTTGAGGCCTCCTTAAGCCCAGACTCTGAGCTGACGTGCTGTCATTTCTACCACATCCTACCGACTGAAGCGAGTCACAGGATCATGGCCAAGGCCCATGGGGAGGGCGTACGCTTCAGCTCCGGGGGCAGCTCTGCAGACTTATGTGCAGGAGGGCGTGCAGACAGAGGGAGAAGCCTGGAATAATAGCGCACCTGCTTTCCGCCGGTGGGTGGTGGGCAGGACAGATATCAGGATGGCCACTTTGTGGAATGAGGCACAGCGTGGAAAGGTAGAATGATTCCCCCTAGCTCCAGCAAGTAGGCCAGACTCCTGGCCACCTGATCTCTAAGCTTCACACACTCCCCACTAGCCCAGACCTTCACCCCCCATCCCCTAGCCATTCCATCAGACCTTGAGATGGAACATTTCCAGACCACCCAAGACACACACACACACACACACACACACACAGAAGCAGGGAGAAATGGGCACAGAGAGTCAATTTTTGTTCAAACTTAGGAATTCTGGAGAAAAAAAAAACTATATGCAATACTATATTTTTAGTGCTAAATGGTGCTAAAAGCATTTTTTGGCACCCTTTAGAGAGCGAAAGTAGCGTGGTTAGTTTGGGAGCTGAAAGCTGAATGTGCTGTGCGTCCTCTGGTTTTGTCAATGCCTCACTTCTGGCAAGGTCGGCTTGCTTCCGGCAGCACATGCATCTGTGCCGTGTGTGCTTTAAGATGGTGTTCACCTCTGCAGGTAAGGCCCAGGCTTCCCACCTGTGTGTCTGGCTAACTCTAGAGTATCTGAGATGGGTAAAGGGAGGAAAATGCCATTATCAGAGAGAAAACCAACTGAGCAGAGGCTGTGGCCTTTCTATTTGGATCCGAAACAAGTTGAGAGGGTTGACACGCTGACATCCAGTCAGCCCTGATGGGCCACATGGACACGACCATCCCATTGCCCTCACTAGCCATGGGACCAGAATGGCCATCAGAGCCCACCCCAGCTATAGATAGGAAGGGAGCTGTCTGCTGAGGAGCCTTCCAGAACGAAGTCTTAAGTGCTTAGAAGGAGACAGGGAGAGCTTGTCTCTTGCTTCCTCTCTTCTTCTGGATGCCGCCATGTCTGGATGTGATGTGATGCCTGGATCTTGGCAGCCGTCTTGTGTTGCTGAGGGGGCCTCCCTGAAGGCAATACTGACACTTAACGAGTGCTGCATGTCAGGCAGGCCCTCTGCTGAACACAGGACGTTGATTGAATGCTTTCTAGCTAGGTCTTCTTGTGTGCCAGGTTCCGGGGCCGTAGTAGAACCGGCCTCAGGGAGGTCCCAGCTGGGGATAGTGGGGTCTGACAATTGCAACACAGCATTGGGCATGACAACAGAGGGCCAGGGCGCTAGGGGAGCACCCTCTCTCTTTCTCACCTGCTGTCTATCTTGCCATTCTCCAAATGAACGCTCTTTCTCCATCTGGACCCTCACGGGCCCCGTGCCAGCTTTTCCCAACAACAGTGACAGCAGCATATGTGGACACAGCGCCTCCCGTCTATCAGCTCATCTTGTCCTCACAGGATCCTTGTGAGGACAGTGTCTTCCTCATTTCCCAATCCGGGGAATGAGGCCTGGGGCACTGACGGTGCTTTTAGCTTCTTAGCTTCCACACACAGCTTCCCAGTGTGGGCAGGCCATGACTGGGGCTCACACGTCCTAAAGTTGGCACTTAGCCGCTAAGCATGTCTGTGCCCTGTCACCCCCATTGCCCGGGGCCCTCAGTGCCAGATCTGCCACACAGAGCCTCCCACGGGGAGCTGGGGCCTCCTCCCCACACCCCCGGCCCACTTCTCCCTCCCCCATCATCCCCTCCGAGAGCCAGATCAGCCATTTCCTTCGGGAGAGAGGACACCCTGTTCACCAGCCCACTGCCCAAAAGGAAGGCTTCACACCTGGCTTCTTGCTTAGTTTTATAGGAACTCTGCAGGCACCGCTGTGCCCACTTCACAGAGGAGAAACCTGAGGCTCAGAGAGGGGAAGAGACCAGAGCAGCACGCAGGAGGGAGAAGGTGGGTGCAGGACCCACCCCAGCCCTGGCTGGTACCAAAGCCCCAGGACCTGGGGTAGGGGGGTAGCCTAGGTGGCGGCCTCTCCCTGAGGATAAAGAGCAGAGGGGAAGGGGCTGAGCCTGTCTGGAAACTGCAGTTTGCTGGGTGTGTACCGAGGGGCCACATGGACCGTAGCAGGGTTGAAGCAGGAGGGCGTGATGGTCAGGCCTGTGAGCAGCTGGCTGGGGAGATGGGACAGCCGAGATGAGGAGCCGCTGGGGCAGGGAGGCTGCTGGGGATGGCAGATCCGCGGGCACTGAGAGACTGGCCCGATGTAGCATGTGGGCGGGGAGGGTCTGGGGAGGGGACCTCAGTGTGCAGGGGCGAGTGTCCACGGTGCGGGTGGGAGTGGAGCACTGGCTCTGGCTCTGTGGCCTGCAGGAGGCGGGCGGGGAGCCGAGCGCCAAGCTTGCTGTCAGGGGCTGCCACTGAATCGCTGGGGATTAGGTTTGGCTGCAGCGGAAGACCCACTGGATCCTGAAGCTGTGGGGAGTGTCCTCTCTCATGTCAAGGGAGGCCGTCCTGCGTCCAGGCACAGGCTCCCCAGACAGGGGCCTAGCTATTCTGGTCGCCCCCACGCAGCCTGCCTGGCCAGGTGGGGGCGCACCTCCCATGAGTCCATTTCAGGAGCGGCAAGGGACACCGATGCTCACGCTTTGTCCCCAAAACGTGGCTGCATGCTGCCTTTCCGGCAGCCTAAAGGGCTGGGAGACCTTGACGGTACTCTGGCCACTGTCCACCCAACCCTGAGTCAGGGGTCTGGGCCCGCGGAAGAAGGTGGGTGATGTGGGGGACGGGCGGCCTCTGCCAGAAGCTCTACTGGGTGGCCTGCCCGCCTTGGGTGGCCACCTGGTCTCTCCAGGCCTCTGCTCCACTTCCACACCCGTGACGCAGGACTGCAGAACCTTGGGCCCCGGGTGCGCCCAGGTGCGTGCTCTGTGAAGGCAGAAGGCTAGGCCCTGGGGGTCGCAGGGGGCAGAGGACCATCCCTGAGGGGAGTAAGCACTGGGATAGGCAGAGGGCGAGGGGCTGGGGACGTGGAGGCAGGTGCTGGTGGGCAGGGCAGGTGGACTCCAGGCTGCAGAGTCAGTGTGGGGAGTGGTGGCCTCAGGGAGGTCAGCTTCTGAGAGCGGGGGTGAAAATGGGGTGACAGGAGGGACAGATGCCGAGTGAGAGGTGCCCAAGGGAGAGAGAGGGAGAGAGAAAGGGGGGCCGTGGGGCTAGCTGGTGACGTGTGGGTGGGCCCCATCCTCGGGCACCTCTGGGGACCCTGGGCTGGCAGCCGGGGGATGACAGCAGGGAGGGAGGCCTTGGTGGCCAGCCAGAGAAGGGAGGAGTGGCACACTGGGCAGCAGGACGGACTGCTCCCCAAGCCCCCGTGACCAGAAACAAAGTCACCAGGGCCTGGGTCCCTCCCAGGCAGCACACATGCAGTTCCAGCCATGAGCACGCCCCTCGTAAGAAATGATATAGAGCTTTATTAAATAAACCCAGTAGAAATGCGCCTATTTACATCCAAGTTGTCAGTTTGAGCTTAAGTAATATGCAAAGGCACAATTCTTCCTGTCTCCAGCTTTAGAAAAATAAATCGCACAGCCCAGCCCTGGAGGCCTGAAGTGGACTCACATGTGCGGCTTGGAGCAGAGCGGATGACTCCCGCACACGGTGAGCATGCGTGCCTGGCTCTGGGATGCGTCTCCAGTTCTTCCTGAGAGTGGCACGGCGCTTGGCTCGGAGGCCTTGGACGCTGCAGGGACGAGGGGTGGGGAAGGAGGAGGGCCCCTTCCCAGAAGGCAGGCCCACCCTCCTCACTGGCCAGGGTCGGGCTCTGTGGCCCGGCAGGGTGCTGCCACGGGGAGACCGGTGCTCGCGCCGGGCGGGCCGGAGGCTCAGGTCTGTGGAGGTGCATGACCATAGTACAAAAGGGGGAACAGGTAACACTGGGTCTTTGTGCTTGGGTGGAACACAGTGGCTTCTCCAGAAGAACAAACAGAAGGAAAGATCCCGGCCTCTGGCTCAAGGATGTTTTCCTAACTAGGATCCCCATGTCCCTTAGGTGGGAAGAGACACAGGGAGAAGGAAAAGGAACCAGACGCCACCAAACATCCCACTGAGGCTGCGGCCCAGTCCAGGAGACGTTTCCATGCTTAGGAAACAGAAACAGAGGATGCCATTGATTCACAGTGGCCCACGGAGGGGCAAAAGGTAGCCCGGCTCGCAGCTCCTGTGGCCCCTTACTGTCCCCCAGGGCAGGGGGAGCCAACGTGGGGTCCCCATCGCTGCGTTCCTAAGGCTTCTGTGCAGTCACGGGGTGAGCACCTGACATTCACGTGTGTTCACTCCCCTCATTTCCTAGCAGGAGCCAGACTAGGGGTGAAGTTTCCACATGGTCGGGGGGAACCCCACACAAATTAAGAAGTAATTAAAAAGTCCTTTCCCTGAGGCCACTGCAGTAACATCCCCTCCTAGTAAACGGAGCTTCTGTGTGCTCGAAGTCTTGAGAAGAGAGTGGTTCTAGAGACGGCAGGGGAAGAAAAGCATGGCTGCACGTTGTCTGGAAACCCTCGACAACCGGGCATAAAGGAATGAGCCAGAGTCTTAGCAAAGGCTAGGAACAAAACCAAACAAAAGCCAGAGGCAACTCTGACGTGTAAGAATAAGCAGAGCCTACAGGACACCACAGAGCAGCCAGCGAGGGGGCCTGGGCTCCGGGCCGAGCTGATCGGGGCTGTCCCCACGGCGGGGGCACAGGGGCATCAGGACCCGGCCCGCTGACTAGTGCGAGGTGTATGCGGGGCTCCACAGCCCTGAGGGCGGGCTGGCTCTGCGGCTGGGAGGCAGCGCGTTGAAAGGCGTCGGTGACGAGGCAGCGAAATCTAGGGTGGAAAGAGATACGGCGTGAGCGACAGAGCAAAAGGGAGAGCCGGGCATTCCTCAGCGGCTGTGCCGGAACAGCCGGTGAGGAAGTGTCGGCTGCCTACCTCGGCCACTCCCCAGGACCGCCCCCCCCCCCCCCCCCCCCAGGCAGCCCTGTGCTGGCAGAGAGATGTCACCCAAGGAACGTGTGATGACTGAACATGCAGAGAGGCCTGGAGCATAGGCCCTGACCTCCCACAGCAGACCTGTGGGGGAGGACAAGTAGTGGGTCTCAGGGCCACATGGAAGTGTCCGTGGGTCCCCAGGGAGTGTGGGGATGAGGGCCTGTGCACCTGGGCAGGACCAAGCTCCTGGGCAGAGAAAGCTGCATGAACAGAGACTCCCCTGTGTGCAGAAGTCTCTGGAGTGTTCAAGAGAAAATGCCAGTATTCCGCAGTGGTTCCAGCACACAGAGGGAGGGGTGCATGGGGAGACGGGGTGAGAAAGGGGCAGTGCCCGCTGCAAGGATGGCTGGGGAACGTTTGTGGAAGGCTATGGTTCTAGGGGTCCAGAATGCATGTGGGATCTGGTCACCCAGGAAAATGCAACCCTATACAAAACTGTTCTCCTCCTCAAAATTCAGACTCTTTGAAGCCTCCCATGCCCCCTTAGGTCATCAAAAACCTGTTCAGGGGAGAGAAGCCTCAGATGGAAAACAGAAGACAAGAAAGGCTGCCATGTGCCCTCCTGGCCGGGCACTGCAGTTCTCAGAGGTGTCCCCTGGAATTGCCCAGGGTCACCAGAGACAACTGGAACATGAGGAAGACGGGCCCTTGTGATTCTTCTCCATCGGGGAAATCCATCATCAGGCCAGTCCAGAACCCCCACCTCCAAGTCAGCAGGTCTGACCCAGCTCAGAGCCCTCTGCAGCAGCCCGGCAGGTGGGAGCCAGTGCCAGCTACCTGCAGAGACAGGTCCCGGCTGCCAGCCCTCCACCCTGCGAGGTTTGGCCTGGGGAAAGCTCTCCTGGCCCAGGGCCGGCATGCTGTCCCCCTCCCCAGCATCCAGGTCTGCCTTCTGGGCCTCACACCTCAGCTGCCACTACTGCCCAGGGCCAGAGCTTCTGAGACTGGGGGTTTGGGGCCCCGATCCCTGCTTCCTCCCGCAGCTTCCCCCCTACTCACAGTGGGGGCTGTGGCGAGGGCTGGCTCGCGGGGAGAAGGCTGGAGGTGCGGTGAGCTCCCGGGGCGCGCAGACCGTGTGGTAGGCTGCAGGAGCACAGGGCTGGTTAGCGTTGGGGTGGGGGTGGGGAACCACCAGGGGAAACAAGGCAGCCCTCCTCACCTATGATCATGACAGCAGTCCCAGCCAGCAGGGCAAAGAGTGTGAAGAACATGACTTGGTAGGAGTCCAGGAAGTGCTGAAAGAGGCTGGCTCCGTCTGCGATCAATGGAAAGACAGGTCACCAAACCAATCCACCGAGCTCCCTCGTGTCTGTGTGCGGTCAGAGGGTGAGGTGGCCTGCCCTGGGCCTGGGGCTGCATCTGGCCCTGGGGGGCTGTCTCCCCAGTGCTCCGTCCTATTCCATCTTGGGCCACTCGAACTGACCTGGTTCCACCCGAGGCCCTGCTTCCTTGGAGTGGGTTCAGGGTCCATACCCATTCCAAGGAAGGACAGACCTGTCCGGGGGAGTCCAGGGGAGTCCAGAGGGTGTGGGCTGCCCGAGTCAGCCAAGTTGCCCGGAAAGGCAAGGCAGTGTTGAAAATGTCAAGCCGTGAGCTGCAGGCATGACAATGGAAGTCAGGGTCGGGCAAAGGTATTGGACAGACCCGAAGCCCATGGACCAAGGGAGCCCACCCCTCCTCTTGGGGCCCTGCCTCAGGGTGGCCCAGACAGTGGCTTCCTCTTCTATCTCCCTCTACCTGAACCTGCATCCCTACTGCACCCTCACCGGGCTGTCCTGGGTCAGGACACACCCCTGCTTGGCAGGAAGAAGGCGGGACCTCTTCAAGTGCCCTTGACACTGATCTGACCCCATCCCTTTGCTCCCAGCCATACCTGACCCGGCTATTCCCTGCTCTCAAGAAAAAGCCTGAACCCCTGGCCTGGCGTTCAAGGCTCCTCATCCAGCACATCGTCCCAGAGTCCTTCTGACTGCATCACCCTCCCCCTGCCTACTCATCCTTCCATGCCCCTTTGAACTACACCCTTCAGCCAGCAGAAGTATAATCACCCACCCCCTCTGGGTGCCGCCCACTTCTCCAGCCACATTAAGAAGAAGCCACATTTAGAATCATTTCTTTTTTACTGTGTTTATAATCCATGCCCTATTTGAGGCTTCTCAGGCTTCTGTCCAGCACAGGGGCTGGCATACAACAGGTGCTAATAATGACTACAGAATCGATGAATCATCCATTACTGAGCACCTGCTGTATGTCAGGTGGGCCTTATTCTTTTTTTTTTTTTTTTTTATGATAGTCACACAGAGAGAGAGAGAGAGAGAGAGAGAGAGAGAGGCAGAGACACAGGCAGAGGGAGAAGCAGGCTCCATGCACCGGGAGCCCGACGTGGGATTCAATCCCGGGTCTCCAGAATCACGCCCTGGGCCAAAGGCAGGCGCCAAACCGCTGCGCCACCCAGGGATCCCCAGGTGGGCCTTGTTCTAAGCGCTGTCCCCACATATAGTACTTAGTCTCTAGTTGGGGAAGACTGGTAGAAACCCAAGTTTCTGTACTAATTATTCTACAGGCTGACAGCTGAGAATAGTGCTATGGAAGAAGAAGGGTTTGAGTGGAAGTAAAGTTCAAGGTTTCCTATTTCATGAGCAGAGAATGTCTGAGGGGAGGTTGGTTTGATGGAGGTGGGAGTGTTGGCCAAGGGGGGAAGGCATCCCAGGCAGAGGGAAGAGTGAATGCCAAGGACTTAGCTGGGGCTAAGCCTCTTTGGCTTCCCAAAGAGGAAGGAGGCCAGAGTGGCTGGAACAAGGTGTTCAAGGGGGAGACAAGCATAACTGGGTCAGGAAGGCAGATTATGTAGGGCCTTTCAAGACACTGCAGAGACTTGGGCTTTACTTCATGAGGGAGGTGGGAGCCATAGCAGAATTCTGAGCAAGGAGGGGCATGACCTAGTCACATTTCAACAGGATTCCCTCTGGCTGCCAGGTTGAGAATAGATGGGGAAGCAAAGTGCGCATGGCTGCTTGAATGAGTGATATTTGCCTTGCAGGACATTCTGTAGTTTTGAGTTGTCCAGTTCTTGACACCCCCAGGTTCCCAAAAACAACTGAGACGACCCAGCCCAGCCCTCCCTGCCCAGGTCCATCCCAGCTGTGTCCCATCCCATGACTCACGAGGACCAGGCCCTCGGCGATCCATCACAAAGGCCACGGTGACCGGAATGGTGATGGCTTGGTTAGTCATGGGGCTGGAGAAGGTCAAGGCGGTGGACAGAGGCCCTTGGCTGCCGGCCGCAGGATCTGAGATGCCGACCGTGTAGGTGATGAAGCTGGGGAGCCCCAAAGACTTCTCCTTCTCAAAGGCCAGCACAGCTGGGGACCCTGATTTCACCTGGGAGAGACGTCAGGGCTGGAGAGCTGCACCCTCGCTGCTGCCTGACATGCTGTGCTCCCCTCCTGAAGGCTAGGGGTGAAGACCCCTCCCCAGCCCCACTTCCCAGGCCAGTGATGATGCCTGGGTACTTCTAACCGACAGCGTGAAATCTGCAAAGTCAGGGAAGGAGCACACCGTGTATACGTGGAGTGTTTTTGAGGAAAGGACAAATCAATATCATTGAATTCTAATCAAGTGCTCTTTAAAAAAAATGCTAAACTAACATGAACTATCACCAAACGCCAACTTTCCAAGGGAACAGCCTGGAGCTCTGTTAATGGCTGATTGCCAGCAGCTCAAACCCCAGGGCCTGGCAGGCCTTCCGTCACCAGCAATGGATTCATCCCTGTCTTGCTCCAAGAATGTTCAGCCACATTTGCGGCAGTGAGACATGGATGGAGTGAACAGAGGAAACAAAAACCTCTTCGCCACATCACCCCAGATCTCCTCCCAGCTTGCTGGGTGGTAGGACCCAGGACATCATTCATCCAGCATCAGCAGATGGAGAAACTGAGGCCCAGAGCTCAGTACAGTTGTGCAGGAGGCAGTGACAGGTTAGAGACTGGAGCTTTTCCTCCTGCCCCATGGCAGCGCGCATCCCTGCACTGACTTCATTCATCGAGCATACTAAATGTTCACTGAACACTAGCAGGTACTAGGTAAGCCCTAAGCTAAGTACTGCCCTCCCATGCTTAACTCCTGGCTGGGGAAGACTTCTAGAAATCACAGTAATTAACACAATTATACAGGCTCACAGGTAACAGTGGTACTGTGGAAACAAAAGGATAAAGAGTATTTACTTTAATTTTAAGTTTTAGTTTTAAAGAGAGGTGGTCCAGGGCTTCTATGTTCTACCCAGAACTCCCTGCCTCCTCCTGGTCCTTTCGAAGGCCCCTGGTTCGTGTGTGGATGCCACTCACCTCCAGGTTCTCGAGAATCTCCATGGCACCAAAGACCTTGACCTCGGAGCTGGTGTAGTGGTTGCTCAAAAGGATTTCAGCCTGGTCAGTGTATAGCCCTGGGCTGAAGGGCACCTCGGCGCCCACATGCTCTCCAGAGATGTGGCTGCCCGGGATGGAGGCAGTGACCAGCAGCGCCGTCTTCTTCATGCTGAGGTGTTTCAGCTGCTTGTCCGTCAGCCTGTGCATCGTGACCAAGCAGAGGTACCGGCCTGTGCAGACAAGGGTGTTCCACACTGTCTGTCCCCTCTCCCACCCAGGCCCTGATGCTACACTTCCTCCTTGCTTTTCTAACTGGACAACTCCTACTCATCCTTCAGAGCTCAGGTGAGGCATCACCTCCTCCTGGACCCTCCAGGGATGTCCCTCTTTGGTACCCCCAGTCCAGCTTGGGCACCCTTTCTGTGACCAGCACTCTCGCTCCCTTCTCAGAATGCTCTGTTCACCAGGTCCCTGTCGTTCCTGGGAGTAGGAACATGGGGGCCAGCTCTGCATCTCAGGGCCCAGCCATCCTGGCTCAGAGTGCCAGTGAGTAAATGATGAACAGACATCATGACCCGATCAATGCTGGGCTACAGGTCAGCTGGGGCTCACGCCCAGCACAGCCTATGGCCCCAGATGCAGCAGAAAGTTCTGGGAGGGTGTGGATCAGGACTATTTTGGTACCTGTTGGATCCTCTATGCCTGGCCCTGAGTAGATAAACGAGTTAAATGGACACTTGAGTGCTGCCCTGGAGGCCCCTCCAAGCCTGGAACCAGGGTGCCTGCACTGGAGTCCCTTCTGTGCCCATGCCAGGCAAGCACGCTCAGTGATTCAGCCTCCTTACCGAACTAGCATTGCACCCCTCATGGCACCATTTAGGGAATAAATAGGGCATGGGACCAACCACTGCCTGCTCTGTGCCAAGCCCAAAGCTTGGGCCCCACATATGATGTGCCCTGAGGATGTATCTCCTGCATCCTAGGCAGAGGCCTAGATGCTGACCCGGGCCACGGAGAGCTGCAGCTGGGCTTATGGCCTGGCATCATGCTGTTGCTAACTTCTAATTAAGACTGGGCTGCGTGTTCTTGGAAGGAATGGAAAAATGGGCCAAATGCTCATCAACAATCATTATCATGACATTGGCAGCTACCACTGAGGACTCCTAGGAGTGTGTGCTGGGCACTGTGCTAAGCATGTCGCAGGAACTATCCTCCTAAACCCTTGAAGCACCCCAGGGGGGGACCACTCTTCTCAGGGCCAGCATGCTGGGGGTCCAGGTGGTCACTCCAGACTGGGGTTCCAGCCTTCAGCTCCATGGACGGTGGAACAGTTATGCTGAGACACACAGTGTGGCCCTTGACTAGTTAACCAGGCCCCTTCCAGCCATCTCTCGCGTGCACCACTCAGCCCTCTCATGTAGGCAGAGCAAGGCACCTTCCTGCCCATTTCACCAAGGGAAACACCTCAACACCCACTGGCTCAGCGCTAGAAAGAGCACAGAAGGTCTTGAACCTTGAACCCAGGTCTTCCAACTCCGAAGCACGTCCTTCCTGTGTATGTGTAGGCAGCTGTGGACAACAGCCATCACCCAGCACAGGACTGCCAACCCCTCCTGGTGGCCGGAAGGAACCAGAGGCCAGAGTGATGGCATCTGTCCCCGGGCTGGGTTCCTGATGACCCCTCCACGCAGATGGCTGTTGTGAGCCAAACACCCCAAAGGAGCCAGTTTTCTCATTCAACCCCTGAACTTACCCAGAGTCGTGTCAAATCCCGGTTCTGCTGTGAAAATGTCACGTGCTGGGAAATCGAAGACCTCTTGCTTGAACCGGAGCTGGCAGCTAATGAGCGATTCTGGGTGCAGAGTCTCTATGACTTCCATCTGGGTGGGGGAGCACTCACCTGGAGACGGGAGATGGGTAAGAAGGGCCTGGGCCAGGACGACTGGCCGCCACGCCCAGGCTGGCTGTGCTGGGAAGTGGCACCTGTGCCCCACGCTCCTTCTGCACGGGGCTCCCAGGGCAGCCGGAAGCTTCACAGTGGTGCCACAGACTATAAAAGCTGAGGGTGACTATAAGGATGAGGAAGGTCATTCTGAGTGGTGGGCAACCTCAGATCGGAATTTCAGCATCTGTGCGAGAGCCTGCATCCAGCAGCCCGGCAGGTAGGTCGGGCCACTAATGCACGTCCTCTGTCGCCGGCAGCAGGGGAAGATGGGCAATTTATTCCTGGGCATCAGGAGGGCAACACTTCTCCGCTAATACACTGAGTATCACTTTGGCAACGGCACAGTGCAGCTGCCCTCGTGCACGGAGGTGGGAAAACAGAGGTTACTGGGATGCAGTAAAGCTGCCTCATCAATCGGAACAAGAACAGCCATATTTAATCCTACCGGTTAAGTGGTTTCAAAAAGAACCAACCAAACAAAAAAATAAAAACAAAACCCAGTCTGTATTGATGTATTTATTTCTGACAGCTGCTGTCCAGGGCTGTCACGGGCAGGGGACAGGGTCGAATGTTCTGCACGTGAGTCAGAAGAGGTAATTACAAACACCCAAATCAGCAGTGATGCCTGCTAAGTCAGTACCCTCTGGGATGAGTGGTAGAAAGGGTGGCTTTCTTTACTCGGGTGCCCGAGGGCTAAAGTGGCATTTCTGGCTCAGAAACAGGACGTTTCTGGGTGCCAGGCTCTTTTAGGAAGATCTCTTTGCACCATCTCTACCTGTGGAGGACTGGGATTTCTCAAAAGCTGGAAGGAATGGGCCCATGGGGGGTTTAGGTGTTCTCTCTGGCTATGGGGTGAGTTTGTGTGGGAAAAGCAGAGAAAATCGCAGCAGACAAGGGCATGAGGAGCCCTTGGCTTGGCAGGGCCCCTCCCCAGACCAAGCAAGCCCCTCACTCTCTACCTCTCAGGTTAGAGCTTCTGTCTCCCACGGTGACGGTCACTTTGGAGGCCTCCTGGAAGCCGGTCTGGCCTGGGCGGACGGAACGGGCCACGATCCTTTGAGGGACACCAATCACTATCTGAGGAGGGAGCCGAGGCAGCTGCAGTGAGCACCGGCCACGTGTGGGCTCGGTGCTGGGCACTCTCGTGACCTCACCCTGCTGCCTATGACGGGGTTCTGCCCCTTGCACAGGGCACAAGACAGGCTCATCACCTGAAAGACGTGCCAAGAGGTGGTGGAGCTGGGCTTAGGCCCTGGCCTGGTCAGACCCTGCGGTCTGGCTCTGTCCCTCTGAACAAGCTGCTTTTCTTGAACAGCAGAGCCTGGAGCTGAACCGCAGGCCTGAATTCATTTAACAGTTTGGGGTGGGCTGCGGATTTTGGTTCTTGTGACAGTTGCAATCACTTCTCTGTTCATCAGTTTGGTTAATTAGTCTTTCAGCAATGAGAGAAGGTGCTGTTTTACTTTACTGCCATTCATTCAAAATAAATCACCCTGGCCAAAATGCAACTCACACAGCCTGGGCAGTGAAGCAACCACCCCCATCACTTGTCCCTCTACCCAGATACAAGTCCTCCCAGATTTTTCCCTGCCCACCCCCTTTGCTCATCCTGCACTGGCTGCACCCAAACACCCCAGCTGTGGGTCTTTCTTAAGCTTTCAACCTCCCCTGTAGAGCCTGACCCCATTGGCCCCTGAAGGCCCAGCTCCTGTGTCACCCCCTCCAGCTGGAGGCTGTCTACCCACCTCTGGGCTGCCCCTGAGCGCTTCCTGCCTCCCATGGGTCTGACCTCCACCAGAACATGATCTCCCTGAGAGCGGGGATAGGGTCTCAATCCTCCCCAAATCCCATACAGCTCCCAGGGCCGTGGCTGATGTAGGATCATAGGAAGGCCTATGGGCTGGGCCCACTGCCTCCGGACTGCTCTCTGAGCAGAGGCACCTGCTCTCTGGCCCTAGTTCTTCCCATTTTCTCCCATACTTCTGACTACCATGCTACTGTCTTCTCCCCTCTTCCTCTTCCTCCTCCTCCACACCTTGCAGAGGAGGCCCAAGGCCTTGCCCCTGCCCCTCCTGCTCTGGCATGTTCTGCATGTTCCCATCCACTCTCAGGTCTTCAAGAACCACTTTTGTGTGGTAGACCCCCACCCATCTCCAGCCTTCTGCCCTGGAGCTCCAGAAACACCTGCCATCTCACCCCTAGCCCCAGAGAGGAGCTGCAACCACCTCAAACTGGCCACATCTCAACTAACTCATCCTCCACCCACATTAGTACCCCCTCTTTGCTTTTTGCTTCCCCGTTAGGGTAAAGGACCAACATCCACCTTGTCACCCAAGCTAGACCCCAGGGGAGTCCTCCTCAGAGCCCACTCCTCCCTCAACCCCTACTTCCAAATGGTCACCAAGCTCTGGTGACCCTCCCTCTGAATCTCCCCTAAATCCACCCTTAGTTTATGCCCACCCGATGGGGCCAGCTGAGGGCCCAACCTCAGCCCCTGGCTGGCTACCCTGCAGCTCCTGCCTTTCCTTTGGGCTTGCAGACTTTGCCAGGCACCAGTACTCATTCCAAACCTTACCTCTGATCTATATCGCTCTCTACTTAGAAAGAAAAAATCCCTGATGAGTCCCTACTGGGTCTGGCATAAGCTTCCACCTCTTTATTCTGGAATAGTAACAGTTGCAGCTAATATCTACTGAATATTTGCTAAGCGCTGCCTACCATTCTAAGTGCTTCACATATATGAACTCATTTAATCCCTACAACACTCTTCTCTCCATTTTCCAGACAGGAAAACCAAGGCACAGAGAGGCAAAATGACTTCCCCAATGCCACACAGCCCCTCAGTGCCCAGCTGGGATGCGAACCCAGGCAGCCTGGCCCCAGAGCTCCCATGCCTTAAACACTCCATGGAACTACCTGGAGCCCAGTGTGTATCATGATCTGATTACAACGCCGGCCTCCACTCCCGCCTGCACTGCCTGTGTTCCAGCCATCGGGGCTGGGCTCTCAAGCCCGGCATACCTTAGCCTACACCATGCTCTCTCGTCCAGCCCTCCGCTGCCCCTGCCCACTCTCGGCGGCTCCTCCTGGGAGAGCACAACTTCATCAGTCACAAGGTGCTCCTATCTGCAACCAGCTCACCCACTGCATAGCCCCGGCACTAAATATACGAGCTATTAGGTTAACCTGCTGGATTCGACCACGTGCACACTGGCTCTAAAATGAGACACATTTGGAACACAGCCAGACGTTGCTCATTGATTCATTCTCGGCTGGAGATAAATAGGAGAACAGTTTTGTTCGCCTCCAGAAAGACTCAAAAGGTGACTTGCCGGGGAGGCTTAACTTCCTCAGTGACGCCAAATCCAAATTGCCACGATGGCCCGCCCACACCGAGACCCCTGGGGAGACACCCACAGGGGATGTTCCTGCCTATCCCCCAGAGTGCATGGGAGCTGGGGGGGAAGCCCAGGATGTCAGCCCTTGCCTTGACACCATTTGGAATGTGGGGAGGTGGGAGGTGGAGGCCTATGTAGAAAATCCCAGTGGGCAGCAGAACCCAGACTCATGACTTCGGATCCTGCCTGCTAGCACGCTGCTGGTGCTTGTTTTTTAAAGAAAAGGGAGTCATTCAGTATAGAAAGCTAAGGGTTTCACCCCAGAGGGCCAGCTGTGCATTCCCCGAAGCCCCACCTCCTTGTAGGTCTTCAGGTACCCAGCGACCTCGTAGTAAACCGTCACAGATCCTGCCTCTCGAGCGACAGCCACACCTGTCCTGGGGTCGATGTGGAGGATGCTGCTGGCTGAGGAGCTCCAGGTTCCAGAGAGGCCTGGGAGAGGAAGCCCTGCTGTCACTCATCTTTCCCATAACTGCTACTCTGGCCAAACCCTGTCCCCGGGGTGACGGTGCCAGCCTCCTGGCTGCCCTGCCCACCCCCATGCTCCACACTGCTGCCAGGGGAGCTCACGCATCACCCTATCACCCTCAGGGTAGAACCCATGCCTCCCGCTCTGCACCCCACAGGCTGGCCACTCCCCTCAGGCTCCTGGCTGTGGCCACCTGGAACCCCCTGCAGTTCCAGTGCACCTGCTCTCTGCTCAGCTGCGACCCTGACCAGAGTGAACCTCTGGCCCTTTCTCCCCAGCACCTCCCTGCTCTGAATCCCATGATCATTCCTTGTCCCGGGATGACCTGGGAGCTGGCCCTCCCCACAGCAACCCCCCCCCCCCGCGCAGCCCATAACTGTTTACCAGTCCCTTTTTAGCAAACAAAGCAAGTGTCAAGGCTCAAGAGCTGGCACTAAACAGCATTTCTTAATTAAAAGCCAATCCCGTTATATAATAGATACAACACAGTAACTCAACAACTACATCTACTTCTGGCCAATTATATATATATATATATTTTTTAAGGGCAGTATTTAACTTCCTTTTAAAATGAATTTCATTGGGTGAAAAAAAAAAAAAAAAAACAGGGACTCAAGGGACGCCGGGGTAGCTCAGCAGTTGAGCGTCTGCCTTCGGCCCAGGGCGTTATCCTGGAGTTCCGGGATCGAGTCCCACATTGGGCTCGCTGCATGAAGCCTGTTTCTCCCTCTGCCTGTCTCTGCCTTTCTCTCTGTGTCTCTCATGAATGAATAAATAAAATCTTTAAAAAAAAAAAAGGGAAGTCAATTTGGAAAAAAAAAAAAAGGAATGTAGGTCATGCATATACAGGTGGCATGTGAACGGATGAAATCTGGAAATCCGCTGAATGGGGCCAATGGCTACTCTTTGCTCACATTTCCTTCTAGATGTACACTGTCCGACATGGTAACCACTGGCCATGAAATGAATTAAAATGGAACAGATTGCTCCTCAGTCGCATTAGCCACATTTTGAGTGTTGGGTCATGAGTGCCTCCCATTAGACAGTAGATAGGGGGACATTTCCACAGAAACATCTACCACTCAGCGCTATGCTCGTGTAAGAGCTGGAAGCCTCTGTGAGGGGCCAGAGGGTATACACATCGGGCTGTGTGGGGCCGAAGGTCTTGGATGCCACTCCCCCCGGCTTTGTAGGGTGAAAATGGCCACCGAGGGCTCATGAATGAATGGGGGCCGCAGAGTTCTAACGCAGTTTGGTTGGCAAAAAGAGGCAGCACACTGGACTTGGCCTGTAGACTCCGACACCTGCTCTTGAGCCTCACACGAGCTCTGCTGGTCTTAGCCCCACAGCAGGAGCCTAGTCTCCTCCCTGGGACTGCCCCTCACTCAGAAGGGCTCCCTGACCAATGTGCATCTCTCTTACCTTCTAGGCCGACCAGAACTGTGTCCAGACACAGGACATCACCTACCACCACCGCTCCGGACAGTTCTGGGGAGATGGCCTGGAGCACAGGCAGCGGAACGAAGTCAGACAGGCCCACTTGCTCTGTGTCCCACACACTGAGCAGCGTCAGGCCGACGCTGATGGTGCGCACGACGCACGTGTTGTTGGTGCCGCCCTTCCCAATCTGCACAAACTCGTCTCTAGGCACAGGAGGGAGAGGCAGGCTCAGTCTGAGGGAAGAGGTCCCCGGCTCCAGAGGGACAGGCATGCTGTGTCCCCTGCCAGGTGAAGCCAAAGCCTCTGGCTGACTGTGGTCCCTGATGTCCCTCAGGCTCAAGTTTATCCAGCAGCTGCCAAGATCTGAGGCCATCGCAGGCCACACGGACCAGGCCTCCTCTCCTCTTCTGTGGGAGGAACCCATGGCCCACAGCTGACGTGGCCCATAGCGCATCCCCCACGTCCCAGGGCGGGAAGGTGGAGGCCGAAGGGCAAGGTGAGCTGCAAAGTGCTGCCCAGGCCCTTCCCAACAGTGAACCGAGCCATCTTGGAAGGCACCACCTCTGCCCACTGGCTCATCTGTAAAATGGATTTGATGATGCACCTGTGTCCCAGGCTTGCCGTAAGCATTAAACCAGGTTGGTAGCTGTAAAGCACTGAGACCAGCAGCTGGCACATGGTGATAGCTCAGTCGACACCAGCCAATGGCACTCTGATGGGAAGGCCTGGACGGGCAGGCCTCTGTGGTAGGGTCTCTGGCTTCATCACTTTCCTCCACTATGCCTTCTGACTCCAGAGCCCTGACCCGTCTCCAGGAGAGACGTGCTCCTACCACAAAAGGGCCAGCAGGACCTCTGTGCTCAGGGGCTGGGAGGACCCGGATCTACTCCCTCCAGGGCAGCCGAGGTCCCAGACAGATGCATGGCCCCTACCACATGCAGAGAGGCCACAGTTTGCCAGAGGCCTTCACGACTTGGGGCTCAGTAGGTGGCCCCGAGGACGAAGACATTGTCCCCACATGACAGGTGCAGAAATAGGCCCAGAGTGGTGAGCTGCCTCACCCGTGGAGGCCCCACAAAGGGCAGAGCTGGGGCTTGAACTGGGTCTCACTCGAGGCTTCCTTCTCCACCATGCTTCGTCTCCTATGTCTGGCCCTGGGTATGCAAGCAATCGGGGCCACAGCTGTACAGGCCTGGGGGGAGGCCAACTTGCAATGGTCACCCACACCTGGATACGATCCTCTGCCCCCAGACTCCCTAGACTTCGGCCCCAGCTGTCTTCCCTCCCCCTGTGCCAGATGCTTCTCTGTCCTCTTAGCTGTTCTGTATGCCCCTGGGGCAGTAGTCCTCAAGCTTTAGAACTGCCCAGAGGCATCCTTACCACACAGACTGTTGGGTCCTGTAAACGTGCATTTCCTAGGGCTCCCCAGGGCTGCTGGTGCTGCTGGTCTGGGAACCAAACTTTGACACTCAGTGCTCCAACAGACCCAGTCGGAGGTTTCACAGGCCTAGACTGAAGCCACGGCTCTCCTCCTGCTGTGGAGAGTGCCCTCTCTCCTCATATAAGGCCTGTGGCCACAGGTATAGTAAGAAAGAGTCAGCCCCAAATGAACTGTGTGTGGAAGTACATGGGACCTGGTATTCAAACCCCACTTTCTGCCTGTGTACTGTGGGCAACTGGCTTGACCTCTCTGGGCCTCTACAAATGAGCTACCAGGAGGAATCAGCAAGATGTCATGTGGAAAGGCCTGTACATAATAGATGCAGTGGACGTCAAATTTCTTCCTCACCAGCACTGGAGCACTGGAAGGTGTGCACCTTGTGGGGTGACCAACTTTCATAAAGCCTATGATGTAATTTGCATCCACTGTTCACAGAGCCCATGAATGGCCGGGTTGGTTGCATCTCCCCTGCAGTCGGCTGTCACAGGTATGCAGAAGTCTCACCACAAGCCCTCCAACCACAAACCCTGACACCTGTGTCTCGCCTCCTGTATACCAGGAGACATCACCAACAGCTTCTCATGCCACATGGTCATAGAGACTCTCGACCCTGCTTTCCCCTCCCTCCTGCCTCCTGACCAAGTGCAGTGCTTCTCCTCGTGGCCCTGCCAGCATGGCACATCCCCTCCTCTCAATGACTGCAGGTAACAAGGCTGTCCTCTCAGTGGCACTAGTCTGTCCAGTTGCCACTCAGCCACCTGCACAAATTAGATCCAGGTACAACCAAGACTCGCCTTCAGGTGAGAAATGAGTGTCACCTACACCCTACCTGTTGGTTGCAAAGCTGAGGACCGAGTTGTGAGCATGGAAGATGTCGCCGGAGCTGTCATGGAAGTGGACCGTGAAGGTCACAGTCATTCCCAAAGGCACGGCTGCCAGAGCCTCCTTGTTCTGAGTGTGCAGGGTGGGGCTCATGGAGATCCTCAGGTAAGAAACAGGAGACACCTGAGGACGATGAGCGGGTGTGGGGGTGACCGCACTGGGGACCAGCCTCCCTTCAGAGGAGGTGCCTGTCCCCAGCCGGGCCCCGCTTCAAGAAGGACTGGGGGTGGGGTGGGGGCTGGATTGACTCAGAGGTCACAGAAAGAGGAAAGGCCTTGGCCTCCTGAGCGTCCAACCTAATGACAAGATTCCCGCCTTCCCACACAGCAGGCCGGCCTTCTGAAAACAAAACCCAACCAACAGGAGTCAAAACCCATAACTTTGAAAAATCATTATTCTCATTTGCAAAAATATCCCCAGGGCTTTGAATGTTCAGTTTCTTTAGGAAACCTGGCTCTCTCCGGGTGTTTCAAGTGGAAGTACTGCCCATTTGGACTGCAGAGGAAGCATTAACTGGGAGCCACTGTGTGCCTGCTGATGGCCCAGGGAAAAGAGGATGGGGAGGAGGGAACCTGAACTCCAGAAAGCCTGGCCTTGGTCCCTGAACTCCGACTAAAATCTATCCTGGCCAGAAAGCTCGCCCCCTTCAAAGACTTGATATCTTGGTTAAAGATCAGTGGGCGCCGTGACCGGTACACAGCTGGTGCTCCACACATATCTGCTGAAGTAGGATGAGCAGTGAGTCCCTTCCACTTACTCAAAAAAGTAGGATGGAGGGTTCCCTGCAGGGCACCCACCTTCAATCAAAAAAGCATTTATTAAGGAAGCAGATCTGTGACCGAGGCAAAAATCTCAGACTTGAAGTACTGCATCCTACCTATCACTCGGGATTCAGAATGTGGCTATGAGGAGATGGAGGAGAGAAGTTCTTGGGACGGATCCCAGGACACCCGGCACTAAGGAGCATGGAATGGCAGGGGGAAGTGGGAGGCGTTGTGATGCATATGAAGGACACACATGGGCTAGGGTCCAGATCCTGACTCACTGAGTGACTCACTTCTATGGTGAGTCTCAGTTTCCTTGCCTGTAAAACGGGTTACTGAATTGTCTGTCATTACATACGTCATGCAAGGATTTCAGCGCCAGGGATCTAGCACAGGCAGCCAATGCCCATAGGCACTGACCCTGTTCCAGGTCCCAGCTACCCAATCAGGACACTGGGGCACCAGGCCCAGCAACTCACAGGCCTAGCTGGGCCTCAGTTTCCCCATCTGTGAAATGAGGCCATTGAAATCAATCATCTCCAAGGACCTTCAGCTCTGACATCCAGGAGACGCTATTGTTTTTCCTCTGGGACCTCTGCCTTCACGTTACTCTTCAGTAAATTCTTAGGTACAATTTCCCGGCTGGAAGGTGAATAGGTCAGTCTTACCCCCACGAGGGGAAAGCTTTTACCTCAACACGACTGCTTTTATTCCTACTCCAAAGAGGAAGAAAACATGATCCTACCTTTACAGCAAAGATGATGGTTTGGTTGGCCCCGAAATGCTCCTGGGCAGTCACTTCGATTGTGGATGTCCCAATCACAGGCCCTGACGTCAGGAAGCCTTTCTCGTCCACGTGTACCACAGGAACCTTCTCGGGCCCATCCAGGACGCGGTAGCTCAGAGATGCCGCACCGTCCCTTTGGAAAACACACAGACCCAGCTTTACAGAGCGTGGCAGTGGGAGCGGTCGTAGTGAGGTGCCCGGCAGCCATCTGGGCTTCCCGCAGGCTCCTGGGAGGACAAGAAGGCCTGATCTTGGCCCCCATGCATCAGGACCTGGGTGGGCTGCCTGACTACGGCCTCCTTAGTCATCCACCGGAAACCTGACTTGGAAAACGGACGGTTCCAAGGAGAGCGCTGCTTCTGGGAGAAGAGACTGAGTGCTGAGCTCCTCTCATCCTTTGTAGGGGACATTTGCTGTAAAAGATGGTTTCTGGGGCAAATGGTTTCTCATTTCCCGACATGAGGCAGCCTGGCACAGTGGAAAGAGCACGGGGCTCTGAGCTGAGCAGAATCTGAGCACGGTCTCAATGCCCCACAGACAGCCGTGTGCCCTCAGGCACCTTGAATCGCCTCTCTGCCTCGTTTTCCTCCACTGTGCAAGGGAAGCCATGGTCTTGTCCTGTCCTATTGCCAAGGGCAGGGACCAGGACGAAGGGACCAGGGGCTGCTTGCTCAGCAAGTGGTCTGTAAAGCTACTAATGATCTGCACTGGGTAGAAGACAAATTCCAGTGTTTCGTATGCTCTCTCTCATGTTTATTATATAATAAAGCATCAACAGGAAGGAAAGGTGGTCAGCCCCTAGGATGAGCCCCCTTCACCTCGCTGTTTGAATGCAGCTCTACAGACCCTCCTCAGATGACATCACATAAATGTTATTGCTTCTGCTTCAACTTTCTCCCCTATCATCAATCCCTTCCGTGGAACCTGCAGAAGTCCTGTTCACCCTTCAAGACCCAGCTCAAGGGGCGCCTGGGTGGCTCAGTTGGTTAAGCATAGGTCATGATCCCAGGGTCCTGGGATGGAACCTTGTCTGGGGCTTGCCACTCAGAAAGGGAATCTGGGGCAGCCCCAGTGGCCCAGGGGTTTAGTGCCGCCTTCGGCCTGGGCCTGATCCTGGAGACCCAGGATCCAGTCCCGCGTCGGGCTCCCTGCATGGAGCCTGCTTCTCCCTCTGCCTGTGTCTCTGCCTCTCTCTCTCTCTCTCTCTGTCTCTCTGTCTCTCATGAATAAATAAAATAAAAAATCTTAAAAAAGGTGGGGGGGAATCTGCTTCTCCCTCTCCCCTCCCCCTTGTTGTGGGCTTTCTCTCAAATACATAAATAAATTCTGAGAAAAAAAAAAAAAAGACCCAGCTCAAGCATCTCTGTCTCTGACATGCCTCCCTTAAATCCTCACACAGAAGGCCCCTCTTTGGGATACGGCTTAACCATTATACATTATTTTATTTTAAATATTTTATTTATTTGTTTATGAGAGACACACAGAGAGAGGCAGAGACACAGGCAGAGGGAGAAGCAGGCTCCTCGCAGGGGGTCCCATCTGGGACTTGATCCCAGGACCCTGGGATCACGACCTGAGCCAAAGGCATATGCTCAACTACTGAGCCACCCAGGCATCCCTATACCTTGTTTTATTGTTGGCCTTCTTATGCTGTACTTTTTCCTCACTAGAATGCCACCCAACTCTGTTCTAGGAGCCTAGCACACAGCCTAGCGTTAGACACTTGTGGTTGAATGAACACCATGTGTGTGTTTCATGCAACATGCAAGTACTCCTGTGGTCCTTACAGCCCCCCACCTTGCAACTGCACTTCACAGGCAAGTCATTGATACCAAAGGTGCCCCGTGTGAATGCAAGGTAGGAGTTGTGTTTGCAGATTTGCTTGTGCCTTAAAGACACCAATGTGCGTCCCCATCGAGTGGGGATCTTGTTAAGTGCAGTCTGGAGTGAGGCCCAGGATTTGCATTTTAACCTGCTCCCAGGTGATGCTCATGCTGCTGGTTCAGGAATTACACCCATTGAACAGCAAGTCTTGAAGACAAAAGGGCACTGGAAAATTTAACTCTTCTGAGGTGGTACTTCTTTTCCTTTGAAGTAGCAGACGTGAGCAGTGGGCATTAAAAGCTTTCTGGGTGACAGGGAAGAAAAGATGGGCCCATGGGGACCAGTGATGTGGAACAGCAGGAGAAATCCCTGGTGAAGAGGAGGGGGAATGCAGAAGCCGCACCCACTCCAGACTGAGAAAGAAGCAGTTCGCTTGAAGCATCCACGGCTCCTGACAACTTTGACAAATGAGTCGTCGGACACAGAGCGCAGCTTCTCAGCCCTGCTGCAAACAAGCGCTGAGTCACGTACCTGTTTGTCTGAAGCTTTATAAATGAGTTGGGTGACATTAATATTTGTTCTGCTTCTATTTCAGGGTGCAGCAGCAGCAGTTTTTCGAATACCTGGAAAAGAGGGCGAGTTCTGTCCCCTGGGATGCACTGGAGTCATGTCCATGTCCCTGCTCCCCTCCTGGCAGTGAGACCAAGGGGATCCAGAGATGAGAAGCACCACTGTGAGCATCTGTCAGGTGGCAGGTGAGGGAAGGGCTGGTTTTTTTTTTTTTTTAAAGACTTTATTTATTTATTCATGAGAGATACAGAGAGAGAGAGAGCAGAGACATAGGCCGAGGGAGAGGCAGGCTCCATGCAGGGAGCCCCATGTGGGACTTGATTCCGGGACTTGAGGATCATGCCCCAGGCCAAAGGCAGGCGCCAAACCACTGAGCCACCCAGGGATCCCCAGGGAAGGGCTGACTTTTAAGAGAGGTCAGAGGTGTGAGAGAACAAGCAGACAGGCTCATGTTTGCACACCCTGACAGCAGCTGCTTCGTGAAGCCAGGGAGCACAGGGACCTCCCTGAGTTCCCAGGTTGGGAGATCTTTGTGGGCACGGAAGGCAGCATGTGGAATTACAGGGCCTGCAGTCTGGTCCTGCTGCTCCTCACTGCGGTCCTCTCAGAATAACCCCTATCGGCCCCATCGACCCTCATCTTGCTCCCTCTTGTCATGCTCTCATGGAGGCACAGGGGGTGGAGGCGGGGGTGGGGCGTGTCCATGAACCAGGCCAGCTGATGATAAACCCGGGAGTGTTGGAGCCAATTTGATCGGCACTCCCCAGGAGCCCCAAGGCCTTCCACGGCTCCCCACCCCAGATCTTATGGAAACTCCAGACCCCTCCCTACAAGCACCCTAACTGCCTACCACACTGCCAAGTGCCTTTCCTTAGGGACCCTTGGGACGACCTCTCTTGGCAGCTGGGCCTGGATGCTGAACACAGCCTTGAGCTCCCCACTGGCTTCTGATGTGATCAGACTGGCTGGAGTCTAGGGGACCAATTTTCCAAGAAAACCCCTTCCCTCCCAGCACTGCTATGTTCTGATCATATACATAGGCTTAGATTTCTTCATCTGTAAAATGGTCCTAAAACCAATAATCCTTGCCACGTCTGTCTCAAAGAGCTGTGGGATTCGTGTGGCAAAGTGAGTGGCACTTCCTGAGTGGTGAATGATAAATGGCCTATGGGAGCCAGATGGGGCTCTGGTGTCAAGGAGCCCTTCTGCTGGGCCGGTGGTACCGAGTGGAGCAGCCTCACTGGTTCTGACTTGGACGTACGCACACAGGAAATACACCCACAAACGGGTTTCCTCCTGTTTTTCTTAAATGCGTATTCTTCGTTGCCCCTCTTCAGAGGGAGGTGAGGGTACAAGAGAGATCTCACTTTCTTGTTAATTCAAGTGTAAGAAAAGCAACAGTGCGCAAGCACCAGGTACACAGTGACAGACACGTGGCCTCACCATTGGGGGGCCAACGGGGGGAGTGGTGGGGCCAGCTCCATCAGGGGGGAGGCTGCTTCTCATCTGCTCATTCAGCCACGTGGCAAGACGTTGTGGCTTCGGGACAAGCTGCCTACCGGATTTTTATACAACATCTTCCTATTTTTAAATATTGGCAACAAATAAAAATCGTTTCAGAGCACTGCATGAGCCAAAGCAAATACATCTGTGGGCTGGATCCAGCCTCTCAAAGTTTCCAATGTGCTCAAACCTCCAATGGCTGTCAGCTAGGGAAACTGAGGCCCAAAGATGTTAAGGGACTCAAGTGAGGTCACAGAATCTGGGAGCTGCAAAGCCCCATCTTTAATCCCGAGAGACATCAGACATTATCTCACTTTATTTTTAACTGGAAAGAACATATATTTGTGTGTATTTGGGTCTGTTTGTGTCTATATTTACCCGTGTGTGTGTGTGTCTATCTCTGCATGTGTATGTATGTTTACAGGTCTGGGAGTGTCTGTGTGCATGTGTGTGTGTGTGCACATGCGCGCGAATGCACGCAGGCAGGTGAGGGGGTTGCTGAAATGGGTGTTCCTGTCTTTGATAATCTTTACCCCTGATGAGGTAAGTGTCTAGGTTAGAAATGGTTTATTTCATTTGAAGAAGGGGCTTGAATCTGGTTCTCTTCTCATGATATTTAAAAGCCCCTTTTAGTTTTTCTTTGCAATTTAGGGAGACCCTGAGGTTGCTGAGTCCCAGATTAGCAGAATGGGGCCCCTGAAGCTAAAAATGCTCTTCAGAAGCAACTTGTCACTTCCCTAGCTTTACAGATGGGTCTCGAAGGACAGGGGAGGTGGGAAGCAGGGTGGAGAGAGAGACACAGGTGCTGAGCCCTGGGTGGGAAAAGAGCTGGTGGGTTCTAGGTTCTGACTCAGTGGCGTACCCCTGGGGGCTCCGAGCAGCGCCCCTCCCCCTCTGAGGCCTGGTTTCCACCTGTGAATCGATGGGTCCCACTGTCTCCCAGGCTGTCACACAGCACAGCCCTCCAGGCCTTCCAGGGCCCACCACCCGCTATGACCTGGAGGGGGCACTTTGACCCGTACCCCTCAGGCTGCAGGCTCATAATCCAGCAGCAGCACCCAGGGCTCCTGCCCCGCTGGCTTCACGGGAGCACCTCATAGGTGAGACAATACTGGGAAGCAGGGGAAGGCGGGTCTCCCTCTGTTAAAGTGCTCTGTGAGCATTTGTGAAATAAACACAGACAATTCAATGAAAGTCCCACTCACGATTTCCCAGCTTCTTTCCACCATGAAGGTGCCTCGGACTCCAAGCGCAGAATTATCTGCTATTTGGGGAATGAATACAGCAAGCTATTTCAGACTTCCAGGCCTCTGTACCCGCAGCTCCTTCCACCTGGCCTGCCAGCCGTCCACCCCCAGGCTGATGCCCTCGGGCAGCCTCATCTAGGGGCTCCTGACCCCAGCAGGTGGAGAAGTCATCAGGTACAGGGTGGTAGAAGGGTGAATGTGGGCCCCGATGGCCCCTGGGCGGGGGAGGGCCACTGGGTTGGCACTCGCTTTCCCTCTAACAGTGGCTTCTGCCTGCCTGCCCTTTACCTGGATTTGGATCTCGTCGGTGAGTTCTTTGGCGAGGCCATGCAGCTGCCCGGCTGTGGGGTCCAGAGCCTTCACCACCACCCTCAGCCCAGTCCGGCCTTTCACCCGGCCGTGCACGTTCATGGCAAAGTTGTACTGTGATGGCAGCCGGAGGGAAGCCTGGGACAGACACCAAACACATTCTCAGGGAGGGCCTGGGGCCCCAGTAACCCCAACAGCTACCTGCCTGTCCTTGAAGGCTGCTGCCTCCCTGCTCTGGCCGGGGCCTGCTAACCCCAGCACCAGTGCAGCACGCAGCATCTCGCGGTTCACAGGTGCAGGTGGGTCATGTTGGGTCAACCCGGGTTGACAGGCAGGCCTTCTCAGAGCCTTTAGTGTGTGGAATGGGCAATGAACAAAGAGGGATTTGGCAGTGTTTCCCTAAAAAGCCCTGCTGTTGTGAGATGTCTATGCTATGGGAACAGTCTGGGGAAGCCCCCTGGTAGTGGGGACAGGACCCTCCCAACCACCTGGGCACAGGGAAGACAAGAAGAAACCTCTTCAACCCACCCCCACTTGGGTCCTGCATGACCAAGGTCCACTGGGGGTGGCAGACTGGAGTCACCAGGGCTGGCACCCTGTCTCATTTCCTCCCTGGCTCACTGGGTGACTCTCACAAGTCCCTTCCCATATATGGGCTCTGGTCAACACAGAGAGGGGGTTAGACCAGGGAAAGGCCAGGGTCCCTCTAAGAAGGGCTAAGCGGAGGGGAGTTTGCCCTCGGGGGTAAATCTGGAGAAAGCCCCAGCACTGCCAGGCATCTCCTCAGAGAGAAGGTCAGAAGTTACAGAGCAGGGACCTGACCAAGAAGGCCCTGTGATATTCTGGAACTCCTGCGACCTCCCCACAGGGCTGCCCTCTGAGGTGGGTTCCTACAAAGCCTGACTGTAGCATTTGGCAAGTGCGTGCTTGGAGTGGAACAGGCTGTGAGGAGGGAAGCTGGGAGCCCATATTCCTGGACATGAGAGGACTGGGAGTGGAGGAAGGACACGAGGTGAGGATGGTGCACTGGCAGCATTTTCTAGGTGTCCTACCTAAGAGGGCACAGAACAGGGCCAGGACCAGCCTGGGAGTCAGGATGCAGACATCATGTGCACAGATATGGGGATAACCTTCCGCACCTTGGACACTGGTGCACATGGTGGGGAGAGGGCCCTGGGGCGGGGGGCAGTTACCTCGTGGTGTCGTCCCCGGATGTCCAGGATGTCCCGCTTGGTGACGGACCAGTGGAAGGTCAGGCCTGGCACAGCATTGCCAAAGGAGAAAGGGTTCTGACTGTTGGTGATGCCAGTGATGTAGACAGGCATCTGTAGGAGAGGAGCCGGGCCCATGACCACCGGGGTCCCGCAGCCCAGAGGGCCCCACAGAGACCCAGGGCACTGCCTGAACTACCTCTCCACTGCCTGGCTACTTTCCTATCTCCCCGCTGCATGGGAAGCTGCACCCCATTCTTCCCTCACCAGAGATGAGCCCAGCACGGATGTGGGAAGGTTGGTGGGAACAGCAAATGATTAGATAGGAGACAGAGCCGGCCCCTCTGCGCAGTGTCCTTGGGCTGTGGACAATGTCTCACTTGGCTGATAGCCCCCCCGCTTTGTGATGGGACCCCCCCCCCCAGAGCTCCAGGGAGCCTGCAGCCTCCTGAGCAGCACAGCTCATCCTGCCCCTTGGTCCCTGGTCATGGCAGGGGGGCACAGGTGGGGTTCACAGGCTCCCTCAATCTGTATTTCCTGAGTGACAACTAGGGAAAACATGCAAGGGAATACTGCAAAAGCTAAGAACAGACTCATGCCCAGCTGCCTGGGCCAATCTCCAGTTCCATCCCTTACTAGCTGTGTGACCTTGGGCAGAGGCCGTAAGCTTTCCACGTGTTCATTTCCTCATCTATAATAGAGAGGTGACACGGGTAGCTACCTCACGGGTTGTTAATGACCATCAAAGGAATTACTGCACAGAAAGCACAGAGTAGAGTACACGCCATATAAACCTTAGCTCCTGTTATGTGCCAGGTGCTATTCTAGGTGTGGGAAGGTGGCAGACTCGGGGGTGGGGGGTGGGGGGCAAAGGCGTCACTCAGTAATCGTGCCAACATGGAACTGGAGAGGGCCAAATGCTCTGCAGATAAGGAGCTTTGTGCTGAGAGACAGAAAACCCCAAGTACCTGGGGGGGGGGGGGGGCGGGGTCTGGAGCAAGAAATGCAACCAAAGCTCCTAAAGCTGAAGCTGAGCCCAGGGACAAGCAAGTGTTGAGCAGGAGAGGGAACAGGGACCTAGCAACACTCCCCCCCCCAAGCTCCTCCTGAACCAGAACTCTGAGCCTAAGACCTGCCAAGAGGCTGCTCAGACAGCAAGCACAGCTAGGAGGGGCCAGAGGGGTTCCCGCCTCACCTGGGTTCCTGTCCTCATCCGAGTGATGGGGGCACGGATCCTCACGGCCTGGAGAAGCAGCACCTCCACCTCCACGAGGTCCTAGGGAAAGGGTTTTGGAGTTCAGGCTGGCCGCAGTAGGGCCTATGTGCTCACAATGGCTATTTCATGAAGGGACCCCTCCAAGGAGGATCTTGCCAAGGCCAGCTCAGCATCCCCTGGCTAGTAGGCACTCACAAGATGCCCAACACCATGTTCCTCTTCCCAAGGCAGCCTGGCTTTGTGGGTGGCTCATCCCATGCAGATCTGGCCACTGTTTTTCCCGTTCCCTTAGGGGTCCCAGCCTGGTCCTCTGAGCTTCCAGACCTATCTGATTCAGTTGCTCCAGGTCAGTACCAAGGAGACTTGGGGGCAGTGACTGGGGACTGTTCTTCTCTAAGCTGGGTGGCCCTCATAGGACAGGATTCCAGATCCTCCCAACCCCAAATCTAGCATGTTTCTCTATGTATGTGAGCAGGGTACTGTGACAAATGTAGACACGGATAGTCTGGTTAGAGCAGACTGTATATCTATCCTCTTTCATTCTGAAGTCTATACTCCCATTCATCTGGTCAAAGATTAACTTTATTAGGCTTCTTTGTAGTGCTACTGACTAGCTGACACCAGGCTACTAAGACCCTTAAGCTTTCTTTGTGTTTGCTCATACCGCACCCACCTTCTGGGTCTTGTGACCTGGGCTAATGCCTGGCATTCAATAGGTACTCAATAAACACCCATCCTCTTCCTTCCCTTTGTCTTCTCCATGGCCCAGTCTCCTTCTATCCATCCTGGCCCCTACGCAATCAGCCATGGGTGCTGATTCTGTGACCTGGTTTGAACAGATGGGACTGTCCAAACTGGGGACTTCTGAGCAGAAATCCCATACACGTTGTGGACACATGGGCCTCAAGCTGGGCCCCTGCTGACCTGGGCTCAAGAAGATGGCTTTCAGATGGAACTGGAAGCACAGCCTCTCCATCTGCCAAGGGGCACCACCAGCTCCTCTCCTATTCCACCAGATGGGAGACACAGAGAGAGAGGTGGCCCAGCAAGGTCAGATCACAAAGAGAAGTGGCCGGAAGGGAAATGCATGGCTGCCTGCCCCTCTGGCCGAAGTTCCAGCCAGCTGCCATTTCAGCCACCTGGGCCCCCAGGAGAAGAAAAATAAGCTAGTTCCTGAAGCCATAATCCTTTCTTTAGAAAGGAAAAAAAAAAGAAAAGGAAAAAAAAAAAAAAAAAAGCAAGGCCTCCTTGGTCCTTCATCTTATTCTCCAGGATGTCTATCTGAATCCTGCTCAATGCCACAGGACAGATTTCACATTCCCAACACCTTCTTGTCGTCTTTATAAAATCGATAGGTAGAACCAGAGCAGCTACCTTCATGATTCAAAAAGACTTTGTGGTCTAACCAGGATATTTGCAGAGACACTGAAACTCCTGCAAAAGGGAGTAAATCAATGAATTCAATGTCAGATCAAAGTCAGCCTCTCAGGGAGGAGGATGCATCTGCCTCCCCTTCCCTGGGATGGTGCACGCTCCTGCTCTCCTGGGTGCCCTGTGTTCAGATGCTGTGAAGTTGGGGGAGCTCACGGACTCCTTCTAGGGGGGACCCTGAATGCTGGACAAGGAACAAGGTGACAGGTTCTGAAAAGACTGTCCAATAGTCATGTTACACAAAATGATGCTCTCTTAGAGCCTAGATTTCTGGCATGCTGGTGACCACTGCAGCCTCCTCAGAGATGCTTCCACAAGTCACCACAGGCAAAGCATGTCAAGAAGAACAGGAACATTCTGAGCCCTGTTCAGGAAGTGGAGACTCATCTCCTGTCTCCCTTCCAGAGCCCAACGAAGTGCCCACTCCCGGGAAACAAGCAACACTATCAGACTTAGAAACCAACTTTTGGGCGCCTGGCTGGCTCAATCAGTGGAGCATGCAACTCTTGATCTCAAAGTCGTGAGTTCAAGCCCCACAATGGGCATAAGCCTACTTAAAAGAAAAAAAAAATCAACAACAACAACAAAAGAAACCATAGTAAACAGACCTCCTTGCCATCACAGCTGACCAGCGCACCAGCTGCTGGGGGGAGCAGTGCACCCCATCACCAGTGGGCCCCAGTCCAGGGAGGATTTGGAAGCAACCATGGCCGGCAGAGCCCACGCGCAATACCTGAGACACAATGACGAGCTTGCCGGTTTCAGCATCCACAGCCTGTACGACCCCAGACACGGTGCCATTGCCGACAGCCAGCCCCCGCACCAGCCCCGCGCTGTTCACCACGGCAACGCTCTCGTTGCTGATGGAGAAGAGGATATTGGACTGGGGCTGTGGGCCGCCCTCGGAGGTGATCTGGAGTGGAGAGAAACAGCACTGTCCAATCAGCCCCTGCTTATCCCTCAGAGGTGAGGGCGTCGACACCCCCTGAGCTCTCCATCTTTGCCCTCTGATGACCCCCACGGGGGGGGCGGGCATGGGGTGGGGGCAGTGAGCAATCACGAGGCCTTTGGCTCCTACCTGCATCATGGCCCCAATGATCAGCGTCACTTTCCTGGGAATCAGCCTAAACGGAGGAAAGACCTGCATGTGGAAACACAAGAAAGAAGGGGCCACTGTGTTCCAAGCTTACACAGCTGGGCAGAATTCACCCTGAATATGTTCAAGGAGAGGGACACCTGGCACCTGGACATCCCTCCTCTGTGGGAGGGGACTGGTGAGGAGCCTGGAGGAGCCTGAGGGTCTCAGCCTACCCGTGGGCCTGAGGATTTGTGGTTCCTGGGGACACGTGTGCTCTGCTGTTTGCAGCCATTCATTTTGCCAGACGTGAAACCCCATGAAAATAAACACATCTTATTCATGTAAGATGCCCCCTTTAGGGCGTGGTTCTCACCGCATGGTCCCCTGACCAGCAGTAGCTGTGTCACCTGAGAAACATCGGAAATACACATTCTCCGGCCCACCTTAATCTATGGAATTGGAATGGGGGAGGTCCTGAAATCTGTGTTTTAACAAGTCCTCCAGGGGATTCTGATGCTTGTCAAAGTTCACATTCCACTGCCTTCAAGATTCTCCTCCTTGCACTGAATTTCTCCAATTTCTACTGAGAAGTTGCCTATGAACAGTTATCTTCTTCAACGCCCTTCAAACTTCTCAGATGAAGAAAGAGGGGCTTGGGGAGCGGGCAGGGACAAGGATGCCCTTGTCTCTGCCGCACGGAGAGCCCAACCTCTTCCCCCTGCCTCCCCCACAGTCCGCGCCTAGCAGGAGCATAGGAAGAGCCTGTACGGTGAACGAATATGCCAGTCGGCCAAGGGGCTGCTTTGTGCATAAGGATTAATCTCTGTAGGGCTGTGCTATTTATAGGCAGAAATGAATTCTTCTTCAGCAAAAGAAAGGAACCCTTGCATCCAGAGGCACAAACCACAACCACCAGCTCCAGAACAGTTTAATATCAAGTCTCTAGCCCCCGTGTGGAGACAAGACCTGTAGTGGACGCTGGCAGGAGGCAAGCAGTTGAGGGCTGCAGCAGAAGGAGAAACTTGGACATGAATTTCTGGCCATGGCTGCCATGGCCCCAGGGACTGGGAGGCTCCTATGAAAACCTGATGCCACAAGACAGTCCCAAGTCACACACGGAGAGTACTCCAGAGCTCCCTGCTTGCTCCAGGACCTGCTAGTTCCAGGAGCTTCCACCAGAAAAGACCACTGTCTCAGGGTCAGTTCAGACTGGCTACCAGGACGTGCTTCTACACGTGAGCCTAATCAGTCTGCAGCTTCTCCCCAGCCACTCCTTTCTGGCACTTCAGGGTTTAAAGGCTAGTCCACCTGTCCACCCTGCTGTGTGACAAGTGGCCCCCCTTCTCTGAGCCACATCCTGCCCTCCCCCACGTCCCACAGGGAGATTCAAGTAGCCCAGCCCCCTCCCTCTGGTGCTGCCTCCCCAGGCCTCTAGGACTGAGGATGGTTCCCTTTTAATCAGAGGACATCACAGGGCATAGATTTTAATAAGGGTTCTCCATAGCAGCTTCCTGGATGACCCCTAGAACTCCTAGCCCATCACAAAAATGACACACTTCCTACTCCAAGTGCATGCACGCTGGACTGATCCCACAGGGTGGGAGGGGAAACTGCTTTACCTCAATCTGCTGTGGGGCCGAGTTGATCCGCTGTCCAGCTTTATCAGTCACAGTCGCGGTGAGACTGGTCTGGCCGATGGCCACACCATGGACACGGAACGTGGCAGTATAGTTGTCAAGGGCTTCGTCAAGGGCCCTGGAACAGAGGGAAGGGATGCGACTTCTCCCCAGAACCTGCCAGTGCTGTCCCTGAGATGGCCTCCTTTGACCCCCGGGGGGACTCACACCAATGTGATGATCTGAGAAGCCGCTCGGAGCTTCAGGTCCATGAAGGCAAAGTATTTGGCCAGGAAAGGCTTCTTGTGAAAGTCCAGCACACGGACATACGCCTTGACTGTCTTCCCAATCTCCACCTGTATCATGGGGGACAGAGACTCAGGGTGGCCTTTTTTTAAATAATTTTTTTTAAAGATTTTATTTATTTATTCATGAGAGACAGAGAGAGAGACAGAGAGAAAGGGGCAGAGACACAGGCAGAGGGAGAAGTAGGCTCCATGCAGGGAGCCCGACATGGGACTCGATCCTGGGACTCCAGGATCACACCCTGGGCTGAAGGCAGATGCTAAACTGCTGAGCCACCCCGGGATCCCCTTTTTATAATTTTTTAAAAAAATATTTTATTCAGGATGGCCTTTGAATGACTAATGCTATCACCTGTGGCACTCTAAGGCTTTCTACTAAAGCGTCTGTGACCTCCAACCCACAGACCCAGGGTGAGCTCCAATCAGCCAATCAACAAATGAAAATCAATTAAGTGCTTATTGTATACAAGGAGCCTTGGGGGATACTTGGATGCATAAATTACACTCCCTGCTCTTAAAGAACTAAGAATCTAATTAAAGTGATAAGATGCGGCCAGAATAGCATACAGTAGGCATTCAATAAGTGCTCATTGACCAAACAGCTCACACCTGGCAGCATATAATACATACAGGAAGAACCTTAGACTACGAAGAGTCAGAAATGCTCAGTGAAGAAACAGAAGTCTGATCAGGAAATAAGACCACAGAAGGAATCTTTGAGGCTAAGAGGATACTGGCTTTTCAAGTACTCTAAGCAGCTCAAACATTCCCCTTTTAATTACTAACTATCCTCTCCAGTCCAAAAAATAGGAACCTGATAGCAACCTCTGTAAGCCTACCTGTAGTTCCTTCAGGTATTTGGAGCAATAAAAATGCCCTCTTTACATTAAAGAAAAGCTTAGATCTATTATGTATTCCTTTTACAAAAGCATTGGCATTTATGCATTTTATTCACTTGCCACTAAGATTGCCAAGAATCCAAAATCCATGTACCAGGGAGAAAATTCACAATCAGGAACCTACAGCAGCTAGAGGTCAGGAAGTCTCAAATTGGGGCTAATGAGGAAACAACTTCGGGCAGGATTTATAGCTGAGCTTTACTGATGGCAACTGGCATAAAGAAGTACAGCCTCAGAGCTCGCTCTACATTGTGCACACGGAGGGACTGAGGCGAGACAGCACTATCTGCTGGAAGCCACTCAGGAGGTGTGTACGGGGACTCAGAAACCAGGAGAAAGAGCAAAGGGCACAAGGAAAAGAACTCTCCCAACCTCACCATTCTCCCCATCTCTGTGAACCAGCAGCGAGGGGCCGTATTTAGGAAGCTGCTACTGACCTTGTCAACCACGCGGACATAGAGCTCCTGAATGTCTGAGACGTACACGTCTGCCTTTGCTGGGGCCGGGAAGGCTAGGCACAGGTCATGGATCATGATGGTCGACATGCCCGGGAACAGAGGGTGCACCTGCGAGGTTGGAGATGGGCTCAGTCCTTCGGGCCACCACTCATGAGGCAGGGTCTCCAGGAGACCTCCAGACCAAGGCTCAGAAGCAGCAGACAAAGAAAATCCTAACCCAAATACTGCCCCACCTACTCCTCATTAGGAGCCCCTGCTGCCGGCCAGGGTAAGGGCCTACAATGTAAAATGGTAGAGCTGGGATGGATCCCAGAGAGCATTTACTTCAACTTGGTGCAATTTGTGAGAAGGAAAAAATGTAAGTTGCTCAAAGCAGGGCAGTCTGTGGCCACGAGGCACCCAGCAACTGGGAGGTAGAACAAGGGTTCAAACCCAGGATTTCATGTTCCCTGTGCAGGCCACCTGCCCAGCAGCTCTGGCAACAGTAGAGTGTTATACATGACATAGCTCCTTTCTGAATTCAGCTCTCACCTCACAAGTCTTAATCTGATCCCAGAGAATCTCAGAACCTGTCAAGGGACCCCAGAGGCCACCATGGTCTCAAGTGTGAGCTCTGTGAGTCTCATTCATCCTGATGTTCATTTCTGCCTTAGCCATGTTTGAAACAGAGACCTCATGAACACTGAGAGGATGGACATACCTGAGCCACTGCGTTCCAGTCTTCATTGCAGACTCCCCACCCCCCACTTTAAACCTCCTTCCTGCCCTATCTGCTTCTGGGATCCCACATTCACAAGCACCTCTCCCCAGATGAGCTGTACCATATTCACTGTCTCATGTTGCAGAGAGACTAGCAGTGATGTGCGGTACTGCTTAGGCATGTATCTCAACTGGGTGGTCTGGGGGCTCGGCAGGTGGGGGGCAAACCACGGAGCTGGTGGGGGAGTCTAGAGGGCTGCTTCCCATCTCTGTCCGGCCCTGGCTTTGCTGGCTGCAGTTTGTGGTGCTATAGTCATTTGGTGGTGGCGGGGGTGGGGTGGGGTGGGGAGTTATAGTGAATAGGTGCTTGCAAAGCTAGAATTTTGATACCAAGAACCTGTTGGGGCGGAGGGGAAGGAGGGAGAACAGGTTTCTGGCTCTAAGGAGACAGCCAAGTGTGATCACATCATATCCAGCATAAAACCCTTCAAAGACTGCCCAGAGAGGGCGTCCAAATCCTTAACATGTCCTATAAGAACCTGGCACGAGCTGGCCCTTGCCCATGGCTCTCATGTTATTACAAACCACGCTCCCTCACTACTGTCAGGCTCCAGACACAGTTCTGCTCTGTTCCTCAATGCCAACCAGCGCCTGCCTGCCTCAGGACCACAAAGCCCATCTTAACAACCTGGGCTTTCCCCCCCACATACCCCGTGTTCACCTGCTGGCTCCTTCTCATCCTTCAGGCTTCTGCTCAAGCATCCTTCCTCAGGAAAGTCTTCCCGAATTAAAGAAAGCTTCTTCACTACCTCCGCTCATTTCTCCTGGTGCAGCTTTACTGCATGTAATTCGGCCATGTCAGAGCCCACGGTCTAGTGTCCGTCCTCCCACAGGTTGTGGCCTCAGGACTGGGCCTAGCATCTGGCACAGGCTCACCCCCCAATAAACACGTATTGATTAGACCAAGATCCAGGGTCACAGCTCTAGGTCACTGTAGTTACAGCAAAGAAACCTGGCACTCCAGCCTGCTTGCTTAGCTTTAATTTTAGCTTTGCTAAGACCTAGAAATTCTAGGGGGAAGAAAAGAGTCTGTAAATCCATGGACCCTCATCTCTTTGGGAAGCACTGATTCTGGTCCAACTCCTTCAATGCACATATGGGGAAACTGAGGCCCACACAGGGTGGGAACCCAGCCTCAAAGGGGCAGCACTGGGGAGGAAACCCAGGTGCCCAAGGCCCCAGTGTAGGGCTCCTTCTACCACACTCTGCCACTTCCCAGAGTAGGACGTCTCTAGCAACCACAATGGAACTGTGAGCAGGGGAGGACAGGGCCTGCTGGAACAGGCCAGAGCCAGGGCAGGCCCAAGCCCACAGTTAGCTGGGGGCATGAGGAGTCACAAGCTTGGCCATGCTGGAAACTGCCAGTATCACTAAGCTCAAGGGCACCTCAATGCAGATGAGGCGTGCCCAAGTTATGCCACACGGTGACTTAAAAGTCGATTAACAAAGATCCCAGAGCGGAAATCATGATGGTATTCCACTGCAATGCCCGTGCAATCTGTGCCGTCGCCAACCCGAGTGTGTTATTAAATAAGGGCTGGGGAGTAGGCGCCTGGGAATCACCAGGCCTCCCATTTTGCCAAGGACGATTCACCCTGGCTTATTCCTTTTCCCTCAACGAAAGCACATTTAAATTTTGAGAGAGAAATGAGAACTTTCTTTGAAAACCGAATTCAAGGCTCCAATCTAATCCTCCTGCAGAAGTTATTGCTGTCAGGAGCTGGCACGTCCTTCACAGCACCACGAAATTACATGTTGCACTGGCTGCTGATAGACCCACGCAGGGGAATGCATGGCAGGCTTTTTCTTTTTCTTTTTTTCTCTCCTTCAAAAGGACCATTTTGCACATTTTAAACAAAGACAGAAAATGGTCAGGGGAAATCAATCTGTTTTCCACTTGATTTCCCAGAGGCTGGATGTCCAGCCACCTTCCGGGTGACAGACGCAAGGGTGGCATCAAGTGGTCTGGCCTGCCCCCTCCCCGCTGGCCCGCACCAGCTCACCTCGCCCCTGCCGAGGAAAGCTTCAAGGGAGAGCTTGCCGGCCACTTGGGAGACACACTGCTCTTGGGGAAGCGAAGGCATTTGCCAGGCAGCTGGTGGCAGAGCTGGGAACTGCCTCGCCGCTAACCCTGGGCTGTGGCACGTCTGGTTCTCTGGTCTGGGCATTCTGGATCTCCTTGCTTGACTGACATTCAGGAGGATGTGCATGCAGGAGAGGAGGAGGGGAAAATCCAGGCCTAGAGTGAATTCTAATTTCTAAGTGTTGAAAGTGCCACCTCAGAACTTCAGTGAGTACTGAGCCAAGAGGAAAGTCCTGTCATCTCTTCAGAGACGATGAATGCGTTACTACTCATTAAGACACTGGTGGCAGAGCCAGAGGCGGCCCCCCTCCCAAGTAGGCTGCAGCCGTGAGGTCTGTTTGCGCCCACCCAGACCCAAGGTTTTGCCTGTGCCACTTCTGTTCCTCGCTTCCCTGGACCCCCACACACTTCAGACTTGTCCCTTGACGGGTGGCATTTATAGAAGAGTAAGGACCCTATAAATACTTGTAATTGTCACAGGAGCCATCAGCTCCCGATTCCTATTATAGCATGCCTGTCAGTGGTATGTGGTGAATCGGGCCATGCCACGCGAGTGTTGGGGTCCTTTGCCCCTGACTAGACACCCTTGAGACCTGTAGGGGGTGACCACGAACACACGAAAATCATAGGCACTGAGAAGAGCCCTGGCTTGGACACTGGATGAAAATCTGTCCAGGGACCCCAGCTGGCCCCGAGGCTTCTGGCATGGCCAGGACTGAAACAGGTCCCTCTGTCCTCAGGTCATTCCCAGGGAGAAGAGCAGGACACACCCGAGTTCAAACCCTATGGCTGCCACCTGCTACCCACCTCAACTTTCTTCCTGATGCACCTCCTAGGATGTGCAATGTCACGACAGGCTGTGCAGCCCAGGACCAAGGAAACGGAGAGAAACACCGTGGCTCATGATCTGTTCACCACTGATGCCCAGCCCCAGGACCAACACCAATTTTTGCAGAATGGATGCATCACTTAAAGGTATTAAGTGCCTGGCACACAGTAGGTACCTCCCCCTGCTCTTGTAATCACATGGATTCAGCGTGGAGGACTTGATTTGAAATGTAAAGAATCGGTTTACATTTAAAACTCTAAGTTTAAGTCAGGTAAATACTCCCAGGGGCAAGCCAGCCAAAAATGAAATAAAGGCCCCTTGTGGAGAGTTTTGGGGCTGCGTGCGCGCAGAATTCAGTGCAGCCAGGCGCGGCCCTTCATGCATTGTGTGGGCAGGACAGCCTCCACAATGGCCCTGGTGCGTGAGCTCCCGGCTCCCTTCCAGAGACACTCAGAAGCCGACACACACCCAGGAGCCATTCTTGCATCCTGAATGTATATCAATAAGAAAGAAAGAAACATTTTCTGTGAGCTAATTGAAGAACTGCTGTGGGCTTTCTTGTCTCTGTGATTAAGGGAAATGAGAATGTTGCTAATTAGCAGCTGGAAAATGCCAAAGAAATGTGTAAACGTCCTTCAGAAACAACCGTCTGAGAGGAGCTGCTAGGATCTGTCACCGATCGTCAACGCTCCGTGAAAAATTTCTCCAGCAGCTTATGGAAGAGGCAGAGGGAACCCACCTTATCTCCATCCTGGGTGCAATGGTCTCTGCGCAGGCCCACGCCAACGGGAAGCTGTGACCCCAGGGGTTGAGGTGCCTCCAGAACATCTTGTGGCACCTGCCACATGGGAGGCTCCTGGTGCTAGGCTTGTCCTGGGGGTCATGCCTGCACTGGACACTCCATCTCATGCCACAAGAGCCATAGAGGGATGAGACATATGAGCAAGGGCCAGTCCACAACCAAGAGAGAAACACTGTGGCTCTTGACTGGAGAAGCCTGGCATCTGTTGCTGACGGGGATGGCACAGGGGTAACCCTACAACAGCAACATTGTAGGAGTTGAACAGGGGCTCATAGGTCTTCTAAGGAAACTTGACTCCAATGGTGGGATCCCATCTTGAGTCTTCCAGACAAGTGTCCCAGCTTGTTTGGCTGCCTCCAGAGACGGGGCACTCACTACCTACAGAGGCAGCTGTTCCAACATGGGCTCTCAGAAGCTCTTGTTCTTGGAGGAAAAGTTCTCTCTCTGACTGCAGGTCCATCCTCAGGGCTTATTAAAAATGTAAAGTGTGAGGTAAATGTGAGTATAGGGGCCCCCAAGTATTGTTGGCACTGTACACATACTTCTGAAACTTGAAACTTCCCTCTTCTTGATAATGGGAGTTCTTTTTTTTTTTTTTTTAAAGATTTTATTCACTTAGGGATGGCTAGTTGGCTCAGTGATTGAGCCTCTGCCTTTGGCTCAGGGCATGATCCTGGAGTTCCAGGATCGAGTCCTGTGTCGGGCTCCCTGTGGGGAGCCTGCTTCTCCCTCTGCCTGTGTCTCTGCCTCTCTCTCATGAATAAATAAAATCTTTTTTTAAAAAAATATTTTATTCATTTGAGAGACTGAGAGAGACCGTGAGAGAGTGAAAGAGAGAGCAGGAGCCGGGGTGGGGGTGGGGCAAGGAGAAGAGGAGCAGAGGGAGAGGGAGAAAGAAGCAAACTCTCCACTGAGCAGGGAACCTGATGCAGAGCTTGATCTCAGGACCCTGGGATCACGACTGGAGCTATAAGGCAGACGCTTAACCACTGAGCCACCCAGGAGCCCCACTGGTAACAGGGAAGTTCTTTTTTAATCTTTAGAAATAAAGCAAAACAAGGCATATCTCAAGTAGTCAGAATTATTTACGATTTGAGCTTTTCCTTTTAATATGAAGGATGTGACAGCGAACACTCATTTACATGGCAGGAGCGATGGCCAGGAAATTATTCTTTCTTTTATAAAGAGAACAAAAATGCTCAGAGGACAGCTTCCTATGATCTCAGACTGCTAGCAACCCTCATGCTGCCTCTAACAACACACATTTATTCCCAGGTGCTGAGAGACAGTGTTTTTTGCTCGGATTTATAGTGACATGCCTACGAAGTCCTGCCAACTGAGACTCTGCCACTGAGAAGAATAGGAATATTATGACATGCTTCCTCACCCTTCACTGAGGGACTGAACCAGAAGAGGTCCTCTCCACATACAGGTAAAGACCAAGGTCAACCCCTGGAGGAGTTGTAAAAAAACGTGTAAAAAAACAAAAACAAAACAAAACAAAAACAAATAACAAAAAAACCTGAATTGTCCTATAAAGACTCAAGCTACCAAAAAAGACACAAAAAGAAACAATGTGAATAGACCTATAACATAGGAAGACATTGAATTAGTAATCAAGAAACTGCCCAGGAAGAAAATATCATGTCCCGATGGCTTCACTGGTTAATTCTACCAAACATTTAAGAGTATTTATTACCAATTCTACGCAAACTCTTTCAAAAATAAGAAGGAACAGCTGAGTCATTCTGTGAGGCCAATGTTACCCGATACTCAAATCGGACAAAGAAATCCCAGGAGAGAAAAGCACAGACCAGTATCTCTTAGGACTATGAACATAAACTCGACAAAGTACTAGCAAATGGAATCCAGTTACCTGTAAAAAGAATTATACATCATGATCAAGTAGCATTTGTCCCAGAAACGTAAGGTTGGTTTAACATCTGAAAGGCAATTAACGTAATACATTGCACATTGTATCAACAGAATACAAAACAAAAGCCATATCATTATTTCAAGAGACATAGAAAAAGCATTTGACAAAATCCAATACTCTCTTGTGTATGTATGTAAGAACAGGGAGGAGACAGCTAGAGCATATGGATGCTCTCAAGGTGATGAAAATCACCTGACTGTAGTCAATCAACTGACTGTAGTCCTGGAGGTACCTATGAGTGTACTAAATACCATTGACTTGCACCCTTTATTTTTTAAAAATATTTTACTTATTTATGTAAGATAGAGAGTAAGGCGAGGGAAGGAGCAGAGGGAGAAGCAGACTTCCCACTGAGCAGGGAGCCCGACAACGCTGGGCTCAATCCTGAGACTCTAGGAATATGACCTGAGCTGAAGACAAATGCTTCACCAACTGAACCACCCAGTGCCCCTGCATACTGTAAGTGCATGAATTGTATGGTAATGTGAATTAAACCACAAGAAAGCTGTTATTAAAAAAAAAAAAAAAAAAAACAAAAGGCAGGGTGCCTGGGTGACTCAGTTGGGTAAGCATCTAACTCTTGGTTTTGGCTCGGATTGTGATCTTGGGGTTGTGAGATCAAACCCCGCGTAGGGCTCTGCACTCAGTGTGGAATCTGTTTGGGATTCTCTCTCTCTCTCTTCCTCTCTAAAATAAATAAATAAGTCTGTAAAAAGCATATTTAAAAAATCAGCCAGCCTATATCGCAACATGGAGGAAAAAAATTACGGTGCAATCCCTGACAAAAGCGGAATGCTAAATCCTTCTATACCTCAGGCACAGCTAAGTCAATATTTGCCCAAATAGGGAGAGGGCCAAGAATATGGAAAAATAGAAAAAGCTGATACACCTTTCAAAAGCAATCTTTCTTATTGTTGTTAGAGTGGTGCTCATATAACAATGTTTTAAATGAAAGATTGAAAAGGAACCATTAGTTAACTAATGGTGCGGGTAGTTTGTGGACATGGAACAAAAGTCACAAAGGTAGCTCACAAAGGATCCAAGTTTCACAAATAATGAGTCAGAGACTCTAAAAACCTTGCTAATTGCATCTGATTGTGATTTAGTGCCTACTTTTGAAATAACCAATCTAATCTGTTAAACCCAAGGCCACTGGGATGAGGAATGACAAGGAAGGTGGAGACAGCCCCCCCCCCCCCTGCACTCACCGTGGCCACGCCTCTGGCCTCCTGGTAGGCCACCTTGATGATGTCTGTGGTGCTGGTGTTGAGGAAGAAGTAGCCAGAGCCTTCTCTGATGTGCAGCTCTACCTGCAAGGAGGGGTCAGCCTGGGTGTCGGAGGCGAGGGGGCCCCTGGGGGTCACGTCCCGGTGGCACATGGCAGGGCAAGGACTGTACCTGCACGCTGGGGTGGTGGTAGATGGTCACCTCTTCAGGGCTCACCCTCACGTCCTCTACCAGGATGAGTTCTATGGAGGCCGACACAGGCACAAGAGGATCGTACTGGAGAGGCAAGGCAGCGCTATCAGACCCAAGGCAATGATGGGCCAACCCTGGGCCAGCCCGTGGGCTTCCCCCCTGAAAGAGCAGCACTCAAATCCCTGTGTCTTGGCGTCACCCCAGGGCACTCATTATGTTGGAGACACAAAACCCAGTAAAACCATCACGCTTCAAGCCCAGCCAAGAGGCCACATCCCTTTGAGATGTCCAATAATTCTGTCAAGGCTGGCACCCTCTCCTGCCTGGCAGGCCCCATGAGACGGATGATTCACACACACCCTAGGAAAGTGGGGGTACATAGTTAATGACCCCTGCATGTGCAAGGGATGGGGCCTGGGCAGTGAAGGTGCTGAGTAGAGGGGGTGTCCTCACAGTGGGTTCACAAAGGCACAAGCACAGCCCCTCACTCCCTTGGGTGGTGCACATATCTGAGTGTGTGACACCTGCCACGTGTCCTTCCAGGGAGACTGCTGGACCCACCTGCTCCTCACGTGCCTGAGCATCTACATAGTGCCTGGCACCGTGCTAGCCCTTGGGCAAGGATGCAAATTTAATCTAATGTCAGGATTCAGGGGATCCCTGGGTGGCACAGCAGTTTAGTGCCTGGCTTTGGCCCAGGGCACGATCCTGGAGACCCAGGATCGAATCCCACGTCGAGCTCCCAGTGCATGGAGCCTGCTTCTTCCTCTGCCTGTGTCTCTGCCTCTGTGTGTGTGTGTGTGACTATCATAAATAAATAAAAATTAAAAAAAAATATATGTGTATTTCTAAAAAAAACAAAACAAAACAAAACAAAAAAAGTCAGGATTCAAACAGGAAGTAAGGGTGTGTCAGAACGCAGGGTAGGTTGTGAAGGCAGAGAGGGGACAGGATGGGGGTAGGAGGGACTCTCGGGTGAGCAGACACCAAGGAAGTGAAGGTGTGGGTGGTATTACTAGAGAAATACCCACAGGCCATGGAGCCTAAGTGCAGAGGCCCTGCAGGGGGAGGCCCAAGGGGCCATCCACAGCCAAGGGACCTCCTACACAGGTGGGGACAGGCAACCCAGGCTTAAGCCACCAGGGGCATGCAGGTGTACTCCTCAGGGCTACGTCCCCCAGGCCAGACTCAATGCTGCTCCCACTGGGCCCCACTCCCTCCAAGTGCTTCCCTTGCTCCCCACTACCCAGGAGACAACTCCAAGCTCCTTATCCTATCCTGGCACTGAGGAACTCTTGGAACCCAGTCTACCTTCTCCTTCCAGCTATTATCTGCTGCCTTCACCCTCTACACAACCAAGTTGACTGCTGCCCCTCCCCTGATGATGGGGTGGGATCATCCAGGCAGGACCACTCCTGGGGAGACCTTCCCATGCCTTTCTCGTATGCACCCACTTGCCACCCACAAGTAGCACCTCCCCTGGGGGCTCAGGAGACGCTGCGGTCGGGAGGTCAGGTTCAATGGGACTTGGCCCTGGGTATGCAGATGGTGGCAACGGTGTACATGGGGGAGGATGGCGTTTGTATCATGGTGGGGGGAAGGGGCACGAGGGGATCTGAGACCTGGGGCAGCTTCAGTGCCTAGGTTTCAGGGACCACTTTGCAGAGAGGCTGCCATCATGGCTGGGACAACAACCAGGAGGCCACCTGGCAGGGAGGAGTAAAGGGAAGGAGGGGGACGGCGTTCCAGGCATGCAAAGTCACAGAAGCCCGAGCCACCTGGGCACCTTCTTGGCTGGGCTGTGAGGTCAGGGCCGTGTGGGAGAAGAGACTGGACGCATGAGCACGAGGGTTCCCAAAGTTGTGTGCTGGGACTGCGAGGGGCCAGGGCCAGGCTGCCCTCAGGTTGGATCCTGCCAGTTGCCTGGATGCCAGGCATGTGGGATGGGGTAGTGGAGGCAGGGGGCCAGCAGGAAGGCACCCCAGCTCAAGGGAGCCCACAGCACTAGGTTCCAGGACAGGTTAGTGAATGGAGGGGGCTTAGGGGGCTCAGGACGCTCAGACAGCGGGCAGGATGTGAACAGAGGGGGGGGACTCCCTGCCCGGGGCCCAGGAAGATACCAGCTGCTCCACTCTGGCTCTGTTGAGGTGGGACTGCTGGTAGCCCATCGCAGTGGCTGAGATGGCTGTGGTCCCCGATGCCTCGTGAACCGAGATAGCCTGCAAACCTGAATCCAGGGAGAGGAGAGCAGATGTTGGGTTTTTGCCCGCTGGTGGCCTCTGAAGCAGCCCCTCCCTACTCCTGGTTTGCAATCTCCATGGTCCTAGGAGACGCCTGGGAGGCTCAGAGGTTGAGCTCTGAGGTTCAGCTCAGGGCGTGACCCCAGGGTCCTGGGATCAAGTCCTGTATCCGGCTCCCTGCAGGGAGCCTGCTTCTCCCTCTGCCTGTGTCTCTGCCTCTCTCTGTGTGTCTCTCATAAATAAACAGATAAAATCTTTTTAAAAAATCAATCTCCACGGTCCTAAAAATACACAACTGAGTATGTTTAAACTGTATGTACCATAAGAGTTAGCAGGCCCTGAGCAAAGTTCCACAGTGCAGCCTCGGGGAGCCGCACTGGCCTCAACCTTTGGCTGCCGTCAGCTTGGTAGGGGCGGCATGGCTCAAAGCAGAATGGGTCTCCGGGGCCAGCACAGATGAGTACGACCTGGGACGAGAGACTCACCCGCCCTGAGCCTGAGCCTGTCTGCCCACCCAGGTAGCAGTTGCCAGGAGCCCTACTCAGCACACCCGTCATCTGTCCAGGGTTTCACTACACTCTGTCCTCCTGGCCTGGGACATTCGGCACCCAACTCACCGTGCAACTTCTTCTGGCCACTCCCATCATCCTGGGCCACCAGCTGCATGGGCAGGTCAAGCTTGATGCTGGCCAGCAACGGCCTGGTCGACTCCCACTGGATGTTCAGAGAGCTGAAGTTGTCGAATCTGCGTCCCTGCTGGTCATAGGCAGCCAGGTCCAGCAGGGGGTTGCGGTGACTAGAGACCGGGACCTGCAAGAGGCAAGAGTCAAACATCCTGGTCACTCTAGAACCAGGCACTGCTGCTCTTGACCACGCAGGGCATCCTGGCCCTGGCTGGCTGTGTTTGGGGATCCCTGGGTCCTGGTGATAGAGGAGGGTAAGTCACTAGCTCCTGCTACCCAGTTGTCAAGAAGCCTCATAGCCCCCATCCAACCTGGCCTCCTACTCCAGCCCATGGTTCTCAAGGAGGGCCAAGTTTGCTCCCCCAGGGGACACTGATGATGTCTGAAAAGTGTTTTTGATGATCACAACTACGGGGTTGGGGGGTGCAATGGGCATCTAGTCAGTAGAGGTCAAGGATACTGTCTAATATCACACAAGGCACAGGACAGCCCTCAGGAAATAAGGATCTGGCCCAAAAATTCAGGAGTGCCAGGGCCAAGAGACCCCCGCCTCAAGCCCTCCACCACCATAGCCAGGCTGCTCTCCTTCCTCCCTGGCCTCACCTTCCCACATCCTTGCCACCTCCTCCCTGCCCCATGCACGCCCAGCCCCTCCAGGATGACTTCCGCCCCCCAAGTTTTAATAGGAACATCAATTACAACCTCTAAAACGTCCAGACTTACTCAGCTTGCAAAGATCCTTTCAGAGCCAGGTTCTCACCTGATCCTCAAATATCCCAGTGTGATGGGAACTGTCATCCTCATATTAAAGGTGAGGAAGCAGAGTCCCAGGAAAAACAGGGACGTATCAAAGGCGACTCGGCAAATGAGTGGTACGCTTTCAGGGTTCAGCTCCAAACACTGAATTACTAACCACTCTACCACCACCTCTTGCTCCCCATGCAACTCCACCCCTTGGAACCCATGCCAAGTCCACCTCCTTCCTTCCAGATGCTGGGTCATCCCCTCCACTCCCTGCCTGAATGGCAAGAGGGCAGGGAGTGAAGCAGGGACCCTGAGTACAGGGACATCCAAGTCCCGCTGCCTGCACTCGAGCCTCGGCCTCTCACCACCCAGGCAGACAGAACCACGCATCACAACAGAACCCACCTCCCAGGACTCTGTTTTAAGTGAGGGTAGTATGAGATCATTTTAGGGAGCCTGGTTCACTGTAACAAACACGCAAGTCGGGAAACAGGTAGTCAGGCTGCAAGCACAGGTCCAAAAGCCAGGACCGTACTTGTCTGGTCCTTGCAGTTAGGAGTGACTGTGTCACTTGCTTTGACTATGAAAGGGAAAGTGACTCAAAACAACTCTGCAGGAGGAAGGCACCTGGGCGGCTCAGTGGTTGAGTGTCTGCCTTTGGCTCAGGTCATGATCCCAGAGTTCTGGGATCGAGTCCCACATCGGGCTCCCTGCATGGAGCCTGCTTCTCCCTCTGCTTGTGTCTCTGCCTCTCTCTCCATCTCTCATGAATAAATAAGTAAAAAAAAAAAAAAAAAACTCCAGGGGGAAGCAACCTGCCAGGCTCTCCCCTCTGCAGTGGCATGTGGCCATGTCCAACATGGTGGCTGTCCCCACCTACTGTGTCTTGGAAAGAAGAGAACAGTGACACAAAGCCGGGTCCCCAGTCACCGTGATGAAAATGGGGCTCGGGCGAGAAGTGAGTGGTGTGCTGTGTGAAGGTACTGGGATCTGTGGCTGCTTGTTACTGCAGCCTAGCCTCGCCTGTCCAGATTGATGCTGTCACCGAACTTCAGGCTGGCACCAGGAGGGCCCCTCCCCAGGTCCTGCTAGCTCTCTTGCCCCCAGATAACACTGAACCAAAAGCATATTGCAAATCTTAAATGCAGATTAGCACAATCCCTGGGGATGCAAAGGATCTTGTAACAATTCTGGATTTGAGTCAGGAGTTGTGACTCCAGGCAGGGACAAGAAGTAGCATTTTCTAGATGCCCCGCTCTTTCTCCTTCCCTCCCCCTGTGCTACCAGGGGAGGACATGAACACCCTGTGCCAGGCAGGCTTGGATCCTTCCAATGGGCATTTGGGACAACAACATTATCCCCATTTTATAAACAGGAAGGCTGAGGCTCAGAGATGTTAAGCAACTTGCCCAAGGTTGCACAGGTTTAGGGGTACAACTCTGCTGGTCTGATTTTAAAGCATACAGGCCTCCCCCAACTTTGTGGCCTCCCCTCCAACCCCTGTGCAGTGGCTCCATCCAAGCCCCAGTTTATCAGTCTCCCGGCACGCAACTGGTGCTCAGCCACAGTGAGCTGAACACAGGATGACCTATGCAGAGCACTGGGGTCAGGCCAGAGTCTTGTTCCACTCTGTCACTCTGACTGGTCAGCTCGGTTCCGGTGATTGGGCCTCACCAGTAATTTACTCTGCAAACACATCTTGGGTGGCCTCTGGCTTTGGAGAGGTATAAAATTAAATTGATACTGCACCCAGGATGCATGGCAGGGATATATCTTTCTCAAGGTCCCCTAGTGAGATCATAAATCGCAGGGGCCATGCCCGATCAGCTCACAGCTCTGGAACTCCAGGCCTGATGGATGGCCTCGCAGTTCTGTGTCTGAGGTCCATTATTTCCTGGCAAGTGAGATCGATGACACACACAAGCCAATTCAGAGCCGTGCTCTGCTGCCTGTCATCTTTGAGTCAAAAGAGACAGCCCTGGGCTGACCCAGAGGTCACAGTCAACAGATGGCCAGACACACGGCTCACTTGGCCAGTGCCCAACATGTAAAGACACTTACACAAGGAAGATACACAGAGCTGCCTGCTTTTTCTTTGCAAATAGGAAGGTTTGGCCAGCCTGAGGTTGAACAGGCTATCCTGTGGACAGGTACTTGCTCTCCATTCAGGTCTGCACCCCCACCCCTTACCCCCTGTCTTCAGCAGACCCCACCTGGCTTCTCCAGGCATTTGAGCCCGACAGAACCAGGGGCAGAAGACACAGGGACACAGGCATGGTGTGCTCATTCATCCATCACGGCTGACTGAACTCCTCCCATGAGCTGGGCTCTTTTCTAGAGACTTGCAAAGAAGAAAAGAAACATGTAAATTCTAGTGTCAGATGATGTAAAGAGCTTGGGGGCAGGGGAAGAAGGGAACCAGAATGTGAAGTGTTGAAAGTTCAGGTTAAGGTCTAAATGCTGAGGCACCCTCCCTAGCGGTAACATTTGAATAAAGAAGTGAAGGAGGTGGGGAGGGAGGCCCGGGGACTGGGAGAGGAGGGAAGTCAAGCCAACGGGAACAGCATCTCCAGGATGCACACAGGGCCCGTTCCTGAGTGCTCACGGCACAACGGGAGTCCAAGCATGGGTGGAGTGGGGTGGAACGTTAACGGGGGCCAGGACTCGGGGATCACAGGCCACACAAGGGCCTTGGCTTTTGCTCTGGGGGAATGGGAAGCTGCTGGCTGGGTCTAAGCAGACAACAGGGTAAGAAGTGTAACATTCTGCACTCTGAACACCTTCGGTCCACTTATGTTTGTCCCCTACAATCCTAGGAGACCACAGTCACCCAGTGTCATTGGAGGAGGAATTCAGACCCAGCCGTCAATCCCTACTGATATCAGCTACTGTTGGACTCCTGGCCTCACACCTAGTGGACTGATAGGCCAGGTTTTCCAGAAAAGTCCAGACTTAGCATGATTACATTCTTCAGGGATAATCTGCTATATATATAAAAGCGATTTAAAATGTGAAGCTTTTAGGACATTCATCTCAACAGCCCCCAAAATCAGGGGGACTTTCCTTAGTCCCGAACACACAGACTTTCAGCTTGGGAATGACAGCCATCTGCTCCCTGCCACCAACACCCAGGCCTGAGCTGGAGGTGAACGTGGCTTCATGGTGACAAGCCTGCAGAGGAGCTCTATCTAGGCTCGGAGCTGGGTCTCCTCACCTGTCAAGAGGGAACACAGGCAGGTATGCTTTGGCCGGCCCCTGTGGGGTTGGTGGGAGAGTGCTCCGAGGCTGGGCACCAAGAATCCTCACTTGAACCGACACTGCTGAGGCACTGACTCCTAAGGGACCAGCATGGGGGCAGCAGAGGGGCTCCCACGCCCACTCACCTCAGAGCTGAGGGATCAGGAGAGCCTAAGAGAGGGCAGCAGCCCATCAGAAAAGCGGGGAGAAAAGTCAACCAAGCTTGCAGGGGACACGAAGGCTGAAGGCAGAGAGGCAGAGGCACACTCCAGACAGGGAGAACTGTTGGAGTCTGGGACCCCCCGCAGAGCTTCAAAGAAATGTACTTTGACCAAACGCAAAGCTGTTCTCCTCCTGCACCCACAGGGGAGCCAAACCCCAAATCTATCTGCCTGGAGGAGAGGCTGCTCACATAAGCAGCTTCAGAAAGCTTCCATTAGGTGCCGAGAGGACATGCAGTGAGTCCTCTCAGGGCAAACAGCAAAGAGGTAAGAGGGCCCTGTCCCTAGAAGGGGCTCCAGGAGACACAGGGCCCCTCAGAACCCACCAGGACAGAGGCAGCTGGACACGCCTTGGGGGTGATCACAGGGCCACGGCTGGGAGAAGAGAAGCGGCCGCAGGGCCCTCCGAGGCACTGCACTTGGAGCTGGGCAGATCCACTCTGTCTCTGGGGCCCTGCCTACATCTGAGCCTCATGGGCAAACCCATGAAGGGGATGCAACAAGCCGGGGCCTCCCAAATGGTCCTGGTGACAGGGAACAAAGCATATGGGTCAGAGCTCCAGGCACATACAACTGTTCTAATTACCGTGTGTGGGCAGCAGGGACACAGAGACCCTAGTCTAGCCTCAGGGCCTTTGCACTTGCCATTCTACCTGCCTGGGACCCCTTATGTTAGCTCTTTTTGGCCAGCATCTCCTGATCATGGGGCCTGACGTGGTGTGTGTCCTCCTGACAGAGGCCTTTCCTGGTTCCACCTGAAGTGGCCTCCCTGGTAGCTGTCCCGCACCCCCTCACTTGCTCCACAGCACCTCCCACCTCCTGTCCTTCTTGTCTACTATTTGTGGACCTCCTGGTCTCCTGTCCCCTCCAGGCAGCAGGTGCCTCACCTGTATCAAGTACTCTGTATTCTAGAACCCAGAACTCTGGGCCCGGCACACAGAAGGTGCTGGATAAATATACATTGAAGGAATGAGGGAAAAGCAGCCTGCCTAAGTCTCTACCTCTTAGAAGGGACTGGGGGCCAGGGCGAGCCCAGAGGGTGTTCATACCCCTGACCCTGAACGGAAGGGCTTTGAAGTCCTCCGCATCTGTCATCTGGTCTCTGGGTGTCCCAGGGTGGAGGGCTAGACTGGCCGCAAGCCCAAGAGGACCAGACCTATGGGTTTCACTTCCATCCCTGCGTGTCACAGCCACCCCCAAGTGATTTTCTTCTCCCTCCCGCAATTATGTTTGACACAGTCCCCCCCACCCTCACCGACAGAGAATGCTACAGCTGGTCACCCCTCCCTGCAGCTCCCACTCTGACCACACACACACACACACACACACACAGCCCACAGACCGCAGCCCCACCTCAACATCCCTAAGTCACAGAAGCAGATGATGAGATTTTACCAATGGCCAAGTGCCACACAGCGAGGGGAGCCGAGTCTGGGACCAGAGGCACTCTGCTTCCACCCGGCACTGCCACTAGCCTGTGACTCCAGGCGAGTCTCCTCCCTGTGTGAGTCTTAAGCCCCCTGATAAGTTAGAGCTGGATAAAAGCAGGCACTGTACAGGGGTGCCTGAGCACGGAGATGAGGTGGCACAGTGTCGACCCGTCACCTTCACCACCACCCCTAGAACCACTCACTTACCACCTGCTTGTTCTGCTGCAGCAGTGGACATGACAGGTCTAGCTGGGGGCTGGCGTAGACGGGGGTCAGGGTGAGCCTGGAGGGCGGGGCGCAGATGAACTTCACCACGGCAGGCTCCAGTGCGGGAAAGGGGTTGGTGACGCTGGGCTTGTTCCCCACGGAGAGGGCGATGACCTGCCAGAGTGGAGGAGCAGTTAAAGTAATGAGAGGACGATGACCTGCCCCACATGAGCCTGGCCTCACCATCCAGCTCCATCAGACTCAGTTTGCTGCTCTGTAGAATGGGAAGGTGAGCCCAGCACCACCAGGGGCTTACAAAAGTCCAGTGACACGTATGGGGGAGTGCTCTCTCAACATGCAAGAGGCCTTCAGACAAACGCTGGCCGAACCACTGTCTGCTCCGCGACCCAGGGAGGAAGGGGGTGGGTGATGCCTCACAGCTTCCCAGGATTCTCTGAAGACCCCAATAGTCATAAGAGCGAATTCACAAGCCTGTGGGTTGTTTTTTTTTTTTTTAATTTTTTTTTAAATTTATTTATTTATGATAGTCACACACAGAGAGAGAGGCAGAGACACAGGCAGAGGGAGAAGCAGGCTCCATGCACCGGGAGCCCGATATGGGATTTGATCCCAGGTCTCCAGGATCGCGCCCTGAGCCAAAGGCAGGCGCCAAACCGCTGCGCCACCCAGGGATCCCAAGCCTGTGGGTTTTTAAATGAGGAGCCCACACTGACCCGGAAGATCCCTCGTAATGAGGTGCAACCATGGCAGGCTGTGAAAGGCAGAGAAGGGGCCATGGGGGGCTCACCCTGTGAGGACAGGTGGGGGGCCTCAGCCTGCGCGCCCTCTCTCTCTTTGAGAGAAGCTTACTTGGCTGCATAGAAACCAAGATTAAAGATGCAACAAAAGAGGGAAATTTGAATCTGCTTTTAGAGCTGGGACCTCAAAAATAAACCCCAGCCTGATTTTGTGAGGACCACATCTAATGACCCATCCTGAGGGAGCACCTCGGGCCCCTCAAATGACACACGCTTTCCGTAGGACCCAGCGGTCTGGTCCTAGCACCCCTCATCCTTCCTGACCACAAGGCAGGACCAAGGGTGGTTTCCACGCTGACCTGCAGGCCCTCGGCCCCCACTGCAATGCCCCAAGGACGGGAGGCACAGAGCACAGCAGAGGGAGGGCCCTGGAGGTGCCAACTCCTACGGCCCAGCGGGGACTCAGATAAGCAAGCCAAGCCAGGGAGGAGAAACGTCTCTAACTTCGTTGAGTTATTATTAATTTTTCTTATTTAATTTTTTAAACATTTATTAATTTTTTTAAAAGACAAAACAAAGAGGGAATCAGAGCCTTTCACTGTGCATCTCTTCTGTGCACACCAGGCAGTCTTGGCGTGGCAAGCTCCATAAAGGTACCTTGGGTGATGTGGGCACGTGTGTTTTAACATCAACTGAGATTCTCTGCATGTGCAAGGGGATTCTCCACTTCCCTTAAGACATGGGCTCTCTCCTACTTTTCTTGATCCCCGCTGGTCTCCCACCTTGCTTTTTGTTCCCCGGCTCCAGGGCACCCTATGAATGGTGGGCTATATCCCCACTATAAGCAAAATGAGCATGTGGCCCTGACTTCCGGGGTGGCAGGCACAGGAGCCTGGATGGGCGAGCTGTTGCTTTCTCTAGCCCATTCCCGCAGTGTGAGAGTTCAGGCCACAGACATGTGTTCAGCCCACCCAGTCTCCTGATTTCTCTGGTTTTTGGCATTGTGAGAAACAAAACTCAAGAGATTTCACAGAAAAAAATAGCTTATCTTGAAATGCCAAAAAAAGATCTGCGAAACCTGGGCTTAGGTCTCGCTCATTTATGGTAGCTGCTTGACTCTGACTGTGACCCCTGGTGTCGTCCCATCCCCCAATTTGGCAGCGGGAAATGAAGCCCAGAGAGAGAACAGAGTATCCCAGTAGTGGAAGGGGAGCCAGGACTGGTGCCTCTAGCAAAGCCACTGTATATCGGCAGGGTCCCATCCAACTCCTGCACCCCGATCAACGTGCCTATCCAGTCATCCCACCTCATTGATCCTCAGTTTGCCTGTCTGTGAAATGGTGCTGTAAGCACAGCAGGGTACTCAAGGAGTGTGACTTTAGACCCCTCCCTCTGGACGTGATGGGCCTAGGGACGGCCACCCTCTCACCTGCTCGCCCAAGGCCCGGCAGGTTACAAGGATCCAGTGCTGCTGGTAATTCCGGGAGGTAGAAGGCCCAAAGAGAGCCAAACTAATGCTGTCTGCGTCCTCGGAGGTGATGTTCCGGAAGAACTTGGAAGGCTCAAGGACCCAGGGTCTGGGACCTCCTTCGAACAGCATCTCCTTTGAGGAGCCGAGAGTCACCAAGGCGACAGAGGAGGGATCCACAGTCTGTGGAGGAAAGAAAGGAGAGTCAGCATTCCTCTGGACTGCACATGCAGGGGAGGCCTCGCCCTGCCACCGACTTGCCCCCGTGGAAGGCAGATAAGCCCCAACCCCTCTCTGGAATTTGGTGTGCTCATCAGCAACACCATCAGGGCTGCTGTCAAGATCCAAAGGCATATGAGAGCCCTGGGAAGAACTATGTGCCCATCCTGTTGTACTACTGAGGGGTGGGAGGTAAACTGATTTGTGTAGCCCGAAAAATAATCGGTAAAAGCCTTGAAAACATCAATAGCCCTTGAACCAGAGAACTCTTCTTCTGGAATCTAACCAGTAACACTAGAACAGGAAGGAGAGAAACAAGTTCATGTGCAACAAGACTTCCACACGCTATTATTTATTATTATTGGCCAATAATCTAAAATCCACAACATGGCACTAATTAAATAAACATGGTATATCCATATATAATAGGAGGTTATGCAGGTCCCCAGAGCAAGTATTTACAAAGAGCTGGATACAAAGCTGACTGTAGAGTGTGATCACAGCCACGTCGTTTTACAAAGCATAAAGCAGTCCAACAAAGAAATACACCAGATGATGGGGGAAAACCACAGATGGCCTCTCCTTGCTGGCAATTTGTTTCCTTTTTACTCCACTGACTTTCCCACACTTTCTACAACATACGGAGGAGCTTTGGGGGGGCCAACCTTCTTTGCCTGTTTTGTTCCCAGCACCTAGGACAGTGCCTGGCACATAGTCGATGCTCAATCATTATTTGTTGAAGGAGAGAGCAAACAGTAAGCCCGAAAAGTACCCAATAAAGGAAAATGAATTAGAATAATTTTTTACAAAAAGCTGTCGTGTGCTTTCACGATCTTTGTGCTGAGGGTCCCGGGGCCTCTGTAGGGTCTGTGGGAAACAGCAGGGAGAGGGGACAGGACATCTGGGAAGATGTGGTCTGCTCTGTACACGGGCATCTCCCCTCACAGACACAACTGGGGTATAAAGAAGGGGGTCTGTCTGAGGGGGGGCTTGCAGCCTTGCTCTCTCACTCCCTCCTGGGCTTGGCTGATCTCCCGCTCCAGAGGCTCTCACTGAGGTCACCCCAAATCCTTAGAATCCTTATATGTCAGCTGGCTTCCCTGTTGGAGCCTCCCCTGCCGCCAAACTCTACCCTCCAAAGGGCTGCCTGACGTCTCTTCCAAAAGCACAGATCTGACCATGTCCTCCTGCACTAAGTCAGCCTACAGTACCAGCTGCCCTTGGAAGAAAGGCTTCATTATTTTAGGATGCAGGCTCTCCCCACCTGGCCCTCGCCTCCCCTCTCCTGGTCCCACTTTCAGACGAGCCTGTGCTCAGGCCCTCACAGAAGCTGCCCTGCCATCCTTGGAGCCCTACCCACTCCTTCCTCCAAGAAGCCCCTGCTTCCTCCCTCACCCAGTGACGTCTGGCCTGCCATGGAGGCCAGCTTATTCTGTGGCCCCTACTTCATCTGGTGTCAGCAAGGAAATGACTGGTCTGGGTGGTGCTTCCCTGATCAGCCTACAGGCTCATGAAAGGATAGGGCCTGTTTCCTTGTGTATCCACAGCGTGATCAAACCATATGAGGACTGAAAAGCCACAGAGAGAAAATAAAATACTTTTTATAAAAATAGGAAATGACAATGACACCTTGATATTATTTCTTAACCGTGTGATTGATAAAAATCCTAGAAAAACCCTTTCTAAAAAATTTATTCACTTTCTTACTGAGATATAATTGGCAGTGAACATTATATTAGTTTTAGGCATATAGCATAACGATTCAATATTTGTATATGCAGGTGACCCTTGAACAACAGAGGGGTTAGAGGCGCTGACCCACCAGCCACTCCAAAGTCCACATATAACTTTTGACTCCCCAAAATGGGGATGGAAGCAAGACTTCTGAGTATCCTTCTAATACACTTAGCTTTGGAACCACACAAACAACTTACATATACATCAAAATGAAATAAAAAAAGAAACACCAACAAGCAAACCCTAAAACTGAGAAGAAACCAATCTTTCTGACAGACTGGTCACCTCAAGACTGCAATGACTGAACCCATACCAGTTCCCTAACTCTTGGCCTAAGCGATTCCTTAACCTCTTGTGATTCCTAACGCCTTTCAGAACAAGTGTTGCAAACACCTGTCACCTTGACTGCCTTGCAACAGCTGGCAGGACAGAGGGTGGGGGTGCATGGAACTGGTTCCTAAAGTAGAATCAGCACCAGGCAAAAAAGTGTGCCAGGATCGATTAGCAATGTCTGTGGTGGACAGGGCCCGGATACACACAGGGCCAGGTCTGCATTAGACTGGAGTCCACGTGGACGGCACCCACTTCTACTTCAGAGTGGCCAGCATGCTGGGAGTGTGGAGACCACTGTTCACACACATCAAGTGAGTCCTTAGTTTATTGCCTAGAACATACAGAGTGCTTGACAGTTAGATCCAGCATGGCTTCCCCAAACTCCACTCTCCCGAATCCTTCAAGCCCTGAGTGTTCATGCTGCTCCGGGCAGAAGACCCAGCCTCAGACCTGTCTGCAGGTGGAGACCAGGATGTGTTGCTGAGATATCACAAGCCTGGACTGAGCCACAGTATCCCCATGCTCCTTCCATTTTGGCCCAACGTGTGTGAATCCCACTCACACAGGGCTGCAGGGTGCCAGCCCATTGTTGTAGTCACCCACCAGGACCAGAGTCTACACTAACCCACTCATCAGGGCCCCTGACCCTCCACCCTGCTCCTTCCATGGCCTCACCCCCTTGCCAGCTGGATCTTCATCCCCCAACTGCCAAGACAGAAGTCCTCCCAGGTACAGACTGATGACCACTCGGCTGCCACCTGCAGTCCTGGATCTGGAGCAGTGCCCCAGCCAGCTGCACCTTCAATATGGAGGGGGAGTCATCTGAGTGGCAGCTTTAAGATGTATATACCCTCCTCCGGGATGGGGGCAGCGGGGCAAGGTGATGGTCTGCTGAGGCCTGTGGGGGCACAGGCTCTCCTGGTTGGGTACCTACACTAAACCTTAGCCAAGAAACAGCCTCACTTGTCAGTGAGAATTCTGTCCTTTTAATCTTTCTTTCTTTCTTTTTTTTCTTTCCAATATGGGCACTCTTCTGAATTTGCTATTGGTTATCAGTTCTCCAGGCATCCCTCCCTACGCACATGAGTGTACAACACATGCAACTTCAAAATACCTGGGGGCACGCCCACCTGCAGATGCAACCTTGCTGTGTGCCCAGGTGTTAAAACCATCAAAAGAGCTCTTCTCTTGCATCTTCTCTTGCGTGAATGGTTAAGCATCATCAGGGCTCTCACTATTCCTCCTGAAGGAGTCTCATGGCCTATGTCACTCAGACTTCTGCTCAAACATCATCCCCTTGGAGAGGCCTTCTCTGACCCCTGAAGGCAGAACCTCTTGTTACTTGTTACCTCTTTTCCCGGCCCAACCGCCCTTCTCACTACCTGCCACCATTTTCCATATGGTCATTTGTTTCTCCGTTCCCACAACTAGAATGAAGTTGTTACTGGCCAGCTGTGTGACCTTACGCAGGTTAATTTCTACAAGGCTCAGTCTCCCCATCCAATAAAATGGGTACAACAAGAACCCATGGCTTACAGGATTACTATAGAGATTCAAGGGAATGTGAACAAAAGCCATGAATACATGTCCAGTGAATGCTCAATAAATGGCCCTTTATATCATTTGTATATCATATACATGTCATTTATATATCATTTATATCAACCATCATTACCATTAACTGTCATCTCCTTTTTACAGATGGAAAACATGAATCCCAGGAAAGTGAAACAATGTGTCCAAGTTCACTCAGGCTGTTCAGTCTCAGATGCCCAGTTCTTACCCATTCTCAATGCTACAACCAGCAAAATCTCTGTGGGCAAAGCAGGTCACTGTAAACCTTGCCAAAGGATATTTTTTTCTATGACCATCCCAAAGGGAAAGATTGTGTAAAGATGCCACATGGCCCATAATTAACAGCTAGATCTAAAATTATCACCTTCATGTGTAGTTCTCTTCCCATTCAGGCATAAAAGTGTCACAGAATCCTGTGCCAGGAAGAAAGGTTAATAATCAACACAGCTAATGAAGGACAGTCATAAATTGTACAGCCTCCTCAGTGGATGGCAAAGCACAGATATTTGAATAGGCAAAGCCAGAGAGGAGAGGACCCATGCACCTCAGGTGAGACCTCTGCTCAGGGCCTTGGTATCCTGGTTTGCAGAACAAGAGAGGTGAGTCTAGACATCAAGAGGCCCCTTGCACTGACTGTCTACGCTTCTAGCAGATGGCATCCACATGCCCCTTCACAGGGATACTCACACCTGCTCCAGGACAGAGACGGAGGAGGGGGGCGGGGTGGTCAGAAGTCAAGGCCCCACTGCACCTGGCTGTCCCAGAGGCTCGGGCGTTGTTATGTGTAGTCATGCTAACACTGTGAGAATGGACAGCCAGGCAGGGTTCCAGACCCGGGCACTAGAGACTCCCAGAGAGTTACCTGCAGGTGGGTCAAGGGACACCCAGTCCCCACAGCAGACAAAAGCTGAAGAGTAACTGGGGTGCTGACTGCAGAGAGAATCTGGTAGCTGGCAAACATAAGCCCTCCCAAGGTCCAAATAGAGGAAGTTACGTGCATGGGGGGGCTGAACAGTGCCCATCTTACATGTGGACCTGATTTTGTCCTTCCCTGACCTTCATCAGCTGTCCACTGCTAGGTTAGAATAGAATAAATATCCAGCTCCTAACCCAGCATTCAAACACCTCCTTGGTCTGACCCATGGAGCCTTCACAGCCTCTCAGGGCACCCAAGATATGCTGTTTCTAGTGCCCTCACCAGCCAAGCTTCTGGCAACCAGGCCCTCCTTCTAGACGTCTGTGTTCATCAGTGACCTGTCCCCCCTGCGTCTCTTTATTCCCTCTACCATGCCCACTGCATGTCTGAGCACCTGCCTTCCCCACAGACCGGTGGCCACCCAGGGCACAAAGTGGGCTTTCTCCCTGCATCTCTGTCTCCCCAGCCTGGACTGTGTACCAACAAAGTGCCCAGGGATGATCTGCAAAGTAAACTGATGAATGGACAAGCAGTCATTGAGAGTCACTTTCCCAGTTTCCACAGTCCTCTCGTCCTTAGAGAAAGGACTCTCATTTGTTAGGGTAGGTAACTGTCCAGCTAAAATACTCCCCAGCCTCTGTTGAAGATAGTGTGGCCAATGAGGTGCAGGTAGAAACTACTCTTTTAAATTTCTAACAAGGTTACTAGAAGAAACTAACTCAGCTGAAAGGAGAGCTCCTTCTTCTTCTAGCCATATGGAATGCAGAAGTGATGGCTGGAGCTCCAGCAGCCATTAGGACTAGAAGGCAAACTTGAGGATAAAAGCCACATACTAGAATGATGAAAGATAGAAACCTGGATCCCCGGTCACTATGGAGCTGCCACACTAGCCCCATGGGAAGGCTCTCATATGAAAGAGAAACAAACCCTCTATTGGCTAAGCCACTGTTTTGGATTTTGTTATCTGTAAACAAACTTGATCTTAACTGTTATCAAGATGGAAAAGAGATAAAAGAAGAAACCCATATCCTTCTATAATGTGTCCAGTCAGGAAGTCTTGACTGGGGACATATCTATATTATCTTTACCCTTAATCCCACCTTGGGATAGTGAGCTCAGTTGGTGGCCTTGGATACTTCAGCCACATACCCCAGATAAATAGGGTGTCTGGTCATGTGAGGCAAGCACCCAGGAAGAGCTCTGAAGAAGCTCTCCCCAGGGTCCTAAGGAAACTCCACCTCGTGGAAGGCTGTGGCAGGGGTTTCTCGAGAATGCTGCCATCTTAGGGATTTCCATTCTCTTGAACCCTGTTCTCTGAGCCCTGCCACTGCTTCCTGGTCAGTAAGGGGACCCTGGGTTTCTAATTTTAAACTGTCACCCTCCCTTCTCCTATCCTCCGTCTACCACCATCTCCTTTCCCCATGGTAAGCGCTGGTTTATTACTGTCTGTCTGTCTCTGCCAGAGTGTCAGTTCATGAGGACAAAGATTTCTGTGTGGTTTTTGCACTGTAATATCCTACGGTTTAGAGCAGGGATTGGTCCAGAGTAGGTATAGATACAGATTTTGCGGGTGGGGGTGGGGGGTCAGGAAACATTGGTTTTCAGCCCTGGCTGGCAAGCCTGGACACATTTGCCCGTTCATTCAATCTAAATAAAACAACCCTTCTCAAAAAATACCCACTTCTGGGTATTTAACCAAAGGAAATGAAAACACTAACTCAAAAAGGTATTTGTACCTCCATGTTCATCGTAGCATCATTTACAATAGCCAAGATGTGGAAATAACTTGTGTTCAGTGACAGATGAATGGATAATGATTTGATACACACACACGCAGGAATATTACTCAACCATAATAAGGAAGGACAGCCTACCATCTGCAACACCATGAATGGACCTTGAGAGCAGTAGGCTAAGGGAAGTAAGTCAGACAGAGACAAATACTATGTGATCTCATTGTAATTTAAAAGAGAAGGGCAACCCGGGTGGCTTAGCGGTATAGCGCCGCCTTCAACCCAGGGCAGGATCCTGGAGACCCAGGATCGAGTCCCATATCGGGCTCCCTGCATGGAGCCTGCTTCTCCCTCTGCCTGCATCTCTGCTTCTCTCTGTGTCTCTCTCATGAATAAATAAAATCTTTTAAAAAAATAAAATAAGAGAGAAAAAGAACTCACAGAATGGATTGGTGGTTGCCTGGTTGCTGGAGAGGGGTGTGTGGCAGCAAATAGGTGAAAGAGTCAAAAGATACAAACTTCCAGTTATAAAATAAATAATTCGTGGAGATGTTATGTACACCACAATGACTAGAATTAATATGGTATTGCTTATTTGAAAGTTGATATGAGAGTAGATCTCAAAAGTTCTCATCACCAGAAAAAGATCTGTAACTATGTATGGTGACGGATGTTAACTAGATTTACGGCGGTCACCATTTCACAACGTATGCAAATATTGAATCATTACACTGTACACCTGAAACTAATATAATGTTACATGTTAATTATGCCTCAATTAGAAAACACACAAAACCAATCTACTCTATATCAGGCACTATGCTCAGGGCTAGAGGCTCAGAGATGAAAGGCTTTAACTGACCCCGTTTCTAATGGGTGAGGGGGAAAGAAAACCTGTTGCCACAAACCAAGGGGACCAGAGCTATCCTAGAGTCTGCCGCTGGGTGTCAAGGAAATGCAGCCCTGACTGGCCCAGCCTGGGAGGCTGGTGGGGAGGCCCCCCCCAGACAACTCTTTCCTCCTCCACTGAAAGAGGAGCCCACTCACCCTCTCTGGGCCTCTTGTACAAGGGGCAAGGTTCTCTCTCTTTTTTTAGATTTATTTATTTGAGAGAGACAGAAAGAGGGAGGGGAGGAGGGGGAGGGGGGAGGGGGAGAGAGAGAGAGAGAGAGAACAGAGGCAGAGGGAGAAGCAGACTCCCCGCTGAGGAGAGAACCAGATGTGCAACTTGGTCCCAGGAATCTGAGATCATGACCTGATCCAAAGGCAGGTGCTTAACCAAGTGAGCCACCCAGGCACCCCATGAAAGGCAGGGTTCAAATAAAGTCGACCATCCTGCTGTGAGGTAGCTTCCCAACCACCCTTGGAGGAAGGTCTGGTTCTCTTTTATTTGCTTTTAAAAAACCAACCCTATTGAGCACTTACACCTCCCAGGCACTGTTCTAAGCCCATTTTGTTCATTAGCTCAGCTAATCCTCACCACAACCCTATGGTATCATATTAACTTCATTTTACAGGTAGTGAAATGGGAAGCCCAGAAAATTAAATTAGCCAATGCCACAGAGTTAGTGTCAGATCTGGATTCAAATGGCGGGGTGGGGGTGGGGGTCAGTCTCAAAGCCGAGGCGGTAAGCTCTAAGCTGCGGGGGCTTTAGCTGCCTCTGGCCACAGATGGACGAAGGGGCCTCCCACACTTGCTACTTGTCAGGCAGACAGCAGAATCCAGATCTGACTCGCATCTCCCAGACCCCAGAACCCACACTACATGCCATTCTCAGGTTCTATGATACCCTGCAGGATAACTCTGGAGTGAACCAGAAACCCTCCTGTCCTGACCCCTGCAGAGAGCATTTCATCCACATGGATGCCAGCAATCACTGCCATCAGGGAGGCAGGCTGTGCTCCTTCTACATACTTCCCTGGCTTCAGCATGGAGACAATAGGGAGCATTAGTTATTCTGACCAACTGGGGTTTTAATACAAATTTGCCAGAGCAAATGAATTATTCATATCCCTTCAGAGGGCAGGGACCCCGGGCTCACCTTGAGAGGCAGGTAGGCAGCAATGGTGATCCGGGCACTCAGGTGGATGTGGCCATGTGTGTAGCTCACAAGAAGTGTGGTGTAGCCCTGGACCTCTGCTCTCACCTTGACTCCACTGCAGTGTTCAGACCCTGGCTGCAGCCTCCCTGCAAGAAGAGAGCCAAACAGTTACTGGGAACTTACCTTTGCCTGGAAAAACACAACAGGCTGACAGCCTATCCTTCGCTCTGGGCTAGATGTGCAATCTAATTTTTTCAACTTAAAAATTTGAAGCATAATTCCCATGCCAGAAATACACTTAGCATAAGCATACAATTCAGTGTTCCCCCCCCACACCTGCAAAACTGAACATGCCCTATATCCAAGATTAAGAAACACTATGACCTGTATTCCTGAACCTCCCATATATCTTTCTGGTCACTAAGCCTCCCCAAAGGAAAACCAGTGGTACCTGACATCTAACCAGCTTAACTTTGCTGGCTTCCATATTGTACACATAGTGAATCACTAAGCATAAACTCCTTTGTGTCTGCCCTCCTGAGCTCGATATCGGTGGTGAGAGCCCTCCTTTATTTTGCACAATGTAGACCTTTTATGCATGTTTGTATATATGATTGCATTGTGTGAATAGACACCAAATGACTCCCCCATGCTGCTGCAAACATCTGGGCTATTTGCAGTGTGGGGCTTTGACTCAGTGCTGCTGTGAACATGCATGAGTGTTTTCCGGGGTGGACATATTCTGGCATTTCTGTTGTGTGTATCCCTAAAAATGCAGTATGTTAACCTCTAGTCCTTACTGCCAGGACCATGGGTATGTTTGCTTTTCATCATCATTGCCAAATATCTTCCCCAAAATGGATGTATCAAGTTATATTGCTACTAGCAGCTGCACGGCATCCCTGCCAATGCTTGGTATTTTCCACGATTTTTTAAAAAGCCATTCTAGAAGGAGTGTAATGACATCTTACTGTTTTTTTTTTCATTTAGAAAAAAAATCTTACTGTGAAACCCCACACACCCATCCCCTAGATTCTACAATGAACATTTTGCTCTATTTCTCTTACTGTGTATCAATCCATCCCCCTACCCATCCATCAGCTGATCTTATTTTTTAATGCATTTAAAAGCAAGTTGCAGGCATCAGCACACTTCATTCTAAATGCTTTAGACACACATAATTATCTGCAGTTCAGTATTTCCTCACGGTTCTTGTTTTTTTTTCTTTTTTTCGGTTCTTGTTTTCTTAAGGTCAAATTTACACAGAGTGAGAGACACAAATCTTAAACAGACCACACCATGAGTTCACACAAACACATCCACCTGTGAAACCCAAACCTCTACCCAGATGCAGGACATGACCTGCGCCCATGGTTCCTTCCTGTTCCTCCTCAGGCCATCCCTGCTCATCCTTTCCCTAGGAGCAACCACTATGGCATTCTGATTTTTTTCACCATAGTTTAATTTTGTTTTTGTTTTTTTTTTAATAATAGTTTTATTGAACTACAACTCACAAACCATAGGCTCACCCATTTAGAGGGCACATACAGTTCAGTGGCTTTTAACCTAGAGTTCTGTAGCTATCAGCACTAATTTGAGAACATCTCATCTCCTAAAAAGAAACCCCACATCCATGACCAGTCTCTCTCCATGTAAATTGGTCTGCCTCACAATGCACATCAATGAAGTGGGCATTTTGCATCTGGCTGGTTTCACGCAACATATTTTTGAAATTCATCTATGGTGTAGCATGATCAGTAGCTGGTTCCTCTTTACTGCTGAGTATTCCACTGCAAGGAGGTTCCATGGTTTGCTCATCCATTCACCAGCTGAAAAGCACTGGGGTTATTTCCAGGCTGGGGCGATCAAGGAGCAGGGCGTGCTGTGCCCTGGGTAGAAATCCCTACACTGCGGAAAGGGTGGGCTATAGGGCCCACGCACAGAGCCCATCAGCTCTGGAAAACTGCAAGTCTGCCAAACGGGCCTATTTGTGGCCATAACTACACAGAGCAAATATGGAAATGCTAGGTCTGAGGACCGTGCTGACTTCCAGGCGGGCTCAGAGAGTCTGAGCAAATGCTTTTCTGGACACGGCCTTGAATGATGAGACAGGATGCCAGGTCCTCTGCGTGGCTCGGAGGAAGGTTCTGACGCACAGCCGAGGAGCCTCCTGGGCGTGATGCCCTCTGCCTCCCACCCCATCCTGTGACCTCAGCCTTGGCAATGAGAGGCCACTCGCACTGTGGAGTGGAGCATGCCACTCCCTCTGTGGTCTCTGGCTCTTCATATACTCTTCCCACTCCTCAGAACACTCCTGGTCTCTTCTCTCTCATCCTTCAGGTTCAACTCACGTTTCCTCTATCTTCCCAGACGCCCCCACACTGGTTTAGGCACCCATCTTCTGCACGTTTCTGCTGAGGACAGAACTCCCAGGACCTGCGCTCACCCACAGGTACACCCTGTCGCAGGCACCACACTGCCCATGGGATCATGGGTCTTGCAGGGCTATATGGCCCCTTAGGGCAACACCATGCCTCTCACGGTTAGCAAGAACCCCCAGAGCATGGCGCTTATTAGATGCTCAGTGACTAGGTTGCTGAAAACTGGCCGAGGCTCCAGAAGGGGCCAGGGCAGAGCAAGAGCCAAGGTGTGGCTATCCTGGGCGCTGATTCTAGCCAAGCCCAAAGCCCTGAGGCTCCAGTAGAGGCAGTGCCTACAGTCACAGGGCTTTCAGGGGGCCTTCAAGGAGGACAAGGAGGAAATGAGGTCCCAGCAGCCAACTCCAATGGGAAGAAGGTGGGGTTCCAAACTGACCCAGATGGTGCTGGGGACCTGGGGCTGCCCCTTCCTAAGAACCATGACCTGGGTCACAACACACATCCTCCCTACCTGGGCATGAAACTGAGACAGACAGAGAAGGAAACCTCATGTGGGGATCACCTCTAAGCCTCCTACGCCCCAGATAGATGTCACTCAATCTGGTCTCTAGTCCCACATGGTTTCCATGACACCAGCATCTCTCTGCCCAGACAAGGCTACAGGTTGTAAGACACATACCTCTCAGATGACCTGGACCCTCCACAGAGGCTTCACAAAGCCACACCAAGTCTACACTGAGGGACATTTCAGGAGCTTCCTAAGGGAAATTTTGATGCCACAGGGTTTTGGTCTTGGCCGCCGTCTTCAGAACCAAACTCCTTGAAAAATGCTTCTGCACTGGGCTGAGGGACATTCATTTGTAACTCTCACAGCAAGTGAGGAGCTAGGATCCCCATTTTATCCACAGAGAAGTGGAGGCTCAGAGACGTTGGGCAGCTTGTCCACCATCACACAGCCAGTATGTGGAAGAAGTGATGCTCAGACCCATAGCTGTAGAACTCCCAATGTTGTCCTCACTTCCAGAACCTCCCGGGCGCTGACCCAGTGCCTGGGGCCACAGCCTGCAGACTCTTCCCTCAGACACTTGTCAGGGGTGACACACAGGGAGCAGGCTCCTGTCTTGACATCAGCAGGTCTCTCTCTCTCCCTCAATGCTGATGTTGTCCTCTGTCCTAAATGGCTGCTTCACTGAGGACACTTAAATTTCCATAAAGCTGTTCTTCCTGGATGGTCAGAGAGAGCACAGCAGCACCCTCCAAGAAAGGAAGAATGTGGTTTGCTTTCAGAGACACTTCCTCCTTCTTCTGTGTGGCTGCGGGCTCACACAGCTCCACAGGTAACCACAGCTACAGCAGGTACATGTGAAGCTGCTTGGCATCGTAGATGATCCTACAAATACCTCTGCCAGTTGAGTTTCTCAAAGTCTCTGCTCAAAAAACAACAGTGTCTCCCCACTGCCTAGACTCTGAAGTCCAAGCCCTTCATGATTCATGATTCAAAAGGTTCCCTTCCCAGGGCCACTATAAGTGCCCATGCCCTACGGATATGCCCACCTCTGGGCCCTGACCACAGAACCCTGCCCACCTGCCCAAACCTTACTCCTCCCTCAACAGACGGTCAGTCCTTTGGTCTTCTTGGTCCACAGAGGAATCCCCCTGCTGCCCCTGGCTGACTCTCCTGGGAGGCACCATTTCTCAGGGAACAAAGGTTTCACAGTGTCAGACCCACCCGGGTCTATCCCATCCCACCCGTGCCCTTGTGTGACCTTGGGCAGCTAGGCAGCCCCAGTCTCTTCACATAATACGTGGCCCAACCACAGCTCCACCTCCCACTGCCAGAAGTCTGAGGAGTCACGCACACCAAGTGCTGACTCCACGCCTGGCAAGGTGATGTTCCTTGAACTAACTGCCATCATCACCACCGATACCACCACTGAAACCCTGATGGGCGTGCCAGAGAGGAAAGATCAGTGTGCATGACTTCGACTGCTCGGGGGGGTCAGACCTTGCATGCCACCAAGGTGTCAGGATCCTGTCACTAGCCAAGATCCCTATCGACAGGGTATTCTGAGCATCTACTACATTCTGGACACTGTCATGGGCACTAGGACATGCAATTCTATTTAGGATGATGCTCATTTTAGAGATGTGGAACCTGAGGCTCTGAAGGCCCAGGGACAGGTCACATGGTGCACAAGAGCCAGACAGACCAGACCATTGCTAATGGTGGACAAGGGGACAGATACCATTCTTTAGGCTGTGACCCCCGCACTCCAAACCCCACCCCCGCTCCACCGCTGCTCAAGACCTCCATTTAGGAAATCTGGGGCAGCCCACATTGAGAACGTAGGTGGTCTGGCCTGACCCACCATCTGGCACCCACTCATCAATGCTGGCTTACCTGGGAGCGGCTGGAACACACCCTGGTTCTCCACCTCAATCGCCAAGTCAAAATGGGAGCAGTCACTCAGGGTGACCACTTCGTTGGCCCCGCCAGGGATGAGGCCATTGATCCTCAGGGGCAGCTCCAAGGTCTGGCCCACACGTGCCTCCACCTGGCACGGGGCAAACTCCATGCTGCTGGGCTCAATCACATATACCTGGAGGGCAAGGGCATGGACTGGGGTCATCAGGCTCCACAGGTGACGAAGGGCCCGCAGCAGTATTTACTAAGAGATGCCGTGCACTAGGCACTGAGGACACATCAGTGAGGAGACTGAGCCTGGGGAACATGTGTGCTGGAGACAGGAAAGATTTCAGTGACAGAGCTGTCAGGGAAGGCCCCTCTGATAAGGTGAAGTAGGAGCTCTGACCTGAGAGGCATGTCAGAGGCAGCCAGACAGCAGCATGGGGGAGAAGTGTTGTGGGAAGAGGAGACAGTCTGTGCAAAGGTCCTGAGGCATGTGCCAGCTCAGCATGCTGGAGGAATATAAAGGCCACAGGACGGCATGAGAGGCGTCATCACCTACAGCTAACACTTCTATAAAACAAAACTTTCCACACTCCAGATTCTGTTTTTTTTTTTTTTTAAAGATTCTATCTATTTATTCATGAGAGACATACAGAGAGAGAGTGAGAGGCAGAAGGAGAAACAGGCTCCACACAGGGAGCCTGACGTGGGACTCAATCCTGGGTCTCCAGGATCACGCCCTGGGCTGAAGGCAGCACTAAACTGCTGAGTCACCTGGGCTGCCCTCCAGGTTCTGTTCTAAAAACATTTTTTAAATTCAATCTCCTCAGCCTATTTGTTAAGCAGATTCTATTACATAATCTCTACATGATGAAGAACCTAGCACAGGAGGTGAAGGGACTTGCCCAAGCACAATGGGGTCTGGCCTGGGCAGCCTGGCTCCAGAAACCAAGTTCTAACTGTTACACACACTGTCTCTCAAGGAATGGTCCTCAGACTTCTGGCTGAGCAGCTGGGTGAGAGGTAGCGCATTTAACGAGATAAAGAAGCTTGAGGGGGAGCAAGGTGGTCATAGTCCACATATTTGACAGTTATGCTGTAGCTATAGGGTCTCATTCATGACTCTTTTACATGAGAATGAGATCAATCTTTAGACAGGGGTGCGCATGCATATGTGTGTGTGTGTCTATGCAGATCCAAATAAAAAGACTATAATAGGACAGCCCGGGTGGCTCAGTGGTGTAGCGCTGCCTTCGGCCCAGGGCGTGATCCTGGAGACCTGGGATCAAGTCCTGTGTCAGCCTCCCTGCATGGAGCCGGCTTCTCCTTCTGCCGGTGTCTCTACTTCTCTTGTCTTTCTGTTTCTCATGAATGAATAAATAAAATCTTAAAAAAAAAAGAGAGACTAGAATAACCTGTCCCTCCACGTCCCAAATAATATAAGAGCAGGTTGGGACTGGACGCACTGCATATGGCGCTTTGACTTCTGCCCTGAATGAAGTAGCAAAGGCAGGCTGAGGTCAGGGTCAGGAAGTCAGGAGGCCGAGGTAGGCTGGCAGAGGCTCAGCCACAGGTGACCACTCCACCCCAGGCCTGTGCTTAGTGAGTCAGTCCCGCATCACCTGGGGTCAAGAGCCAGATGAAGGGAACCCAGTACAGGGAAAGGAAAGGAGTCAGAGCCAGGCCTCACAGAGTCTGGGGTCTCCCTTTCACTGTGAATTCACCAACATTCAGTGGCCCTTCCGATGTGGAGATTCATACCTCTCAGGTCTGAGTTTTCTAGAATGACTCCTTTGAGGATCTCATGTGTTCTGTGTTCCCTGACCCTCTTTCCAGAAAATTCCAACTATGCTGACCCTGGCCCTTCTGGTCCCATTCTTGGCTGTGATGTACGCTCCTCAAGGGCAGGGCTAGTGCCTGACCCCCACGCTCCTGCCCACCACCAACACCAAATACAAGACTGAGGGCCGAAGTGCTTAAGCCTGAGGACTGGATGAGAGGAGGCGGCTAGAGACCGCCATCCTGAGCCTCTGGGCCCCTGAGACCTCACCTTCATCTCCCCGAAGTGCAGTGGGTTCTGCACGTCATGTGCCTGGATCACACTGAGTCCAGTGTCACTGCCTGTGGTCATCATACCCTTGACAGTGACTGTGGCAACCACGTAGCTCGACGAAGACCAGCTGAAGTTCCCACTCCCACCGTGGGCCTGGAGAGGAAAACCATCGTGTCAGCCCACCTGCCTGGTCTCTCTGGCTGTCTCTTTCCATCACACATTCACACTCACTCTCTGGCTCGCATGGTCAGACCCCACGGAAGACCATGGCTGTCAGGCTGACATCTGGTTGGAGGCCCCCTCCCCACCTCATTCTCTCCACCCTGCCTTGTTTCTGTTCCCCAGATTCTGGGGGCCTTGTGGCTGACACACACATATGCACGTGACCCCGGCAGTGGCCCCAGACCTGGGAGAACCTACACTGGAGTGGGCCACACACCCAGGCCCAAGAAGCTCCCTCCTGGCATGCACCCCTGCCGCCCCTAGTCATCCACCATGAAGCAGAGACAGTCCAGCGGCTTCCCCAAGCCAGGGCTACCACCCCAGAGCCCAAGAGAGGCCGAGGAGGGGACACACCTGAGTGAACAGGCAGCAGGTCCCGTGACAGTCATCACTGCCAGGGAGGCAGCGGGAACTGATGGGGACATGATTGGCCACAGGGGCTCAAGCCCCCATGGGAGTCAGCCCCTGCCAACCACGGCCAGGTGGGCAAGGGGAATATTGGAGACAGAGCTAGAGATATTCTTCCCTCAAATCTCACATTTTTTTTCTCCAGGGGTAGTTCTACTACTTTTAGGAAACCACTTATTTTTTTTTTTTTACAAAAAAAAAAAATGAAGGCAAAAGTTAAATCTGTTCTAGGTTTTCTTTATTATGCTTTCTTTTTCTGTTTTTCAGGGTTGGTTTTTTTTTTTTTTTCTGATTACCAAAATATAATGCTGTGATACAAACCCCAGAAAATATAAAAAGCATAAAACTCCAATTTTAAATTCTCTCCAATCACTAGAAAGTAATATTAAAAGGAACAGAGTAGGTGAGAAGCCTCAAACCCATGGAAACACCCAAAGGAATGCACCCAGATGTGGGGTGTCACAGTTACCTTTATCGTGTACTGATAGGCGCCGGTCTTTGGTTGCCACGGAAACGTCAAAATGCTCGGATAGAGGGTTATGGGGATGTGAATTTCTACCTCCTGCTGGTTCCACACAGGCACCTGTAATGTGTGGACCCCTCCGTCCTACAAGGGGGTGAGGGTGCTACATGTCACCATGACAACCAGGTCATCAGAAGTTTTCCCAGTCGAGCAGGCCCCCCGCCCTTCCCTGGAGATCAGGTCACAGAGAGAGTCTGTGATTGTCGGGGAGCAGGAAGGAAGATGCTAGATACCCTGCAGCCTTCTCAGTCTCCATGGAGACAGCATTCCATGGCTCTGTAATAGTCACTCAAGTAAATGCTGCTTGACTTCATCCTCACAGCACCCCAGATGGGGTGATGTGGGTATCCCACTTCACAGCTGGGGAAACTGAGGCATGGGGCCCTACAGCCACTTGCCCAAAGCCCCCAGAGCTGAAGTGATTGACTGGTAGGAACTGCTGCCTGACCCGCAGGCCATTCTTTCTGCTGCCCCCTACAGGTCTGGGACAGGTTTTGTGCAGGGTGGGAGGATGAGAACGCCCATGCCAATGCTCCTATAAGTTAAAAACTGCTCACACCTAGAACTGGTCTTTTAAATAAAGCGGGAAAGTGAAAAGACTCTGAAGGACCCTAGTAGCTAAAACAGCCAAAGGGATGCTCATGGCTCCTAAAAGCCACACAGCTAGACACATTGGCCCAACACTGTCTCCCCAATAGGGTTTCTGCCCCAATTCCAGGAGGGCAGGCTCACCTTTACAGAGGCTGCCAAAGGGTAAAGGAAGAGGGGCATGCCATGTGAACACAGGAGACAGGGAAAGCCCAAAGCCTTGCCACCGGACACCCAGATGTCCGGCCCACCCTGTGAGCCCAGATGGGAGGCAACCCCCACAGTGCCCATGAGAGCAGCGGGCCAGGCTGAACTTGGGGACCCCGACTCTCCGGAGCTCATGTTCAGCCTGGAAGGGCACGGGGGGCAGAGAGAGCGAGCTGCCAACTTGCCTGGTCCACCACAGAGGTGAAGGCTGCCTCGATAGCTGTCTGGCCCTTCTTTGTTGCCCTGACATGATGGTATGACCCATTCTGGGAAGAAGCAAGCACCTCAAAGAACTCAGGAGGCAGCACGGTTTCAATGCGAATATTCTGGAAGAGACGCAAGATGGGAGAGAGAGGTGTTTCTGGGATGAGTCAGGAAGTCAGAATGCAGGAAAGGAGCAACGTGACCCACAAAGAGCAGCCAGGTCAGGCCAGAGGCTTCCAAAACCAGTAGACGAGTTAGCCAAAGCCCTAGAACTGAACTCTGACCACTCTGGCCTTTGTCTCCTCCCTGCACGGCCTGATGACCCAGCGCTCCTGCTGTGATCACCCATGTGGTGCTGACGGGAACCCAAAGCCTACTGTTGTTGGCATTCTCAGACCCTGAGAGCCCAACGAGGAAAGCACCAAACACAAGAAAAGGTCATCAGTATCTGTGAGAGCTTCCCCCCTTCCCCAAAACGGTGATCAATTAGTCTCTGTTCAAAAACATAAGGAAAGCAATGACCTGCTATGCTGCCCAACGGGACCTTTACCTCCTTCTAAAACCTCAATGCCACTAGTAAGGTTCCAGATGTTCAAACTGATGATCCTGGAAACCTCTCATGAAGGGTCAAAACATGCTGAGACTCCCCTCCCTCTGCCAACGTCTGCCGTTCCTTTCTAGAACCAGAGAGCTAACTAGGATTGGCCTAGGTCATCTGGGACTTCCGGACAGAGTTCTAGGTATTCCTGGCCCTGCAGGGAAAGGCCAGGAAGTGTCCTGATCCTCCGTAGAGCAGGAAGAGATGGATTCTCAGCACCATGAAGCCTCAGGCTAATGACAAGGGAGCAGGAAGGCAGCTGGTGGGTGCTACTTCCCAATCACTGCCTCCTTGAGCAGTGCTGCCTGCCGCCCCCTCTCCCCACTCTGGCCCTGCAGGGGTAGGGCTGGGGGTGCAGACTCACAGGTTCACAAAGTCTTGAGAAGCCCCAGGGATGTCACAGTGCTGTCTCCCAGGGACCCTGCAGCACCACCAGGAATGAGTGACTTGGCTTGCCTGCATGGGGGCCCCACAGCTTTGGGGGCTGCTCCAGGAGATAAATTCCACACTGACACCCCACCAGAACCCAAGGCAGGCACTCACGTCTGACAGGTAGACCTTGTTGCCGGACTTGTCAAGCACCTCAATGGTGATTTCGTACAGGCGGCCCGTCTCCAGCACCCACCTGTCACCAGGGTGGACTGTGAACCCTACAAAACAGGCAAGCAACAAAGCCTGACCTCTTAGGCCACAGAGGCGTACTGCTGAGGAAGAGAATGGTAGCAGGCACACCTGTAGGACTCCACCGCTGCTCGCCTGCACTCCTCCAAGGAGGAAGAACAGCTGCTCATCACGGTGAGATCTACTGCCCACCATCAGCCCTGAGCCCGCAGAACCTGAGGTGAGCTCTCGGCTTCCCCAGCACCACCCTGAGCATATCCCACACTGACCGCTCAAGGGCTCATCCAGACTTGAACCTGTCCACTGAAGGTCTAGAGGTCTAGACTCTGAATCCACAGTAGTTGTATGAACTGAATCCACAATAGGTCTGCACTCAGAATGCACAGTGAGTCTCTGCTGAGTCCACAATGGGTCTACCCTCTGAGTCCACAGTGCAGAGTCTACACTCTAAGTCCACAGTGAATCTACATCTGAATCCACAGTGGGTCTACACTCTGAATCCACAATGAGTTTGTGCTCCAAATCCAGGGAGTCTGTGCTCCAAATCCAGTAAGTCTCTATCTGAATCCACAGTGAATCTACATCTGAATCCAGTGAGTCTACCCTCTGAATCCACAGTAGGTCTACACGCTGAATCTATAGTCACTAATGCTCTGAGTCCACAGTAGGTCTTGGCACTGAGCATTCTACCCGTGTGTGCGGCCCTCCCTCCTAAGCCTCTGGCTGTGCTCCCACACAATGCCGCACCAGGTGCTCACTGAGCCCCGTGAGGCCATGTGCTTTCTCACCACAGCCTTGCCAAGCTGTTACCACTGCCAGGCTGACCTACCTACAAAGGAGCAGCTTCAGTGAAACACCTGCCTCAAATATCATCTCCCAGAAGCCTTTCTTCTGCACTCACCTTTACCACTGTCCCATCACCATCTGTTTACCCTGCTCTCTCCTGGCAAAACCAAGCACAAGGACCTAAGCTTCCTTCCTCCAGAATCCCAGGGCCCAGCCTAGGCCAGACAGAAGAAAAGGTAGCAAGAAAGTCTTTCTGAATAAATGAAGCTCCTAAGACCCACAGGGCTACCCTGCCTGGTGTTGCTACATTGTCAACTCAGGTCTGCCCCAAACCGCAAGCTCACCTGGCAGCTAACAAGAGGACTTAAGGGACTTTGCTGCATGTCGGTCAAATATTCTCTTGCCCGAACCAATTCAGTACGCTCAACAGGTGAGTCAACTCATAAGGAAACTCAAAGGGAGCATGGCCTCTATGACCTGGGGCGACACGTATGTCCTGGGTATCTCCCAAGCAGCATCAGTTCCAGCAGCTCTTGAGCCCTGGCTCTGTCCACACGGGTCCTCCATGACTGCAGACTCTTCCCCTCCTCTCTTGGTCAACGGCCTCCCCTTCCTCTCCACTGAGACTTCGATGAGTGTCTCATTCTCCCCCTCTGGAGCTGTCCCCCCACCCTGACCCTGGCCTGCCCTCTGCTTTTTCTGCATATCAAGCGGGAAGGACTGGGGAGCAGCCCTGGTGAGAACTGGCCAAGCAGGCCAGTGTGAAGCATTTTCTGGGGAGCTGTTGCCTCTATTCATTTTGTTTAACTCCTGTAAATCGTTTTAACAGTCTTAAGATAGTTTTAACTCCTATAAATAACATCCAGGAGGACACATGATGACCAAACTCACCCAGGTATCCAGGTTCAACCACGTAGATGGTGCTGTTGGGTAACCTGGAAGCACCCTGCATGCGGATACCTGAATTCTCACTTAAGGAAAAAAACAGAAGGAAAACAGACCAGCTGGCAGCATTCAGCTTGGTTTGGATGGCTTGATTACCATCAAGACATCACAGGTGTAGGACAGAGGATGAAAACCCCCTTGCCTGAGGCCAAGTACAATGAAGCCGAATTCCAGAATCAGAGGCCACGCCACTCTTCCTACACTAGCAGAGGAGGATCTCTCCAAGGGACACTGGAAATCGCACGAATAAGTCTAGGACAGACAACCCACAGGGAAAAGAGCCTTGGCCAGGCCCCTCGGATAAGGATGGTCATGCCAGAGAAGGTTCTGGAGGCGAGGAGTGAGGAGAGAGGAGTGAAGCTCTGCTCCTGCCACCACTTCCCATCCTGGAGCCTCTCCACAGAGGTAAGTGATTCCATACAACCATGTTGCTATTTTGGTTCTTTCTGATTTTCAGACCTTGAGGAAAAACAGGGTTATTTTTAGCCTCGCCAAGCTTTCGGGAAGAAAAAATGACTTCCAAACAGCAGATCTCCTGCACAGGACACCCATATGTACTTGCAGATCGGCCGGGGGCAAAGGATACTCCTGTGGCTGAGAACCAGGCTGCTCTGTCCCAGCTGCACTGCGGTGACCATCGACGTGTCCTGGTCCAACACAGCCACGGGCCGGCCCGCATCTCCCTCAGGGCCCATGATGCTGTTCTGAAGCTGGAGCTCATACTGTTCAGAAGGCATTGACAGCTCTAGCCGCCCAGAACCAAAAAGGCACAAAGTTGGGGAGACAAGAGCAAAGAGAAGAAACATTAGAAACCAGTATGCCTGTCCCACTCCAAATCCCTGGATCCAGCTATGAGTACTACTGCTTGATTTTTCTTTTCTTTCTTTTTTTTTTTTTTTTTGCTAAGTTTCAACACTTTTTAAAAATTCCAGTATAGTTAACATACAGTGTTACAATTTTCTCAACACTTTAAAATTTAACATATTCTCCATGCCTGTGGACAAAACTGACACTCTCCATGAATTTTCAGAAGCAATCAGTTTTTTTAGTGATTGCCATAAACTACTTTTTTTTTTTTTTAAATTAAGCACAGCCTCTGACGCCAATTGCAGACTACCTGCAGAATACAGGAGTTCAGTGAATTCTGCTGCTGCACTAAGGGGCCCAGGATGGGGCTCACTGGAGCCATAAGGCCTCTGGGGGATTCCAAAAGAGCGCCAATCCATGGCTTCCCAACTGGGTTTGGGGAGCTCAGTCTAGGATTTGCAAAGAATTTTCTCTGTTGCTATCCTCACCATCCATCAATGTTTCTCTGCTGTGTCATGTTGAAGTCACTCAGTCTGGGCCAGCATGAAAAACGATTTCCCCAGGAAATAATGGGTCCTACAAAACCCACCACTTCTGCGTCAATCTTCTACACCCTAGGGGTAATGATCACAGATGCTTTTGATATAAATGGCTATCGCTGACCACAAAATTAAGACGTGGCAAGACTGTGACTGGTGTTTTATGTGCACATCACCCTCATTTTATCCTACAACCACCTTGAAACGGGTACTGCTGATGCCCATGCCTTCAAGATGGTGGTGCTGTGGAAACTGGGACAAGAAGTCCGCTGGAGGTCTTATAGTGGGGAGTGGCAGAGCTGGGATTCAAGCCAAAGAGAGCAGGAGTACTTGTTGTTTATTATTTTTTTCTTTTAAAGGTTTTATTTATTTATTCATGAGAGACACACAGAGAGAGGCAGAGACCCAGGCAGAGGGAGAAGCAGGCTCCCTGCAGGGAGCCCAATGTAGGACTCGATCCCAGGACCCCAGGATCACATCCTGGACCAAAAGCAGATGCTCAACCACTGAGCCACCCAGGTGTCCCTCTTTATTATTTTTTAATTTAAATTCAACAAACCAACATACAATGCATCATTAGTTTCAGATGCACTGTTACATGACCCCTCCTGGTCTGTCAAATTTCCTACCAAGCCACCTGCTCACAGAGCCTGCAGGTGTGGTGGCCATGTCCCTGCACCCCAGCAAGAGAAAGAAGAGAGAACACCAAGAGGCACAGACAGCACCCCTCCTCACCATTCCTCTCTGGTCCCAGCTCAGGACCTGCCACAGGAGGCATCCAGCACAAGGGCCAGGAGGAATTTCAGAATTCCCAAGAATTCTGATGGGAACTCAAAAATGGAGGCAACCGGTCCACTTCCTGTGTTAGGGTGTCTTTTGTGTGTTGTAGTAAGTCCCCAAAAATTTGCCCTGGAGCAGCAGGTTCTCAAAGTGTGGGCCCTGGACCATCAGCGACACTTGCCAACTACAAATGACTGGGCCCACCCCAGAGCTGCTGAACCTAACTCTGGGCCCAGTGCTCTGGGTTTGAACAGGCCCTCCGGGTGATTCCAGTGCACGCTGGAACTGAGAATCCCTAGTGTATACACAGACCATCTCCTTGTCCTCTACATGGTGGAAGCCCAGCCGAGCTGGGCTGTGTTCATAATACGGCAGCAGTGCATGCAAGATCCATGCCATAATAAAATAATGCCATTGCTCAATAAAGTAGTACTTTACACTGCTTCATGAAATACTAGCTTCCTCCCTTATTTAAAGTTCTCCAAATGAATAGGCCATTTTGGGAAATGAATATACGATTCTCAAAAGATCTTGCACAAGATAATTACAAAATCCTAAGACAATGAAAATAAGGGGGGGGGTGCGTTGGACTCCTGAAATACCTCTTATAATGCAGAACTCACTACTTGTAAGAGGAACTGAATACCGAAGGCTTTGCAGATGCTAAGGGTCACTGTCTATCTGTAAAAATAGGAAGGCTGTTCTTGGGGCACCAGAACAGCCCATCTGCCATCTGCAGAGGGTAAAGGGCCATTCCCAAGGCTGCCCTTCCGTAAGCCAGGAGGCCCACATGCCTCCAGGAGACAGGCTCTGTGACCCTCCCGACCCTGGCTGACCCTTCAGATGTGCTTCTAATGCCCCTACCCCACTCCAGGTAGGCTCCAGGGATGACCATGGAGCTCCTGGAGAGGTGGATCTGAGTACAGGAGGATGAGGAGCTCACTCCCCAGCCTCTGGCTCTAGCCCCTGCTCACACAGCCCATGTGAGCTAGTTCTGGGCAGCCATGGCTCAAGGGTGTGCTGGGTTCCAAGACCCTTTGATACCTGGGTCACCGACACCAGCCTATACAGGTGTTTCTCCCTGCCCCTGTGCATTTTCTCTCTGCCACTTCCACCGTTCCACTTCTCAAGTTCTTTCAGACACCAATTCCCTCAATCAGCATGGCCTTCCCACACTTTGTACTGCCTGATAATTTGGTTCCTATGCCAGCTATATCTGCAAACAGTACAAACACGAACGGGATTGAGGACTGAGGGGGGAGATCTGTGCCCTGCCCCTACCCTGGAAACGCTGCCCTGCATTAAGAGCACACATACCCCTGTTATAAGTTCCAAGGGCCCCTCTCTCCCTCACCTGCTCCCAACTGTAAGAAGTTTGCAGAGTAATCACCAGATTGGCTACTGGGCTGTGTGCTCTAGGAACCCAGGCAGCATATGCAGCACCCAGCAGACTATGGCACCAAGTAGGTGCTCAATAAATGGGCTTGGAAGAAAGCAAGCCACCTGGGGCACGTAGGTGGCTCAGTGGCTGAGCATCTGCCTTTGGCTCAGGGCGTGATCCCAGGGTCCCAAGGATCTAGTCCTGCATCAGACTCACTGAGGGGAGCCTGCTTCTCCCTCTGCCTATGTCTCTGCCTCTCTCTGTCTCTCACGAATAAACAAAATCTTAAAAAAAAGAGAAAGAAAGAGAAAAAGAAAGAAAGAAAAGCCACCCCATAAAGGGAGGCAGCCAGAAGGGAAATAAAGATATGGAAGAAAAGAAGAAAATCACACATTTAAGGAAAGAAAACTTAAAAAAGAAAAAAAGAAAGAGAATAAATTTGGGGTTACAATGATCTGCATGTTAAGAAGTCCAGGTGGCTGGCCTCTCACCTAGAATTCTCTGAGCCAAAGAGGGATGCCATGTGAGACACAGCTGAAATTCACATCCCTGTAAGGCCATCACTCCTGACTTCCCTGCTTAGTCACCTTGTTTAAAACAACAGTGATGTGAATTATATCTCAATTAAAAGAAAACGAGCCCAATCCATCTAAAACAAATGGACAGAGTTTCCATCTGTATGACTTGTCCATGGTAGACCTTTGCTGTGTATTCATTTTTGAACAAACTTTCTATCTCATTTCCCTACTGATAAAAGGGAGGCAACATTCCTATTTCTGGCCCTGGGGCATCTTTTGTATATTCTACTCTTTGACTTCTATGAAGGGTCAGTGATTCAACCCAAAGTTTTCTGGGTCCCTTAAGATGTGTCATTCCTCTGGACTATGACACCTGAACTAACTCAGGGTGAGCTCTCAAGACCTCTCCGTTAAATCACCCACCCTTACCATGGTGACTGCCTTCCCTGGTTGGGGCACAGCTCTCAGATCTCTGACCAAGAGGCTCTGCCCTGCTTCCTACCCAGAAGGGGCCCATTCTCAGCTTCCATGGCCTGAGGGGCAGAGTCCTCTGCCACACTGTAACTTCTGACCAGATCCACTGCTCTCAGGTGACACGGTGTCCTTCAGGATCCCATCTATACAACAAAACCCAAGTTTCTTGGATACTGAAGCCTGTATGTGCTTCTTAAACAACACCCTGCATCACAGACAGAGTGACCCTCCAACCTGGGGGCGGCACCTGCCTGAACACATGTCAAAGCCCTTGGACAGGTGATACTCCTGTACCTGAGACCCTTGACATCTTGTGTTCTGGTCACAAAACATTAATATACATAGTAGAATACTATTCATCCTTAAAAAGGAAGGAAATTCTGACACATACTACAACAAGGATGAGCCTTGAGGGCATTATGGGTAAGTGAAATCAGCCAGTCACAGAATGATAAATATGGTGGATTCCTCTTCTTTGAGATCCCTACAGAAGTCAAATCCATAGAGACAGAAGGTAGAATGGTAGCTGCCAGGGGCTGGGGGAGGGGGCTGGGGAGCAAGTGATCCATGGAAACAGTTTCAATTCTGGGAAGATGACAAAGTTCCAGATAGCCAAGGTGGCGATGATTGCACCACAATGTGAGTACACTTGATGCCACTGAACTATGCACTTAAAAATGGTTAAAATGGCAAAATTTATTATGTATATTTTACCATAAAAAGGGGAGCCTCTGCCATGATTACCATGCTGAGTTCATGACCCACCTGTAATCTTCCCTTGCCTGATCTTCTGCACCTTGTAGCGAATGGAGGTCCCCATCATCAGGTAAACGTCGTAAGCTGGGTTCAGAAGGATGTTCTCCAAAATCAGCAGCCTGACCTCCGCAGGGCGCACATGCTTGGAAGAAAGAGGAGGATAGAAAAAGTGAGGGGGAGTATTGTGCTTGGGTGGTGCAGTCAGTTAAGCATCTGACTCTTGATCTCAGCTCAGGTCTTGAAAAACAGTGAGGTGGGGTTGGGGAACAGCGAGTAGTGTGGTCAAGAAAAAGAATCTAGAACTTCTCAGGATTGTTATGTGGGGACAGAGACGTTAGGGGTGAAAAAACAAGGCAATGCTCATAGCCCCATACCTTCAGACCCCCAAAGCCCCAGGGGAATCCTGTGCATATACTAGGCACATGTTTAGTGTCTACTGCCAAACCCTATGGAGCACATCACTTTACATTATGCACATTACAGCTCAACATACAATCATAATAGTTAAACCACTGGAAAAGTGAGGAGTGGTATCCATGGATACTATGGCCACCAGGGGCTCGGGGGTGCCGCCCACAAAAGCCCAAAGGCCAGGGCAAACCTGAGAAGGAGAGAGATGTATGTCCTTGATGAGTGCTCAGCACCCCCCTGGCGCCCCCCAATGTCGTGACCTCCTCATCAAGAAAAGACATGGGAGACTTGAAATGGGAGAAAGACCACCAGTCTGGAGTCCAGCGCACCCCTCGGGTTACCAGAGTCTACCTGGGCCCCCACCTGGCAACTCTTCAAATTGGAGAAAACTTGGCAAAGGAAATGATTCTCATCCACAGAAATGCAAATACATCATCTCGGGTGGAGGTGCAGTCAATTGTTGTCCTGTGGATATTGACCAGTTCTGTTTCAAGAATTCCTAAATTCTTGGGGTTCTCCTCTGCTGCAGCTGTAATGTCTTAAAGGTTTCCTCACTTACTAGTAAGTTAAATATGTCTTTGACTCATCCAAAGAGAAAAAAGCAGCCCTGGGGCCCAGCTCTGTGGCCCAGCATGGCAGACAGGGAAGCACACAGGTAACAGGCAGGACAGAGGTGGACGGGCTGGGCTCGGGGGCCCAGAATAAAAAGAGGCAAATGATCTCCAAACACTAACTGCAGGGTGCTACAGGACTAACCCCTGTAATATGGCATGTCCCGCGCTTCTAAAAGCCTCCAGGACCCCCGGCCTACTAGCTAAACCACTAAAGAGTGAATCAGGAGGAGTTCTCTCATCTGTCACTTTAGAAATTCAATGGGCAGATGGAGTGCTGCACTGTTCCTGCATGAGCTCTAGGAATCAGGCAAACAAAAGGAAGATCTCACGGTTGTAGTTCAAAGGAGGCAGGGGCAGGGCAGACGTGTGCCCACAACATGCAGGTGCTAGTGAGGCCAGGGTGATTTGGGGTACAGCGAGGTAAGGAGCTTGAGCCCTGTACAGCTAGGACCACCAGTCTCAGGGCTCGAAATGGGGCTCAGAGACAGTGTGGAGGACACCAGGAAATCCCCAGTGTTTTCAGAGCCCCAAATGCTTGGATGCATCCCTACACTGGGACAGGAGAGTATTTGCTGAAAATCAGCTAGTTAATAAACATCCCATTGCTCCTAGACCTCCCTCAAAAGTGACAATGCATCAACTCCTTTGTGACTCTGGAGGTGGTGTACTCTGGCCTCCAGCTACCTCTCTCAAAAGCTGTGGTCCCCACACACCAAACCCAATGAACAGAAATACGGAATCACACCTTGAAGTTCCCATTTCATGAAACTTTCACAGTGAAACTTTCACAGTAGAACAACTAATTTCCACTCCTAAATGTGTGCACAGGCATGAGTGGGAACAGGCAGCCTGGTGCCACCCCCAGGAAGCCCAGCACTTCCCGGGCCCAAGGGTCCCACCTTGTAGACGGCCTCCTGGATGCGTGCCTTGAGCTTGGAGCTCCCAGTCTTCATCCCAGACACCAGGATGGTGTCCCCCTGCTTGGCCACCTTCTCCATCTCTGAGATGTAGGAAGGAGGGATGTATGTAGACTCCAAGAACGTGAGAATTCTGGAAAAGGAAAGTGTCATCAGACCTGATTGGGGAAGCAAAGACCCTAACAGATTCACTGTCTACTGGCACCTCCTAGTAGGGGCCAGACACTGAAATAAGTGGTGGTGCCCTACCCAGTGCTGCTTAGAAATGTGTCCCTGAAACTTCTTCCTACATCAGAATTGCCAACCTCTTCATGAAAAATGCAGATTCTTGGCCTCTGGCCCAGGCCTTAGTCTGCATGAGACTGGCACTGTGCCTTTTCTCAAAATCTGCATGTGATTATGGTAAACACTGAAATATTAGGACCACCTGTTTAGTCAAAATGCTTCACTCTCATAGATGTGACAGGTGAGGCCCAGGGAAACTAAGAAGCAGGCCCAAGACCATGGACCCAGCTGGGGTGGTGCCAGCAATGCCCACCAGGCTCCTGGGGCTCCCTGCTACATTCTACCCACACCTCTGGGCCAGTTCCTGCCACTGTGAAATGATTCTCAATGACCCTCCCTCTGAAGTGTCAGGAAGAGGGGATCACACCCATCTTCTCGCCCCTGGGGTTAGGCCATGGGGAGAAGCCTCAGGTGGAAGAGAAGTCAGGATGCGGTGACACCGGGGAGGGTCGGCAGGAAGCAGGGCTGGCTTGAGGGACCCTTTCCATAGTCTCTTTTGCAGCCTATGATTTATAAGTTAGCCCGCCTCTCCACTTGAACAAGAGCAGTCCACTGGACACGCTTTCATTCTCCCCAAGACCTGCCGGGTGCTGTACTATGCTGTGATTTATTTCCTTGCCCGGTTTTACTAGGTGTCGTCACATCCTGAATTTAATGAAAATCCAGGACACTCTGGTTGCAACATGCCTTAGCGCCTTAGATTTTTGGTTAACATTCAGCTCATGTACAGAGTGCCTGGAAGCTCAGGGGGCTGTTGTGACAGGAAACACACCTGGCAGCACAGAATGGGGCAGGGAACCAGCATTCTCTGAATATCTAGTGTGCGTCAGGCCCAGAGATGGGCTCTGAATACCGGTCACCATGCTAACCCACACAGCTGCCCTCAAAGGTAGGCACAATAATCCCCTCCCTCTGATAGAGGAGGAAGCTGATGCCCCGATGGGCTGCGTTCTTGACTAAAGCCAACAGGCAGGAAGCAACCCAGCCAGGATGGGAATCCAAGTCTCTGACTGCGCAGTCCATGTTCCTGGCTTTATGAGATGCCAGAAATTCTAGAGCTCATTCGGCAGACAAAGGTTGAGGGTCCCATCCCCCCAAAGACCTCTGACCCAAAAGGGCAACCCAGCTCGCAGTGTCAGGGCATGAGAATGTCTGCCATGAGAATAGTCATGAGCTGAGCTGAGATGTTCCCCAAAGTCCCGAGCTGGACTTTTAAAGGTGTAGATAAAAGACCAGACTCTTAATTCCCCACAAAATACTTGCTAATTAGAAAGTGGTAAGACAGTGACTTCACAGTGGGGACACCCCAGCAGACACCACCTAATGCAAGTGATGACAGTGAAGATCATCAGAGATAGACCCACAAAATCATGATAAGATGCAATCAGGAGAACACAGAAGCTCAACTCTGTGATATTCCTGCCAAAAATGCAAAGCTCTGAGGCTAATCAGGAGGGAGTATTGGATAATCCCAAAATGAGGGACATTCTACAAAATAACTGGACTATATAATCTTCATAAGTATCAAGGTCCCAAAAAAAAGAAAGACAAAAAACTGTCCCAGGCTGATAGAGATTAAGGGACAGGACAACATAAGGAAAGTGACTCTGGCTGGATTTTTTGCTTCATATGAAGGATAAAATTCGGGTAGGTTGGCAAGGCCTGAATGAATGCTAATGACAGTAGGCATCAGTGTTAATCTTCTAATTTTGATGACATGGTGGCTATGCTGGAAAATGTTGTTACTGATAGTAAATGTACACTAATATAATTAGGGACATCAGGTCGGCTCTCGATGGTTCAGGGAGGGACACCACTTTTTGTACTACACTTGCAACTTTTCTGTAGGCTGAAAATAGCTGTGAATTTTTTTTTTTCAAAATTAACTCTTCCTCTGGAGCTACAGAGTATAATCCTGTATGAAATAAGTCCATCAGAGAAAGACAAATACCACATGATTTCACTCACATGTGGGATTTAAGAAACAAAATAAACAAGCAAAGGAAAAAGAAAAGAGAGAGACAGAGACAAACCAAGAAAGAGGGGATCCCTGGGTGGCGCAGCAGTTTGGCGCCTGCCTTTGGCCCAGGGTGCGATCCTGGAGACCCGGGATCGAATCCCACATCGGGCTCCTGGTGCATGGAGCCTGCTTCTCCCTCTGCCTGTGTCTCTGCGCCTCTCTCTCTCTCTCTCTGACTATCATAAATGAATAAAAAAATTAAAAAAAAAAAGAAGAGACTCTTAACTATAGAGAACTTGTGGGTACTAGACGGAAGATGGTGGGGGGGAGACGGGGGAAATAGGTAATGAAGATGAACAAGGGTCCTTGTTGTGATGAGCACCAGGTGATGTACATACCTGTTGAATCACCACACTGTACACTTGAAACTAATATAATAGTTTCAAGTTTTATAATATAATAGTGTATGTTAATTATACTGAAATTAAAATAAAATTTTATAAAGACTGTAAGGGAATACTAAAAAAATTGGCTTCCTTTAGAAGAGACTTTATTCTTTTTTTTTAAGATTTAAATAAATAAATTTAAATAAAGATTATTTATTTATTCATGAGAAACAGGGAGAGAGAGGAAGAGACACAGGCAGAGGGAGAAGCAGGCTCCCTGTGGGGAAGCCTGATGTGGGACTCAATCCTAGGACCCCGGAATCACCTGAGCCAAAGGCAGATGCTCAACCACTGAGCCATCTAAGTGACCCACCTTAGAAGAGACTTTCTTTTTTATTTATTTATTTTTTTAAAGATTTTATTTATTTGTTCATGATAGACATAGAGTGAGAGAGAGAGAGGCAGAGACACAGGCGGAAGGAGAAGCAGGCTCCATGCCAGGAGCCTGACGTGGGACTCGATCCCGGGACTCCAGGATCACGCCCTGGGCCAAAAGGCAGGTGCTGAACCGCAGAGCCACCCAGGGATCCCCAAGAGACTTTAAAATTTTATTAATAAGGCATGAGGCAATGCAGCATACAATATGCAATAGCAGGGGATACAAGCCCAGACCTTGGGTCTGCACAGCACTGGCCAACAGGACTTTCTGGTCCACATTTGCTCTGGCCAATGTGCAGTAATCACTAGCCACATAGCTAACAAACACTTGAAACATAGTACATCTGAGGACATGGATTTTTCATTTTATCTCATTTAAATTTAAATAGTCAAGGTTGGGTTAGTGATTATCATATTGGATAGTGAATATTTATGTAGATCTGAGTCCAAATTCTAGCTTCACCACTTACCCACCTGACAAATGGCTTAAACTTTAATTTCTATGTCTGAAAGATGGCAACAATGGGGGTATGTGAGTCCATACAGCTGTTGGAGGGATTGAGTGAGTCAAGATGCCTACCGAGCCCATCTTGTAAGGAGTCCACCTGCATCCTCCAGTGCTGGGGAACATAGCCTCCTGCTCCTGGGAAGGGCTGTCACTGCTGGAATGTCTTCCTAGCCACAACCTATCTCCCCTCTCACTTACCCCAGGGGAGGGCTGCCCTCTGAGGCCATATGCAACCCTTTCCTGCACCCCGTGCAGCTTCCGTTATCTGGGGCAAGTTTTCTCTTTCAGAGCCAGACATGCCAGCCTCCTGGACAACTTCCCACGGCCCACCAGTGGGCTGCAGAAGCGGCAAGGCTGCCACACAGCCATGTGAGCCACAGTACTCTTCCTTCATCGGTCATGGGGAATGCTGGCCAGCATCCTAGGAACTGCCCCGGGCTCCTTTGCTGAGGTTGATGATGATGATAAAAGACCCCAGCCTACAAGGAGCCAACGGACAGACCCCTTCCTGCTTTCCTGCAAAGGTGAGGTGCCTCTTACCGCAGGGCATTGTGGGAGTCTGAGAACCCATTGGCCTCCGTGTCCTTCACAATTGTCCAGTCAAAGACCAGCCCAGCCAGGGTGCTGAATGTGTTCCCTGTAAGAGCAGATGGTGGGGGGGCAGAAATGCAGCAGAGTTAACTGGGGTCCAGGAGAAGGGGAAAACACAGTCAGTACCACCCCTCTGCAAAGCAGGTGTCATGCCTCCATTTCAGGAAAGAAGAACTGAGGCCTACAGGGTCAGGGTCACATGACCATGAAGGACTCACATGGGATGTGAACCCAAGTCCCAGGTGAGCACTCGTGTTCTTCCCACTGCACCTCCAGCCTTTGACTGCTCATGACAGGCCCAGGGTAGCATGTGACACCACCACCCCTCACATCTACAAGTACTTTACAGTCTAGGCGAGACTGGAGTCATTTATTCCTCCTTACTCTCCCTCTGCAGAGAAAGAAGCTGGGGATGAAGAGCAGCATCTTGTCTCTTTGCCTGGATGCCGAGATTCCCAGGGTCCCAGTGTAGAGGAGATGGCAAGCCACCCAAGCTGGCCTTAACTCTGAAGTTCAGCTTGCTGTCCGTGAGCCTTCTGACCAGATGTCAGGACAAGCAGAGCCTAACCGATGACTGGGCGATGATTTTGGAGATAGGACTCAGAGGGGGTCCTAACACTCTGCAAAGACCTTCTTAGTGTAAGTACAAGGTCTGGTTCCGTGTAGATGCCCTACAACAGGGTGGGAGATAGAAACCAGTAGGTCTAAAACCAGATCTCTGAGGAGCCGTGGCTTTGCTTTTACCTACACAACGCTGCTCTTACATTTTTGGGTTATTTCCCATCGTTTCAAATTAAGAAATGCAATATATATATATCCAGCTTCCAAGTTGTCATGAAAAGTCTACTGATCCAGCCTCCTGGGCCCCAGTCCCTCTGCTTAGCCTTCTTAAAAGGATCATGGTCTCAGATTTGCCACATTCCCCACCATGCTCTGTTGTCCCCCTCCCCATAGTCTTCATCTATATTCCCTGTCTGCCCAGCAACCCAAATAAGAACATCTGAAATCTAGAAAAGCTCTTTCTACAGTGCAAAGGGCAAGGCATTTAGAGTCTGACAGGCCCCAGGTCCCACCCCATCCCACCTGTGAGATCTCAGAAGCCAAGCACAGCAGGGCGTGGCAAAAGCTCCAGAAAACTGGGCTGTCCTGGCCATTACTTTTAGGGCAACATAGAGTTACTCTGTGACCCAGTAATTCTCCTGGGAATGCACCCAAGAGAAACGAAAAGCTTTGTCTTCACAAAGACTTGCACATGAATATTCAAAGCAGCATTATTCACAACAGTCAAAAGGTAGAAACAACCTAAATGTCCATCAACAAATGAATGGATAAACAAATGTGCTCTATCCATACAATGGGATATTATTCAGCCATAAAAAGGAAGGAAATACTCAGTACAATATGAATGAACCTTGAAAACATTATTCTAAGTGAAAGAAACCAGACTCAAAAGACCATACGTTGTATGATTCTATTTATATAAAATGTCCACAATAGACAAATCTATATACACTAAAAGCAGCAGCTGCCAGGGGCTGGAGAGAGGAAAGAATGGGAACTAACTGCTCAAGGGTACTGAGTTTCTTTCCTGCAGTGATGAAAATGTTCTAAAAATTACCTAGTGGTGATGGTTGTACAACTTTGTGAATATATCAAAAACCACTGAACTGTACACTTTAAGTGGATGAATTTCATGGTATATGAATCTCAAAAATAAACAAATCTTTTTTTAAAAGTAACATAAGACAGGAAATAAAACAGAGCAGTCAAGAGCAGGGCTTGGCAAACCACATCACACTGCCAGTTTCTGTAAATTAATTTTTATTAGAACACAGTCACTATGGATCCTCTATGATTGCTTTGGAGCAACAGCGGGAGACCAGAGACAGTGTGGCCATATGCTATATGGCCCTTCACAGGAAAAGTCTGCAGAGCACTAGCCAAGAGAGTGGACTTAGGGGCCAGGTTGGAGCTTAGACTCTGGTTCTGCTACACACTAACTACATGTCTTCTCCCTGCACACACGTGTGTTCATACTCTGTGCCTCGGATTCATCATCTGGATATGAAATGAGGTTAGAACATGCAAAGTGCTCAGAGGAGTGCCTGGCCTCAGCGTGGCCTCAAGCTTGGTCATTTGTTCCTAAGATCATTGAGTAATTCCCACAGAACCCTGCTCCTATCATCTCACTGCACAAACCCTTTCCCCGGTTCCCTCTGTTTTCAGACCAGTGCAAACCCCCATGTCTGATATGCAAGATCCTTTACATCCTGCATCCCCCACCATGGCACCTGCTTCAAGTTTAGTCTCCTCCAGAATAAAATGGCCTTCTGAGGTGGTCAAACACCATACTCCTCATGACTTGGTCAAACAGCATGTCCCTAAGAAGCTGTCTTGACCTCTGTCCCCCACACCCAACTGCCAACCCTCCCTGAGGTTGCCTCACATCGGAATTGATGACAAGCAGCACTTACTGAGATGCATGTGGGCCCCCCATGGCCTGAGCTACTGAGACAGAAGCCAGCCCTCCCTTCCCAGCACCTGACAGGATGCCCAGCAGGTAGAACTGCTCAGGTGCCACCTGGCTCGCTGAGACCTACGGGCTGCCCAGCTCTAAGCTCTTTACACACTTCTCACCAAATCCTTACAACCCCCCGCCCCCGATAAGCACCACTATCTCAATTTCATAGACCAGAAAATAGTTCAGAAAAGTGAGGCAGCTTATCTGATAAATGTATAGATAGGAAGGAGAGACCTGAAAGATGCTCTAGAACAGGGATTTTTTGTCCCCAGGGGACATCTGGCAATGGCTGGAGATACTTTTGGTCCTCAAAACTTGGGGAGTTCTACTACCTTTCGTGGTAAAGGCCAGGGAGGTTGCTGAACATCCTATAACATCCTAGACAGACCCTACCACAAATAATTATCCAGCCCCAAGTGATACTAGCAAGCTGGGAAATTCTGATCTAGAGAACTTTATTTTTAAGCAGAGGGAGCTGGAGAGGTCAGGGAAGATTTCAAAGACAAGGTAAGGCAAGGACTGGGCTTAAGTGTTGTGAGATCCCTCACTTGAACGGTGTCTATTGCCCGACTTTCTCCCATAGGAATCTTAGCCTATAAATTTCCCTTTGCTCAGCTTCCCAAGAGGTTAGGCTGCAACCAAGACAGCCCAAGAACAGATCTTATAAGAACCCCAGAACAATCCAATATTGGATCCAGTGAAGTAAAGTGAAAGGCGGTGCAAGGGACAGCACACAGACGTGTCCCAGCGTGCACACACATTCGCATGTGTGCCCTGCAGTCTGGACCAGGGAGCCAACCCCAGCCCTCAAAGCCAGGCAAGGAGAAGGCTCCCACTGTTTCCAGAGTGGTGATTCAGTGAGCCTCTCCCAGCCTCTCATTGCTGCCAAGACATTGGATGTCCGCTTCCCAAAGGTATGCCTTTACCCAGCACAATCCCGTGCACAGGCATAGAATCTGCCTCCAGGGATGCCGAATCTCTCATCTCACAGGCCCTGCTGCAGAGGCCAAGGGGTGCCACCTCCCAAGGCCTGGGGGCTACTCAGAGTGGTCCTGACCTCTTCAGCGTCTCCCCAGCACTAACCCTGCCATCCTGGCTGGAACAGCCCTCTACGGGGGAACAGCAGGGCCAGACGTGGAGGGACAGAGAAGCAGACTGTCAGGGGCACGTCCTCACCTTCAGAGTCCAGAGCCTGGATCTTCAGCTCCAGGGGAGAGTCCTCCAGGTAGAGTTCACGGGTAGTGGAGACAATCTGAATGCCGTGGATGAGGTCGACGATGGCATCACAGCGCAGGACCTGGCCCGTGGCTGGAGGGACGGGAATAGAGGGGTTGGCACAGAAGGCGGCAGGTACCTCCTCCAGGGTCTCATAGCTCAGGTACTCTTGCACTTTGGCAAAGATGAGAGCAACCAACAAAACCACGACCATGAAATGGAGCCGGTGATCCTCAGAAGCCAAGCTGCTGACCAGCACGCAGGCCTTCTCAAAGTCAGCGCGGACCTGTACGGAGTAAGGGCTCGGAGGCATTTTCATCACCCCTCTTGCACTTTTGCAAGGTGAGCACCAGAATTTTAGGCTGTGTATGAGAAAACTCCTCAGAGAAAATCTGGTTTTGATGGGGTGTGACCATTAAGTTAAATGGCCAGGATACATTGTGATGAGTTAGAATCCAGAAAGATAACGCTGTTCTGAATGCTTGTCCCTACACTAAAATTAGGAACTGCACCCAGAGTTTGTTTGCTTTGCACTGGTGTTTTCACACAAGACTATCAACTGTACTATAGAATAAAAGAGTTGTGTGAGCAAGCACAGAGTTTTTTACTTGCTCCATAAATAAGATACATAAATGGCATTCATTACCTGGAAAATTCTCCAGTTAAAAATAATGGCATGTGACACAAAATCATTCTGACCATTCTCCAGGCACCATATGAAAACCTGTGTACTGTTAATGGTACCTTGTTTGAAAGCACTACATCAAAAGCCATAAAATATATTCATATGTAAAACTGGGAATCCATCCTTGGCAGAAAATAGCTTCAAAGAATCTAAAATTGTTCTCTGTACAAACATATTTACTTTTCTATATATGCTGGAACAAACATCTGAGAACAATCTAAAGTCCAATAGAAGGGGATCCTTACAGGACAACCCCCCTATGAGGAATATTATTCAGCCATTAAAAATGACTCTAATAAAAATAAGAACTTTTCATATCATGTTAAGTGAAAGAAAACATGACAGGAAATGACATTAATTGTCTTCTAAGCATTTTACAACCATAGGATATTAAGTTAAATATGGGGTAGTAAAAGAATTGCTACAACTTTCTTCACTTTGACTCAATACCCACAGAGGAGTTATCTGGGTAACAAATAATTATTTATAAATTAAAGTCAGGGGATGCCTGGGTGGCTCAGTGGTTGAGCATCTGCCTTTGGCTCAGGCCGTGATCCCGGGGTCCCAGGATTGAGTCCCACATCAGGGTCCCCACAGGGAGCCTGCTTCTCCCTCTGCCTATGTCTCTGCCTCTCTCTGTGTGTCTCTCATGAAGAAATGAATACAATCTTTAAAATAAAAAAAAAAAAAAGAAATGAAAGCCAGCTTCTACGAGAGGGAAAACAGGACACAGTGCTGTTGGGAGGGACTAGAGCTGGTGCTGCTTGCTTGGCCTCCCCCCCTGCCTGAGCATCCTTTGCCCCAACAAGAGAAAGAGAAAGCACTGCCAAGGGTGGGCTACGTGGCCAAGGTCTCCGTGGGGTGATTCCCATCTCTTGTCCCTGCCAGGGGTTCCCACAGGGCACTCAAAGCTCTTACTGATGTCCTCGGCGAAGATGATGCTGGTCAGGCGGGCAGGCTGAGACAGGCGTGCCTGCACCACTGCCTTTTGGGAGCACTGCGCTTCATCCGCTCCCAGTGGCTCTATACTGGCCACCTCTGGCCGGGTAGATGACCTGCGACAAGAAGGTAAGAAATGACTCTCTGAAGCTCCCCCAAGAGGCACAGTGGGGCCCACAAGCCAAAGGTGCAATTCCCCATCTGGAGCTCCATCCCAGACTTAAATGGAGAACAAAGGTGGGCAGCATCCAGGATCTTCACACCCGGGAAGACATGGGGCCTGGCTGATGCCCCTCCAAATAGGAGAATGATCACCTGAGTGCATGGGACCTCTACACACGTTTCTGCCGAACAAATTAAACAGGACACCTAACACATGGGAACAATCTCCATGATCAGTAGATGGTCACCTTACAAGACTAATCTATGCAACTAGAAATGACTCTCTATCGGTGGGAAAACTGCCTATGGTGTCTGGTTAGGAGGAACCGCTGTGTATCCCTGCTGACCTCTGGGCGAGCCTGGCACATAGCAGGTACCCAGACAGTTCTAAACAGGTCTTATAAAACCTGGACATCATCAACTGTAAGGATAACAACAATTGCGATCATAAAATCCTGATGTGCACAGAGCTGACATTACAGAGAAGATGGGGAGAGAGACCAGTAACATCTATAAGGTGACTTTCTATTGGGAGACAGGGCTTGACAACAACAGGATGAAGGGATGGCATGGCTGGGGGAGTGAGCCAAGGTTGGTGCCATGGTTTCTCACCTATGACACAGGCTAACAACAGTTTCCGAGTTGAGGCGGGATGGGAATGAGTGGCTATGGGCAGAGCAGATACTTCACAGAAAGTACTGAGTGAGCATGTGTCATTGTAGTTCTCTGCAGGCAGGAAGCTCAGGGGAGCCTCTGGGGGAGACCCCTCAGTGAATACCACACAAAGATCTGGTGTTTCAGGCAAGGCCCTGATGTGGGAACAGCCAGGAGCACTTCAAGAACAGGAGGGCTAGTGTGATCTGAGGCCTGAGACTCAGGTCAGGGAGCTGGGCAGCGGCTGAGGTCAAGGAGATGGGAGGTACTGGCCAGAGCCTGTGCTCTTAACCAACACCTGACCTGCTAATGGCTTTTCTTGAGAATTGTTCAAAATTTGGAGTCTAATCATCAGGGAAATATAAGTCAAAACTACAATGTGAGATCATTACCTCACACGTGTTAGAATGGCTATTATCAAAAAGATAAGAGATAACAAGTGCTGGCAAGGACGTGGGAAAAGGGGAGCCCTCCTGCACTATTGGTGGGAATGCAAGCTGGTGCAGCCACTCCGGAAAACAGTATGGAGGTTCCTCCAAAAAAATTAAAAATAGAGCTACCATATGATCCATCAATTCTACTTCTGAGAATATATCCTGAGGAAATGAAATCACTAACTTGAAGAGATATCTGCACTCCCAAGTTTATTGCAGCACTCTTCACAATAACCAAGACATGGAAACAACCTAAGTGTCCATCAATTGTAAAATGCATAAAGAAAATGTGGAACACACACATACACACACACAATCACACTGGAATATTACTCAGCCACAGAAGAGGAAATCCTGCCTTTTGTGGCAACACAGATGGGCCCTCAGGGTGTTATGCTCAGTGAAACAAGTCAGAGAGAAAGACAAATACTGTATGAGCTTACTTATGTGTGAACTCTAAAAACAACCAAACCCATAGATGCAGAGAACAGATTGGTGGTTGCCAGAGGTGGGGCGGAGTGGGGAGGAAATGGGAGAAGGGGATCAAAAGGGACAAACTTACTTACCTTTAACTTACTTTAACTTACTGTAACTATGTATGTGATGGGTGGTAACTAGACTTACTGTGATCATTTTGCAATATACACATGTATCAACTCATTATGTTGTGCACCTTAAACTAGTACAATGTGATATGCCAAGTACACCTCAATAAAAAAAATCCTTAAAGGAGATGGCAGGAACGGAGATCAGGGAGGCACTAGAGGCCAGAAGCAAAGAGCTTGGATCTGTTCCAAAAGCAATGAATGACAAGCCCCTGGGGGATCTTAAGCAGGTGCACGATCCAGTCCGCTGCACACTCTACAGAGCAGAAAACAAGGTGTTGCCCTCAGGGAGTTGGCAGTATAATCCAGGACCTAGGGAAGGAGGGCCCCCCATGCAGAGTATCCAACACTCATTCCCAGGGGCTTGCACTCAGCACCCTGATCACAGTAGGCTCTTCCAGTCTTAGCTTCCTTCCCTGCCCTTTGCTTAATTAAATTCACTGGAACACCATCGATGTGGGATATTCAGAAAGAAACTCATAAGAAAAAAAATGCCTGGTATTAAAAAGCAATGGTGTAAAATGTAGCCAAAGAGACATCTCCACATCTGCTGGCATGTCACGGGTTGGGTGTCTCTCCAGGGCCAGGTAGGCACAGCAGCACCTCCTCACACACCTGAGGATGCTCGCATGGCACCAACACCACAGACGCATGCCGAGCTGCTGGTGGGGTGCCTGGAGACACATCAACACCTCCACTCAAAGTACTCAGAACAGAAACCTCACCCACTGTGTTAAGGAAGGAGCCCCAAGCCCCTGAGGAAGTGCACTGCAGTCCCCTCGCAGAGGGTTTTCTTCTAAGAAAACAGCATGTCAGAGACTAAGGAAAGACAAAGTGGGCAGGGACGCATACACAGGTAAGAAAGTGAGAGGAGGTGCCTGTGACAATGCGCCTCACACCATGCTAGAAACACACTTCATTTAGCTGGTGGCAGCTCTGAGACTCAAAGATAGTTTTGTTTCTTCTTTTTAAAGATTTTATTTATTTGAGAGAGAGAGAGCATGAGAGAGAGAGAGAGCACAGCAGAGGGGAGAGGCAGGGGTAGAAGGAGAAGCAGTCTCCCCACTGAGCAGGGAGCCTGATGTGGGGCTCGATCCCAGGACCTCAAGATCATGATCTGAGCCAAAGGCAGATGCTTAACCGACTGAGCCACTCAGGCGCCCCTCTAGATAATTTTCAGGGGCACCTGGGTGGCTCAGTGGTTGAGTGTCTGCCTTTGCCCCAGGTCGTGATCCCCAGGTCCTGGGATCCAGTCCCACATTGGGCTCCTTGCAGGGAGCCTGCTTCTCCCTCTGCCTGTGTCTCTGCCTCTGTCTCTCATGAACAAATAAAATCTTTTTTAAAAATTTTTAAAAATAAGATAGTTTTCAAAGACTGTTAAACCACACAAACACACACATATATAAAACACGTGGAACTGAGTGTGGAAACAAGAAAATTAGAAAACTCACACGGATGAGAAGAGGCTAACAAGGCAGGACAAAAAAACCGCAATGTGGATCTCCCATCCAGGAACAGAAGAAGAACCTCCATGGGAAAACTGTGACATGCAAACAGTCTAGAGGTTGGTGACTATTCACTGGTGTTCATTTCTTCATCTTGATGAACGTTCCTGGTTGTGGGACACATGAACTTCAGGGAAGCTGGGTAAAGGGTATAAGGAATCTCTATATTATCTTTGCAACATTTCTATAAATCTAAAATTATTCCAGAGCAGCCTGGGTGGCTCAGCAGTTTAGCATGCCGCCTTCAGCCCAGGGTGTAATCCTGGAGACCTGGGATCGAGTCGCACATCAGGCTCCCTGCATGGAGCCTGCTTCTCCCTCTGCCTGTGTCTCTGCCTTTCTCTCTCTGTGTGTCTCTCATGAATAAATAAATAAAATCTTTTTAAAAAAATAAAAGTAAAATAAAATTATTCCACAATTTAAAATTTAAAAAAGACAAAAACAAAAAACAAAAAATAAATTAATTAAAAAAAGACAGGGTGGGGATCCCTGGGTGGCGCAGCGGTTTGGCGCCTGCCTTTGGCCCAGGGCGCGATCCTGGAGACCCCGGATCGAATCCCACGTTGCGCTCCTGGTGCATGGAGCCTGCTTCTCCCTCTGCCTGTGTCTGTGCCTCTCTCTCTCTTTCTGTGACTATCATAAATAAATAAAAATTAAAAAAAAAGACGGGGTGGGGGGTAAATACACCAAGCACAGAGGATGTTTAGGGCATGAAACTATGCTGTCTGATATGATGATGATGACACAAGTCATTGTACGTTTGTCCAAACCCACAGGACGTAGGATGCCAAGTATGAGCCATGATGTAAGCTAAAGACTTTGGTTGCCAATGATGTGTCGATGTAGGTTCACTGATTCTAACAAATGTTGACAGTGGAGGATGTTACAGTGGGTGCTCTGTAATATGGGATTTCTGTGATTTTGGCTCAATTTCTGTGAAGGCTGAAATTGCTCTCAAAAATAAAATTTATTTCAAAAGACAATTCATCATATCCCACTTCTATGCTTCAGAAACAGTGTGGTATATGTCTTGCTTGCTCCCTGGCCCCTTGGTGGCCAGACCTGGGGGCTCCCAGTCTGGGCTGAAAACACCTCCTCACTTTTCTGAATCTCAGTCTCCTCAAGACTAAAACAAGGACAGCTACCTCTTCTCCCAGCTAATCTGAGACGGAGCCCCGGGTAATGAATCAATACAGGTAAGAACGGTGCTAGGCCAGGAATCAGGAATTCTCTCTCCCGCATCCCCCCGCCCTTGCAGGGCCGCCACCTAAAGGCCCTGGCAGCCTGGAGGTCTGGCTGGAAACACCCCACTTCTCCCTCTAGGCCTGCGTGCTGCCAGGTGAGGTTCGGTCCAGATGAACCTGTCCGAGAGAAAGCTGGCAGATCACATTTAGCCTTAACAATCGCCTTAACAAAACTCACAGGTGAAATTAATTTAACAGACTCTTGGTTAGAGCAGTTTGAGATTCACACAAAATTGAGTGCTAAGTAGGGAGAGTTCCCATACTCTGTACCCCCCACACACTTGTCAACATGCCTCAAGGGAGGGTACGTCTGTGACAATTGGGAACCCACACTGACACATCACCATCACCCAGAGCCTACAGTTTACGTGGGAGTTCATTCTCGGGGCTGCAGTCTGTATGAGGACATGTATCCAGCATCTGTAACCCACACTTAGTGGTTTCATTGCCCTAGAAAACCTTGTGCTCCACCGATTCATTCCTATTTTTTAAAAAGTTCCTATTAAAAAGAC